CTATATCTCAAGTATTTGGATTATTTGTGGCAGCTTTTGACTCTGTGGAATTGCTCATGGTGAGGCGTAGGAGAGTTTAGCCTTGACAAACATTCAGGAGGAGACTATGTAGATATTTCCCTATTGCTGCTACTATGGTCACCCAAATTGCCCGTGACGGTGCGGTCTTTTGAACCACGTCCGAAGCGTAACCTTTATACCCACCCAGTTTAGTATATATATTATTATTATGCAGCGCTGTCTATTATCCGGTGTCTCTAAGGAGATGTATAAGAGGTTCGTCATCGAGTCTGAATCTGCCAACCTTTAATCAAGCTTGTGGTAACCTATAGGCAGCCTGGGTATTGACAGTTTTAGATGGAAAAATACATCACACAGGCTCGTGTTAAAATGGGAGCATCTCATGTGCTTGTTGTGTGAGAGACTTGTTACTACTATTTAGTATTTGACCAGGTAAGACCCACTGAGCTATATCGCTCTGTTTTAGAAGCGACCTTGCCACAAATGATTGCTCAACGAAGTGGCTTATTACGTGGAAATGTATAGCAGCCAAATACCGTAAACGCACGTCGATTCTAAATGCGGAGGGAAAAACCAGAGGACCCGGAAAAAAATCCACTCGGCCATGGAGAGAACGTGCAAACTCCACACATACAGGCGTCTGGGTCGGAATGGAACCCACGATCTCCTGCGTATACCAGGCGAGGGAGTTGACTTCTCGCCACCACTGGTTTTGTCGGTGGGCTTCCAGCTGTCAAGTGAAATGGAACTGAAGCACACTGCCAATGGGAGCCAGCACTGCATCACTCGTGCCCGTCCACGCACACATTTACGACTTTTAACATTTATATACCCTCCCCCCTCCCATGCATCTTTCTTAAATCTAAAGGGTGGTCTGGATAACGGGCTGCAAAGGCTAAATACAGTAATTTTAGGGTGGTGTCGCAACGCTTTAAATCGTAAATCACACCACAGGCGTGGGAGGGCAGTGGGTGGGTGGGGGGGTGGTGACCTCACGAAGCACACCTTGATCCATGTGTCTCCGTGTCTGCATACCTCTGCTAATTTAGCGTTCAACTGGAACGTGCAAAGCCTACGTCTCAACCAGCCCTGCCCTTTGCAGGGCTCGAGTTGGTATCGTCTCCTCTCGGCATTGCCAAAATCCGTGTCATTATACCTCATCATTGGCCACTGTAGAAGGGGGGTTATTTATTTATTATATATTCACATGCAACATTCAGCGGCTCCTTTAAATATCACCGCCGACGGTGTCAGCCGCGTATAATAACAGCGCGCGCGTGCGCCTCGGAGCCCGAGCTCGTCTCTTAAACATCGCTAAATGTCAAATTCCTGAGTGCGACGTCGAGCGGATTCCGCTGTGCGGCGTGGGGGGACGGTGTTCCTTGCCAGCGACGCTGCCCCCTATGCTGCCATCCTGGCTGCACCGCCCGGGTTGAAATTCACAGCTTCTCGGCCTAAAACTAAACTATATTTTAACTCAACAGATAAGGCCCCCACTGAGCTATGCATCTCTTTTTCAGAAGCCACCTGGCCACAAATGATAGCTTAATGAAGTGGATGATCATCACGTGGACATTTATAGCAGCCAGATACTCTTAAACACGTGATGTTGATTCTAGAATGTGGAGGTAGAAAACCGGAGGACCCTGATAAGAATCCACGTGACCAGAGAGACACGCAAACTCTAAATATACAGGCATCAGGGTCGGGATCGAATTGACGACCTCCTGTATACCGGGCGAGGTAGTAAACATCTCGTCACCACGGCGCCCCAGTCAGGAGTCTCTCCTCGTCCAAGTTCGAATGTGCACATTTCCCCTCTGGCGTCTTGTGCAATGTCACATTATTGCGGTCAAAAATTAAGAAATATGTCGGCGATTTCCATGGCATTGCCCTAATTCCCCTGGCAAGAAAGGAAGGGCCTGCCAACAGCGGTTGCTGTTCAAGAGCAGCGTGCTTTGTTATCTGTCTGAACCACAGCTTGTGGGACCAGTGAGTCAAATGCGGCCTTCTGGACACCGCACCGCTCACCCCGCTGCCGCCGCGCCGGGAACGTGGCCTTGCTCACCGAATCACCGCGGGACTTTTTTAAGTGTCACGGGAATGGTAGACCGTGTGTCACCGCCACGGCCAGCGTGACTCGTCGTCGTCGCAGCAAAGTGGCTCGTGATGCACAAACACAGTCCGCCCCCCTCCCCTTTTGAGTGATGGATGTGGGGCTGAGCATTCCTGCACCTTGCAGCATGCAAGGGAAACGTACGCTTCATGAGTAAATATGTACTGAAATGCAAATCGGTGAACTGCGTTCACATACCTTACCAGCCTTTGGCCCTCCGAATGTTTTCAGAATCTGAGAAAAGTACACAACTTTTGTGAGTTGAAATGCCTGTATGCTAACATCCGCCGTCTCAGCGCTACCAAAATGGATATTGTTGTTTTTCTCGAGTAAAGTGTGAGCCTCAAACTGTAAGTCATTCAAGCTGTCTGCCCTGTCTCTACATCGACTAAGTCAGTAAATATCCTCTCGCCTCTATACAATTAAGTCAGGCAATCTTTGCCCTTTCTTAACTCCGCCTGTCAAGGCAATTCATTACTCGGTCCTTTCTCTCCGCCAACTAAATCAGGCAGTCTCCCTTCCTTTCTCCGCATCCACTCAATTCAGGCCGTCTTGCCGTCCTTCCCGTACCCCAACTGAGTCAGGCAGTCTATTTTCCCAAAACATGAACTTCTTGCAAACATATTTCCGGCTGTAAGGCAGAAGTGATTATAAGACAGTGAGCCTTTAAACAAAAAAAGTGTGTTATATGTTGTGATTTAAGCACGCTTGGACTTAACCGTTTAATAAAAATAAACAGCCTTTAATTATTTTCTGTGGCATTCCATTCTGTCAAGACCATGCAGTGCAGATGAAATACGAGGCAAAGAAGGTGCGTGTAATCACTCACGACCAGCTCACGTTCTCATTATTGGCATAGCTGCATTTCTCAAATAGCAGCAGCTCATTATCCAAAGCAAGAAACGCGACGGACATGACGGACATGACGAACATGCGGCGTTGCGTTATTGGCCCCGGCAGCTCAAGACAGACGCTCCCCGCCACCGTGACCCGCAGATGTAACGTTTGTTCGCGTGACAAACATTGTAAAAAAAAAATACCTCGTAGCACATAAAACAACCGTGCGCTGTGAAGAATGGCCATTTCCCGAAATGCGACTTGTTCTATATTCTATTTAAAGCCGCGCACTGTTGTTCAATAATGTGTTGCGTTTTTGGTCATTGCGATTGTGTACCACTGCCAATGCAGCAGCATCACCGACTAATTTGTTTAACAATATTTGTAGTCCGCTGTTCAGCAGATTGCTGTAATGTATTCAGCACGGTGTCAGATTAAACATTTCTCTTCCCTGTGCTGAAATGTTTTAAGTTGTTTTTCTAAGCAGAGGCAATTAAAATAGTTGAGGTGCTTTGAATTCTTTCGCGGGTGACTTGTGTTTTATTATTGTTTAATGATTCATTAAGTGTTCTGAGTGCAATGTGTTTTTAAATTCTGTAATCTCTTAAATCTTCAAGAATGTGTGCTTTTACCAACTTGAAAGGGGCCTTAACATTTAGTAACTGGACTTGTAAAGTTTTACAAACATTAAAAAAACAAATGCAAGTGTGAGGGGCCAACATTTAGTTGCATACGTCAGCTTTTTATTACTAGAAAAATATTTACTTTTGTTAAAACAGCTTCTTGGACTGTGCCATTATTTCTCCATGTTAGGAGGTAGCAACATAGCGCAGCAAGCTAGGATGACTCGTGTTCACCAAACCCGAATTGGAAAAGCCACAGTTGTCTGAAATGCATTCGTAGTTGAATGCTAATTTATGACCCCGGCAAGATGTGGCATGGATGGTGCATTCGTGGGCAATGCGTTTTATGGTTTGGACTTCAGCACAGTCGTAGGTCGCCGATTATTTGATCGTTCGCTTGGGGGAAGGCGTCTCCCCACGCTGCGTTCGAGCAGCACGGTTCAGCGAGGTCCCGGAGTTATCGTGGCAGAGCGAGCGAGAGAGACAGGAGCTCGCTGCTTCCACAGGCAGCTCCTGCTCAATGAGGTTTTTGTTTGCCCCACGTCCGTAGCCGCCCCACGATTCCGTCCAGCGAGTGCCGACGTCTTTATTTTCGGCTAACCTTTTGATGCAGTGTTTCTGGCCGAGGCCAATCGTGTTAAGAATGCAGGGCTCGGTATGACATTTGACATCAAAAACTGGCCGTGCAAAATCATTGGGGCACGGCCGTAAATTAATTGAATACAGGGTGAAGCCCATTAGGCAGTTATTTTCTATAGGTCATCTCTTATTGGCCAAGTGACACCACTGCCCAGTCAATTTATTTCTGCAAATAACGATAATTTTGTCTTTTTATGGGGTCGAGGCTGAGTAAAATAACAAAATGTCAGCACCCAAAGGTCTGTTCAATTAAGCATTTCGATGAGTAATTGGTAATAAAAAAATTGCAAAGTGGGTTCAGTGGTTTAGAAAGATTAGGTTTAAGACAAATGTTTCTTGTGCTCAGTGTACAATGTTATTATGTAAAGTAAAGCTTAACGTTCAGCTCTGCAAAGGTGCATCAATACCTTGGAAGTCTGTCATTATTAGTAATACTCGTAAGTTCTGAGTGGACATTGAACTGCGCCAGCAAAAAATAAATGCTCACTCAGCTGTATGTGTATGGGATTCACTAATCTGTGCCAAAAATGTCTACGTTCCATCATTGTCCATGTTTAACTATGCTGATGACGGCGGTGCTGGCAACGGTAACGATTATCGTGAGGACGCCGTGATGTTCAGCGATGAAAACCGCATTGTTTTCACAAATTACCGAAAAATCCAAGGCCCTAATAACGACGACGCTAATGAGTGTCCAGTAAACAGTTGTCGTGGCAGCCCATGCGCGTCTTTTGATCGTCTCTCGTCGTTGTTCTTCCGTGCAGAGGTGACGCAGATTGAAGACCCGCGGGCACAGTGGCGGGGCGAGCAGGAGGTGATGCTCAAGGAGTACCTGGTGGTGGCCAAGGATGCGCTGGACGCACGCTGGGAGATGTTCCAAGTCAAGCAGCAGCGGCTGGCGCTGGCGCAGGAAGAGTACCAGCACCTGAGCTCCGTGTGGCAGGACAAGAGTGGCTCGCGCACCAGCTGTAAGTACACGCGCGCACTCCTCTCGGCTCCCGTCAGCGACATGGCCAAATCTGTCTGCCGCCGCCGCCTCCTCTGGTCTTTTGCCTGCCCGATGCTGTTGACATTGACTTTGCTGCCCAGATCATTGATTTGATGGTAATTAATGCACACCCTTTGTAGATGCTATTCTGTACATCACAGCAACCGGTCAAACGCATAGATGGGCGGTGCGGTGAATTCATGAGAAATCACTGATGGGCTTGGCACAATTTTTTTAGTGATGACCAGTTTGCATGGCCAGTGACTGGGTAGTTGTTGGCACACTGCGCTGTGAACCCATCCACTGTTACTCTTCAATGGGATGGCTGTCTTGTTCTAAGCACTCGATCACATCAGACCTCTGATGTGATGTTGGCAGTGTTGTATATCAGCGCAATCTGCAGATAGAAAAAAAGTGGTAATGACACAGGGTTAACCCCGCCCCTCTTTCTCTTGCAGTGCATTCTGGGTCCTCGGCAAGTACCAAATACGACCCAGATCTCCTGAAAGCTGAAATCGCCGAAACAAAGGAGAGGGTAAGATATATAAATGCACGGGGTGAATGTTTAAATATATTAAATGTGCTTTTAAGTTTTGATCTTTTGTATTTATTTTTAGAGTGCCTCCTAGTTTAGACACAAAGTCAAATATTGTTTAAAAATCCCCCGTGTAGCCTTGAGCAGAATTTTGGGACTAGTGCTGTGTTAGCAAGCAGCTGTGAAGGTCGGCACAGCACACAAGGGGATGGGTGGAAAGCACCGTTCCCTGCTGCCTTGCCCTACCGAGTGCTGATGTTTTCACACCACACCAGGTACTTATTTGAGGCGAGATCGACTGAAGTGAGGCCCATAACCGGGTCCGATATTTGTCACCAATGTTCGCTATGAGTTGGCGTAAAACCCTGGTTGTCAGTTTCGTAGTGCAGCGCACTAACCACGACACAAGCACTCAAACAGAAACACACACTTGAACACACAAGGCCTAAGCCTTAGGCGAGAGAGCAGCCGTGGCAAGAGGTTATGTAGGTAACAAGGGGGGAGCGGCAAGGGGGGAGAGAGATTGGGGGGGGGGGTGGTCAATCCACTACATCCCACGAAATGGTGCAGTCCCACAACCACCCATGACAGCCTGCATGTGGCAGGACCACCTCTCCCAGCACTATCCAGGCTCAAACCCGCTTGGCCTTCCAACATCTGACGAACGAGTGTGCATTCCGTGTGATTCGGTCATAGGCTTTAAAAAGAATCTTTACCCGATGTTAATAATTTTAAAGAAAATCAATGCATTTCCTGAAACCCTTTTGAAGGCCGATTGGGATACGATGTCGGTTTAGTGAGGGAGAACCCTGAGGTTCTGCCGCGTTCGGACTGCAGATCACCGGCTGCCCTCAAGTGGCAGCTCATCGAGATCAGAATCGGAATATTTATTCGTACCTTCGGGATCTGATGAGCTATAAAGCTTTTTTTAACAGATGTCCAGTCGGGGCGGGTCGGAACGTTACAGCAACAAACAATACAAAAACACGATAGGAGTGCAAAGTGTAGGGAAAAAGGTCAGCAAATCACGAACAAAAAATGCACAAATAAAAGCGTAAACTATTTGTATCTTCCCAGGTAAAGCCCCCACTGAGCTATTAGCTTCTTCCCCCTCCCCGGTGACCGTTGCTTCCGGCAGGTGTCGAGGCTCAAGCGGGAGCTGGAGAACATGACGCAGGAGCTCAACTACAAGGAGAAGGGCATCGAGACCCTGCGAGAGTAAGTCCTCGCACCCTTCCGCGAAGCGAGACGCCCCGGCTCGTGCGTGAGCCCGTCTAAACTTTACGTAGAGGAAGCCTTTCCATTGCTCCAAAGTTCTCCCGGGTACTGCCACGTTCGTGCTCGAGGGGGAGACCCCAGCGACAGCAGCGGTAGTTTTCGACTGGTGAGGCGCGTACGGACGTGTGTACGTACGGACGTGTGGCCGTGCAAAAACAGCTGGGATGACTGCATGTGGTGGAAAGGTGACAAGTTCAGATAACTGTCACGGTCTAGTCGGCTTATCGCCATCATTTCTCGGGGGCCAAAGACAAAGATTCCCCACATAGCCTTAACAGACTGTTGGGGCAAGTGCTGTTGGCGAGCACCTACGAAGGCTGGCACGGCACACGAGTGGCTAGGTGGCCAACGCCACGCCTGGCCGCCTTTGTCCCCCCAGTGGCAATGTTTACACACCGCACCAGGTACTAATTTGAGGCCGAGTCGACCTAGGGGAGGCCCAGGGCCGATTCAGATAATCGTTGTTGGCTGTGAGCGGGAACCAGGTTTGTAATGCAGCGTGTAGCGCTCGCCGCTGGTGAAATGAGCACACGCAGTGGGAAGTCTTTCTCGGTGATTCTCACGTGAATGTGAAATTTTACTTAGTGGTTCAATACTTGGCAACAGAGATGAGCACCTTGCCTTTCTCACAGCATGGAATGGCCTCGCATTAAATATATATGAACGTTAAGTGTTGTGTGGGGACAATATTCCATTATACCAATTACCCGTATGTGAAGACCCATCGTATTGACTGTCAAGAGAAATAAGTGCGCTTGGGGGGGGGACACGTCACTCAAAGGGGATGATGGCCGATGGTCGATACAAACTACAGTGTGGCAACTAAAGGAACACTCCTGAGAGGTGGACCGCTGCGGAGATGGAGTTGTGAAAACGGTTTGTTGCACCGCAGGATTGTGAGAGATGACGCCGGCTTGCGGAGGTCATCATCCAGCAGTGGACGGATCACGTCCGCTGCCGACGATGATAATGGTGACGATATTTGACCTGCGTGCTCATTGCGTACGTTTATCCTGAACAATAAGTAAGTCTTCACTGTCTTCGGGTGCTTGCTCCGTAACGTACCATTATCCCTACTGCTCCTTGTGTGAGGTGGGGGGGGGCACAGCAGCCGTGGGGAGCACCACCACCAACCTCTCATAGGTCCTCTGCCCTCACCGTGGCGCCAGCAGTTCCCTCCACTCGCACGCTCCGTGGCAACCGTCTCGCATGACGCGGGAAATGTTCCGCTGATCTTGAGTGACAGAAATTGGTCTCGAGAGAGTCCCCCGGCAGTAGCGAGTGCGAGTGCTGTGTTTATTGCAACTCCTCGAGGTAGAGAGAAACATTTAAAATTGGGCCAGATTGAATATTGTGCTCCTGCGGAGGTGCCACCACCATATTAGCCACTCTCAAGCACACAGTGGCAGGCTGAGAACGTAACGGTGATGAGGAAACGGTTAATGGGGGTGTGTGTCACTGGCGTCTGCGAGGGAGACGGCGCTGGTGGCAATTGAACAAAAAATCTGAAAGAGCAAAGAGCAAGTGCTGGCATCTTTGGGCGATCTGATTATAAAAGGTGGTTGGGCAGGTGGCAGCCGAGACTGTGTCAGAGCTACGCCGGTTCTCGTCTCTCTCCTCCGCTGTGTTACCACTTCAGTTTATCGTCAAAAGTGGGCGTTTCATTTCGCCGCGTGTGACCTGCACCTTGAGACAGGCGCAGCGTGCACCACGGTCCCGCCGCCGCATGCTGCGGGGTTCGTCCACGTTAGTCGCTAGCGTCTTTCCGCCGGTGCAGCCGTCGCAAGCCGCTGCGCGTCTATCGACTGATCGCCAACGAGTCGTTGCAAATAGGGGTGGTGGGGGCGGGGGGGGGGGGTTTGCCGGGCGCCAGTAAAAATCCGCGTCGCCACGAATGGGTTAAAGCCGTCCGCTGCGCGGGAATCTTCCCGTGAGACCGGAGGCTCGGCGACTGCGAGCGAGCGAGGCTCGGGCTGCCGTACCAGCGGGCGCCACTGCCACTCCTCCGGACGCTCGCCGGAAGAGGACGTGGGGGGAACGTGAGCGGCGGTGGCGGCCGTCGCTCAACGCGAAGCTGCCCCCGCGAATCCCTGCCCCGTTCTCCCGCAGCGGCCGCGGTAGAGCTGCTTGCTTCTTTATTTACCTGCTTATTCCAAGCTCCGTGGGGGTTTCTGTGAAGGGTAAGGACGGTGCGTCTTTCTCAACCCACGCTTGCTCATTTCACAGCTCGTTACATAAACCGCGCGAGATGCTTTGTTTAAGGTGTGTGTGTGTGCGCGCGCGTGTGTGTGTGCATGTGTGTGTGCATGTGTGTTTTTTTAAGCACTGACATGGACTGGTTAATCTTGAATCCATCAGCTTTTCCGAATCATTATGAATCGTGGCAGTTTGTGCGTGCCATATTAACCACAGAGGTTAAATAATTCACGAGAATTTCAAAGGCATTCCAACTGCATGCACTGTGTGTGTGTGTGTGTGTTCTCACTGTCTCTGCGCCCTGTGGAGCCAGGGCTGTTCTCAGGCAACACGAGCTCACGGATTGCAGAAACGAGGAGGATTGTGATTTGTTTTTTTAAGCACGAAGATCAAATGTGTCTGAGGCTTCTTAGTTTGGCATTAATTCATTGAGTGGAAATTGCATGTGATATCATAATTTTCATAGATTGATATATTTTGTAAAATGTAAGTGATTAATGAATTGCCAATTTACTATGTAAATATATAGAATATCTGCACATTCTCAAGGCTTTATTAAATACCATAGTTGTAAGACTCTATTGTACACAAGTGCTGTTTGCACACAAATAAATTAAGAAAACCCTTAGGGCCAAGCTGCTTATAGGGTGGCACTTTCTCTACAGCCCAGTGAGGCTAAGTTTTATTTTAGAAGCTTATAAAGGGACAGGAAAGTGGTGTCACCTTGTCCGACTCCATTTGTGATATGGATTTTTCAATTACTTTCTTGTAATCTCAGTGCAGCTGTTCCATTTATGTAATATAACAAATATGTATCTATTTAGGCCTTGGGTTTCTGGGAACTTGAATCACTGCATCAGTTTCCACCGAGACCTTTTGCCAAAGCTAGTCACAGCGACATCGTAATATATTTTATTAAAATTGGATAAACAAAGTCGTTAACATAAAAAACAGCAAATGTTAACCCTCTTCAATTGGCTCCATGGCACAGTGATTCTAAAAGCCATTGGAAATGAACTGCAGGAGTTGATTTGAGAACTTCATGAAGAAGCCTGCAAAGTTGGGCTCAAGATGACTATGAGAAAAACCATAGCCATGCTCAAAGGCATTCAACGGTAGAAGATACATGTCTACAGGACAAAACTAGAAAACAAGTCAGATTATGTATACCTAGGGCAGTAACCAGCCAACATGGAACATTGGGCCAACAGTTTCAACCACATGCCAACGCTGGCCCAATGTTGCGTGTTAACAGGGTTACCGAAGGTCGACTGGATGAAAATGACGAACCATAGAGGAGGGACTAAGTTGGCATTATTTTACTGAACTCAATCGTGAAAAAGCAATACACTAGTGTGCCTAAAACAAGAACAGTTGTACTCAGCCTGTCGTGTCTGCTGTGACACACGGATAAGAAACAGCGGCGTTGACAAATAAAATGGAACAAGAGCTGAAAAGTCCGTAAAGAAGCCATGGAGAGGTGTGTGCTTGTAAATACAATGAGAGGCAGAAGAGCAGACTCCAGTTCAAGACATGGCATTGATTGCTAAGAAGAGTAATAGGACTTAGGCAGGCGGCGTCGTAGCTAGAAAGGGTGATGGTCAGTGGTCGAGATTCACGGAGAAGTGCTAGTGCTGTTTTTATTTGACCAGGTAAGGCTCACTGAGCTGTCTAGCGCTTTTTCAGAAGTGACCTGGCCACAAATGATAGCTCAACGAAGTGGTGTATCACGAGCAAATTTATAGCCGCCAAATACTCTAAACGCATGTTTCTAAAATGTGGAGGGAAAAACCAGAGGCTCTGGTGAAAAATCCACACGATCACGTGGAGCGAGAGAGACATGCAGACTCCAAATATACAAGTGTCAGGGTCGGGATCAAATCCACGATCTCCTGCATGTCAGGCGAGGGAGTTAAGTGGCACCACGGTGGCAAGATGGGAAACATGCCTGAGCAAGGAGGGAAGCACGCCCGAGCGTACGTCCACTGCAGAGATGGAGAGGGTTGAGATCAGCTCGTGTGGAGCAGCTCGAGGGTTTGTTGCATCGCAAAGCATCGGGAGATGGACATGGCTTTTGGAGGTCTCCCATCATGGCTGGTGATGATAAAGGACATGCATGTGTAGCCGAATGGCTTCATGGTCGCAGTCACTCAGTCCTCCACGATTCGTATTCGCTTTTCAAAAGACTCACTCATCGCAGTGGGTTGCACAAATTACAGTGGTTACATTTGGTATGTGTTTGTTTTTTGTAAAGTAATTTTCCAATGTAATAATAAAATATAATAATAACCAATGCGGAGGGAGCTATTAAAAAGCTGATTATTGTAATCTTGATCGTGAGAACAGCATTCACATTCTCTTGAAATGAAAAAGTCACAGAGTTAATTTTCGGCTATGAGCAAGAGGGGGTGGAGTACCGTGGCAGCGTCGAAGTTGCACGTTTCATGGCAGCACTGCCACCCGACTTGAGCATTCACTTGGGAGAATTCATTCTTACGTTCTTGGCTATAGTTGAGGCTTCCTCGGATTTCCTTTGGCGTGGGCTGTGAAGGCCCGCGGTGATTTATGCCGGTATACCGAAGGGGTCTCGTCCCATAAACAGTTTGCAGGGATTTTGGAATTTCGAATTGCATTGCTGTGGGAAATACGATATTGGGGGAGACCGTTATACGTGACATAACTCTCCCTGTCCTGTCGTCCTCCTCTTATTAATGGGCAGTGTGGAAATATTTCTTCGGGTCTTGGTCAATTTACGTTCTATCCAAAGCGTGTGTTTTGACCCAACCGCCAGCGCGGGTTAAATTAAAGCTCGCAAGCAGGCAGCAATAACAAAATTAAACGGTCGCCGTGCACGCGCTTGGGGAAACGAACCGTAATTTAGTAACGGTGAGCTAAGTTTTATTCATGTTGCTCATTTCCCTTTCTGATTTAGAAAAAGAAGTCCGCTGTTGGTGTTTTCGCGCGAGCTTGTTATTTTTACGCAAATTAACACCGACTCCTTAAATAATCTTTCCGGCACGTACCGGTGCCATTTTCCGCTGCCAACGTAGATCTTTCGGTGTTGCCATTATTGCTGCCTGACGGGGTTTCGGAGGAGGAGGAGAAGGGACCCTTCTTTATTTATTTTTGGGGTCAGAATTTCACGGGCGCACATGGTACGTTGCTTCGATGCCGTCACGATGAGATTGCACGTTTGCGATTGCGCATTTTGCGCATATACCTACTTTACGATGAGAGCGAGTCCACATTGGATAGTGAATGCACGTCGTTTTATTGAATGCCGTGATTCACAGTTCCTTACGTTTTCATGTTACGCATTTTACTCGCGTCAAAATCCCGTGGTGGCCAACGGAAAGATTGTGTCCAAGAGGGCGACCACCGCAGAGATGGAGCGATGAGATCGGTTCACGTGCAGGAGCGAGATGGATGGTCGCAACAATGAACCGTGAGAGATGGCGACTGGTTTAGTGGAGGTCTTCATCCAGCTTTGGATAGACAATGGCTGGTAATGATGATGATGAGAGAAAAAAAACCCACATGGTCCAATACCCATCCTTACATTTGCAGAACATATTTTATTCATGTCTCAAGTCTCTCAAGATGCTTTAAAAAAACAAAACACACACAGTTGTTAAATTTAATAACGTTTGTGGTCTTCAAATTGTACTGTGAAATATGTTTTGGCACCGGGTGAAATGGTGCGTGTGTAGCGCCAGAGAGCAGCGCGCCATGCCCCAGAAAAGACCACGGCCCTTTCCCCAGCCGTCGTCAAATGGAAGTGCTTGTCCGTTGGTTCAGGGCATCTGTGAAGAAGAGCTTCATAGCTCATCGGATTCCTCCAGTGTAAATAGAGATTTTAGTTTTGATAAAACGTCAACACGGATACTACCATTCTGAAGCGTGTACTACCGCGATATTGCTGTGCTGATTTTTATGATTTCTCTTCCAGTGACTGATAAAAAAAACTAATTTTAAAAAATATTATGTTCACGTCTGACAGTCGTCGCCTAGCCTTAACCTCATAAGAAGCCAAAATAATAGTTTTTTTCAAGAGGGAGAAATTATCATAAGGAGGTGGTGGTATTGGTGCCCTGCTATCGTTGGTGTTGCCAAACAGCAACTTACTTTTCAAACTAAACGTTAGTGTGAACGAATGTTCCTCGCACAGAATCTCTTGTGGAAATGCACAATCCCATTCTCAATGCAACCGCCCAATGGGAGATTTTAAGAATTGAAGTGATGGTCATGTAAATATTTTCACTAGGTTCAAAATGTGTTGCTTGCCATGCTTCTTATTAAACAATCATCTTCACTCGCCTGCTTCCACTCCCACCTTAAAACAACCCCCATCTCTTCTCCCGAGCTCATCCTGCAACTGCTCCTCCCTGCGCCCGCCCCCTCTCTACGACCACCCCTACCCCAGCCCTTCCTTAAACCCCCCCGGCCTATTCTTCCAACTATTACCGTAACTACTATACCACCACTTTGATTAACCCCACTATTTATCTGAACCACTATCATCTTATGCACAATGTTATAATTTCTCTAAAACGCCTTGGAATAAGGCGCTATATAAATCTATATATATCATAAGATGAATTGTGTTTGTTACTCCCAGTTGTGGTGGATATTTGGATGCATTAACTCGCATTAAGGATTCCCCGCCGGAGGGCCGCAGGTGCAAAATCTGCGGGCATTATGTCGTGAGGGTACTTTGCCACGTGGTGTGCTAATGGATTTTAACTCCCCCCTTAAAATCGGCCGTGTTTTCTTCCACGAGCACGCTTCCATGAAGTTGAAACGGTGGCGAGATGGTAACTACCTCGCCTGGTATGTTGGAGGTTGTGGGTTCGATCCCGACCCTGACGTCTCTATATTTGGAGTTTGCATGTTCTCCCTGTGGTCGCGTGGAGTATTTGGCTGCTATAAATTTCCACATGATGAGCCACTTCGTTGGGATATCATTCGTGGCCAGGCCGGTTTTGAAAAAGAGCTATTTAGCTTCATGGACTTTACCCGGTAAAATACAAATTGTAATAGTTTAAATTGTAGTGATGTAACACGTGTAGACATTGGCGGGTGTGCTGGCTGTCATCGCCGTTCGTTTAATTTTACGGAAACTACTCGGCAAAATAATTGTTCGTTAATGAATGTGCTCGTAGACATTTGCTCACCCGTAATATCAGAGGTCTTAGGTTATGGCCGCTTTTGTCCGCCGTAATGTACATTCGATGTGTGATATGTACGTGACTTTTTGTTTCTTCTAGTGAAAGGTCTTAGTTTATTATAAGCGTAGTTGTTGGTTTGTAGTGTCATGTGTAAACTCACCTGCTTGCAAATTGAGTAGCCATGTAAAAGACGGAACTGTTGTAAAACACTCTCATGACCATCGGAGGTCGTCAGCCAGTTGTGGAATTCCGCATGCTTCTGGCGGGGACCAGTTGTGCTCGGACAATATGTGTGTACCCTGCTTCACAACAGGTGGCAACTTCAACAGGTGGTGCCCATTGTACCATCTCTGAAGGGACGACAATGATGATCATCATAATAATTATAATCGTGATGATGATGATGGGCTACGTCGATTGTACCCAGGATATGAAGTCACTGTCATTATTGTGAAGCTGATGAATTTGGCGAACATATCCATGATGGTGGCGATGATGTTGATGGTGGCGATGTTGATGATGCGGCGGTCTGGAACGCTCTTGCGATATTAGGAAGCCACTGTGCACTTTAAAATCTAGATTGAAAACTAATTTCTTCAGAACTGCTTTTTGTGTTTAGTTTGTTGTCCTTCCGATTAGCATGGTTGGCTACGTACGGTGCGCAAGAAGTTCAAGATGCATACGTGTACTATATGCAGTGGCGTAGCATGACTGGCGTGCACCCTGGTGCAAGGCATGAAATGGTGCACCCCCTCTGTTCAATCTCCTCTTCTCTTCATAGCCAGAGGCCAGGTCCCATGGGCCACGGGGCAATTGCACCGCCTGCACACTCGACACCCATGCCACTGACTGCACAGAGTATCCAGTTATTGTTTGTTGCATATTCGAAAGTGTCTCTCGTCTTGCCGACTCGTTGATTAATGTGTTTGTTTACACGTTACCCACGCCCTCCACCGCCCTCTGTGACCATGTCTCCGTTGCTGCGCCGTCGCCGTTTGTTTTCCCGTCTGCGAAGGATCGACCGCAAGATGGCCGAGAGCCAGGGCGGCTACAAGCTGGACGAGGCGCAGGCCATCCTGAGCGAGCTCAAGTCGATCCGGAAGGCCATCAGCTCCGGCGAGAAAGAGAAACACGACCTCATGCAGGTATGAACGCCGCACGCGCGCCAGGCTGGGCCCCACGTCTCCTGTCCTCCCGCAGCCTCACCGCATCGCCAGGATCATTGATCATCGTGCGCGAGTCAATATCCCCGCTGGTCGCTGCCAATGAGATGCAATTACATCGACGCCGTCGCGCTCGAGTGTCCCTTGTGGTTTTGGGGCAGCACGGTGGCTAGGAGGTGTTAACTACCTCGCCTGGTGTACAGGGGGTCGAGGGTTCGATGCCGACTCTGACACCTGCTGCATATTTGGAGTTTGCATGTATTTTTTTCCGTGGATTTTTTCTTCGGGTCCTCCGGTTTTTCCCTCCACATTTAAAATCGTGCGTTTAGAGTAATTGGCTGCTGTAAATTTTCACATGATAAGCCACTTCATTGGTCTATCACTTGTGGCCAAGTCGCTTGTGAAAAAGAGCTATATAGCTCAGTGGGCTTTACCTCGTAAAATAAAACAAAATTGTCAGTGAAAAAAATAGTATTGTATTATGTCACCGGACAGCCGTCGCGTGTGAGCAGGCTTAACCCCATCCTTGAGAAGGACATGCCACCCACAGCAAGTGCTGGAGCTGAGTTAGAGACACGTTCACCGTTAAGAAGAGTAAGCGGGCTGCGTCACTGTTTGACGACATCGTAACGGCCAGGTGAGGGAACACACCCCGAGGGGATTCCCACCGCAGGGGTGGAGCAATGAGATCGGCTCCCTTTGTAGGTACAAGACAGATTGCCGTGTCGCAGGACCGTGAGAGATGGTGCGATGGTTTGAGGAAGCCTTCATGATGGCTGATGACGATCATGATGACGATGATGACAACAATTTGCGAAAAATGTGTCTTTTACGTAACGAGTTTTACTGCAACAAAATGATTGTGGTCCTCCTCCATCTGGCATTTCCCCGCCGGCACGATGTCTGTGAGTAGGCACACAGCGCATCAAGTGGAGGAGGGGGCGGGGGGGGGAAGTAGTGCACAGTAATGTCGACCGCTCGATGTACGAATCCTAGCCAGACTCCGGTTTGCAGATGTGCGTGTGAATTGGCATTCGTAAAGCTCGAGTGGGAGGAGGGGGGGGGACCTTGTGGACTCAGAGTTGTATCTGCAAGCACGCGCCTTTGTTTTTGCGTGTGTGGCCGTCTATACTACCGGTTAGGTGTGCTTCATGTTGGTTCATCTTTGTGATCGATAATTGCCTCTGCACATTTCTCTAGTACCTACGGTTGTCTGAACTGTACACGTGCACTTTGGGTACCACTCAAAATTCATTTATTTAAAAAAAATTCAAGGTCACACCTCCTTGTTTCTAGTCATTTGCCTGTAAAACTGAAGCCACTGCGAGTTTAAAGACATTTAAATATTTGCTGGTCGCTCAACGGAGTCGACAACTCCACGACAGTCAACGCACAGAGTCGTCATCGTGTAGAGGCATAGACGCAGGGAAGAGTTGTGGAGGATCCTGAACAACCTGTCAACAAGAACAGATAAGAACGACATTCTCAGCAGTTAACTTTTACACCGCAAGTAACAAATGGAGAGGGGAGAGTAAACTGAGACTTCACTTTCCACAAGACGTATTGAGTGGCCACCCTTAACGGTCACTGAATCCACCATTCATTCACCGAGCATTAAAATACGACAGTTAGTGCCTACAATGGGCTGCTACAAAGCACGCCAACCGTCATCCCGCCCCTCCGATTAGCACGGTTGGCTACGTACGGTGCGAAAGAAGTTCTGCGTACGTACAAAATGAGCGAGGGGTCGTATAGATTCCCGTGCTGCTCTCTGCGCGTCTGCGCGTCGTGGCGTCTGCAGAGCCTCGCCAAGCTGAAGGACGGCTTCAAGCGGGAGGACGCGCGCGCCCAGCTGCGGGGCAGTCGCGGCTCTCTCCTCGTCAATTCCGACCTCTCGCTGTCCAAGCCCTGCCTGGACGCCGGCTCGCAGACGGACATCACCGGGGACGTACGCAGACGCTCGCAGACACGGCCTCGCGTGCCACGCGGGACACACGCACGCACGCAAACACACCACGCGTGCACCCAGGACGCACGCAGGCAGATGTAATAATGATAATTGTCGTAATAAGAACTTAATACTCTGACATTCTTATAGCGCGCGGATATCGCAAAGGCGCTATGTTTCACAGACGGGTGTGTTCTGCCGTGCGTGTAATCCAGAACGAGTATTTGGTGGTGTCATTCATCAAATTTGGGCCACAGTAGCGTTATGCCGTTTCGAATGACATTGGGGAATCTTTGTAGTTCACTCTGAATCAGACGGCGCATGTTTGTATGGCGAATACACCAAGCGGTAATCACGAGGGTGGCCTGCCACATTCGAACCACGAACCTCTGCGACAAATAGCGAACGAGCTACGGCTCCCGCTGGGCCATTTCCCCCGCGGTCGACAACAATAGCCGCCATTTGCACACAAACACTTGCATTTTTAGAGGCACGGGCATGCACGGGTACAAAGGAAAAAACAAAGATCTCCCATATAGCCTTTAAAGAGCAGTGCTTTTAACCCATTGTTAAACCCTTTTTTGCTATCCAGTTACTCTGCATCTGTATATGTTATGTGTGTATGTGTGTGTTTTCTGTGCCTCGTTTTAAAATGAGTACTTGGTGCGGTGTGTTAACATCAACACTGGGGAGACAAAGGCGGCCGGGAATCGTGTTGGCCACCCACCCGCCCCCTCGTGTGCCGTACCGGACTTCATAGGTGCTTGCTAACAGCACTTGCCTCAACAGTCTGTTAAAGCCTATACGGGGGATCTTCGCCTTTTGTTTCCGTGCCTGTCCAACCTCGTTTAGTGCCCCATCATGCGTGCCCCCACTCGTCCCGCTTGCCAGGCTCGTAGTCGGCCATCCGTTCTGTGATTGTGCTATCGCGACCGCTATCCGAACTGGGAAAAAAAACCCTTTGGACAATAACAACGACAACAACAAAGTAATAGTAATAATAATAAAAATAGTCCTCCGTCAGCCGGATTCCACGCGACATCTCTGAAAGCCTTTGAACGTGTGAATGCGTGCGCTCCCTCTGTGCACTCGTACGCGCCAATCCACGGCACCCACCGTGAGCCGTGGCTCTGTGCCCTTGACGACGTTAGGAGCAGCTCTTTGCGATTCAAGGTCACGGTTCGATCTCGTTCGTACAGCTTCGTTTGCGCTTTGTGCTTGCCCGCATTAATAGCGCGTACTTTACCCAGCAAGCCCTCGCCGAGTGTCAAGACTCTTTATCTTAGGGGGCATCCATTATTGGGATGGTTTGCAAAATTGCATCGATGAGTCTTGTTCGGTCTCATTCGTGCCAGCATCCAAAAGCTAATAATTGTGTGTGCATTTCAGGAATTTTAAATAATCAGCTAAATGATCAAATCACCCGGGAATTTGCCCAATCTCACCAGATTGTGTGAGGAATGCAGGGTTGAGCCCTGTTAGCACTTGAATGGGTGACCACCATGTACACCACGTGGTCACGGTGCGCAGGGCTACATTGCAGTCAGTAGAGAGCACTGCAGCATGATGCATTATCGTCCTCTACTTCCATACCCCGCTCCCAAACGGATGAATCAACGCCTGCACAAGTTACACCCCCCTCCTGCCACCTCGTTCACAGGTGTTCAGCGGTGGCCGTGCCAAGCTGGCTGAGAAGGTGAAGCTCAACCTGCAGTACGACGAGGCCAAGCGCAGGTGAGGGCAGCATTTGAGCAGTTGGTCGTGGGTCGGCGCCAGTGGGTTGGCTCCACATCGCAACCAACTCCTTGGCATTAGCCTAGTGGTTGGAAACCGTCTTGCTTATAATCGAGCTCGGTTCAAATTCCCGGTCACGGCGAACATCGGTGGCAAGTGATATCGGAACCGGTCCGAGCCACCCGCGTTCTGCGACTCGCATTGACTGGCGTGGTGAAGTACGATCAAACAACCCTCCCTGACCGATGCATTACATCCTGTAGACATGTGTACACTTAATTTCAACTAAATAAGAAGGACTGCTCTGGTATTGTATCGCCAGACATGCCCGTGTTAACAAGTAAATGGATCACTATTTTTGCTGAAAGTCTAGATGGGTAGCTTTTAGGTGTGTCCAAGTTGAGCTTATGTTTAATCACCTCTCCTCCGGAACTGGGCAGAGGTCAGCAACTGCGTGTGCGCTTTGCCAATTTGAAGAGCTGGTAAGACTGGCTGGATCAAAAAGACCTGGGATCCCAATGCGGCTTGCGCAAAAATCTCAGCGTTTGGGTTTGGCGTGGAAGGTGGCAAGCTGTGCTGGGTGGAATCTGGAAGTATCAAATTGGCACGTCCTCGTCCGGAACTGGCGGTCGCGGCTAGCAACTTTTCCCACTACGGCGAGAGTCCGAACAAAGCGCTCCCTGTAGCGAAGGAAACCTTAGAGAGTGGGCCGCTCCCCGCGATGAGAGATGAGGAGAGATGGGAAAGTCTGCCACCTGACACCAGCGGCACCTTCTGCCGCCTCGCGAAACCCCGCGAGCCAACAGTGCCTCCTTTTGTCTCGGCACGAGTTGCCGTTTCATCTCAGGTGTGGTGGGCGCTTTGAGGTTTTTCTTCTTTTTTTTTTTTGTCAGATTTTTTGCCGGGAGCCATTCACCCGCTTGTTGTTCCTCAAGCCGAGTATAAAATACTCGCAAAGATTTCTTTACCGGGTTGGTGGGAGAATTTGTTGGCCGGGGGTGTGGAGGGGCGCAAGGCGGGGGAGGCCAGTTCATCAGAGGTGTAGCACAAAAATCGCAACCTCGATACAAAGACAGGGCAGCTGCAGCTGCTGCTTTGGGGTTGGTGAAGCGGCTCGCGGCAGGTGATTGCCGGCGGTCGCGTTTCCGGACGGGACTGCCTCGCGTCTATGGGATGCAGCCGCCCTCCTTTTATCTGAGGCGTCGGGCGTGATGCCGGTGGGAGAGAAAAAAAAGACCCTCGGAGAGAGAGAGGGAGATGGGAAGATGGGAGGGACGAGGATTGTTTGTGTGAGGTCCGTCGCAGTGGTGTGCCCCGCATGGCCGAGCTTGCCACCCTCGCTGGGAGGCGTGGTGTGCCAGCGTTTTGTCTCGTGCGCTCGCGTTTGAGGTTGCTTTATTTGGGCAGCTGGGTGAAAACATAATCCAGTGCGGCCCCTCTCTGGGGGCCACTTCCTGAAGGCACACGGCCGCCGCTTGGCTTTAATATCGGTGGCGCTTTGTGAAAGGCAACAAATAAACCCTGCGCACATGGAGGGGCGTCTCCCCGAGCACGGAGTCACTGCTCCGTCTCCTCCTGCTGTGTTCTTAAAGAAGTGAGCGTCCTGCCCAGGAAATCCAAACGGGGATTATGAGACCAGTAGCCGTGGGTGGGAAATGTTGAGCCATGGCACGTGGGAGAGTTGATGGGTAAATAAGCCGTAGGGTGTCTTCTAAGTCAACTATGCTCATGCTCTGTTTCCGGTGCCTGTGTGTTGCTATGTACTTTGTCCGTGCGCTTCATACCACAAGTTCCTGTGTCTATATTTCTTGCATCGCTATGTCTCCTTTGTACCCATGTTCTTTTGTGCCTCTGTGTGTTGGCGTCCTGTATCCCTTACCTTTGTGTTTCTTCTATATCTGTGCATTTCTGTGTACCCATGTCACTAGATTCGTGTGTCCCTTGTCCCGGTGTTCTCATGTCCCCGGGTGCCTGCGTCTCCATTTCTAATATTCTGGTGTCCTGTGTCCCGTACACGTGCATCCTGGTGTTCGTTATCTCCTGTCCTTATGCCCTGTTTCTCTGTGTACTCATCTGCCCTTGCTGTTGTGTTTCCTGTCCCTGTCTCTCTTTGTCCTATGCCCTTGCATTTCCATATTCCATAATTCATACATCCCATTGTTTTGTTTCTTCATGCCCCATGCCTCCGTCTGCACGCCCCGTCCCTTTATCCCTGTGTCCGCATGCCCCCCCGCGCCCCGTATCTCGCATCCTCGCGACTCAAGTCCTCGAGTCTCACGTTTTTGAGTCGTAACCCTGCGCGCGATATCCTCACGGCCTGCGTGTCTCCCCCCCCTGTCTCCCCCCCCCCCCCCCTCGTGTGTAACCTCCAGACTGGCCAACATCCAGATCGAGCTGGCCAAGCTGGAGGCGGAGGCTTGGCCCGGGGCGCTGGAGGCCGACCGCGACCGCCTGCTGCTGCTGGGCGAGAAGGAGGAGCTCCTGCGGGAGCTGCGCTACGTGAACCCGCGCAAGCGCTCGCGCGAGGAGGCCACGCGGCTCGAGGCGGAGCGCCACCGCCTGGAGGAGGAGCTGCAGGAGGCGCGCACTGCCAACACCGACGCGCTCACTCGCAGGTCAGTCGCTGGCGGAGGCGGGCGTCCGAATTGGCGCCGGGGGGGTGTGGGCGGGAGGCAGGCGGTGGTGTTGCCGACTATTAACTTACTAGCAATTTTTTTTTTTTTACCAAGTAAGTCCCACTCGGCTGTGTAGCTCTTTTTCAGAAGCGACCTGGCCACCAATGGTAGCCCCACAAAGTGGAAATTTATAGCCGCCGAATACTCTTAAACGCATGTTTATAAATATGGAGCGAAAAACCGGAGGGTGTGTAAAGCCTCTGATGAAATTTGGTACGTTATTTCCATGGGTTCGTGCTTCCCAAAAAAGTTAATTAACAATGACGAATGTAAGGTTCCTTATGCAAGAATACAGTTCCAGGCCCAAGGTTTTGTCTGTCTTAGTTCATCTTAGTTCAAATAAAAATGCACTACTACAGAATGGACCCGTTGTATTAGTTGCCGTGATATTATTCTCATAGGTCAGCCATTGAGAATCGTTACTGCAAACTTATTCTTCCTGGAAAGTTATCCTCAGTAATGAATTATGCCCAGGTGTGAGAGCCCAAAGGCTCCTTTCTAGGGAATCCATCCCTGTTCTCTGAAAGGTGTCAAGTATGACAAAATGCGCTGAGCTAACCCATTTTAGGCCTACATTTTTCATCATTATTATTTACGGGCAGCTGTAAAACATCTATAGCAGGGCGCAGATCTCCTGCGGGTGTAAAAATCCGAGCGGGAGAAACGTCCCGTCATCACACTTTTATTTTATCATTATTGGTGCAGCCCCAATGGGAAGGCATTGAGGGATGAGGAGGGCGGGACACGTGGCCCCAGCGCCCGCCCACTCGTGAGTGTCCTTCTGACGTCCTGTCATGGGCTCGGCACTGCCCCCCCAGGCAGCGGGATATTGACGCTCGCTCTCCCCACCCACCCGCTCGCCGTGTGGAGAATGTTGTCTGGCAGATTTGTCATTGATGAACGGGAGTCGGTTGTCAGTCCACTGCTGGATGAAGGGCTCCCCACGCTGTGCTAGTTTTGGTGGTTGGTCCTTGCTAGTTGGCACACGGAGGCCGCCCTGGACCAGATTAAATATCACTGCCCGCTGATGGCAGCCGTGGCCGGGAATCGAACTGGGCTTGGCACGTTCATAGCACATTGTGCGAAGCAGTGATTTACATTCTATATTCCTCTGGCGTGGCTAGTATTACTATAAGGACAACCAAAGTATTGTAAAATCTTGACTTAAAGCTTTCGTGACTCCAGGAATTCATATTCTTTGGGTCTTTCGGTAAAGTCACGTAGATAGGTTAAAAAAATTAACAAGAAACTACGACGTTTCGATCGTCCTAGTACGTATTTTGCTGGCTATAATGGACTGGTGGGCTGAGTTGGCCCTGATTAAATGATTTGAACTGGTAGCCTCCTAATTATGAGTCAAGTTGTCTAGCTGCCTCTGCACGTTGTTACATGGTTCACTGATGAAGATGAAGAACGAGTCCTTGGAAATATGACCCGCCAGCTGGGAGCTCACTTATTACGTCGGTTGAAACTTTACTTAGCACGGCATACACAAACGTATTCCTCCTCTCCTTGACCTATCCCAATTATAATCTTACTTTGTTCGTGGTGTCATCGTGAGCCGAAGAAATGTACGATTATGAACTCTTGTAGCGAGCATTTTGCGCACCACCTTGTGTCAGAGAATGATCCTGGAAGAAGACTTCAAAGAACTACTTCCAAAATCGGCACACCTCTTCGATGGCCAGGGAATGTTGTTGCATGGCAATCAAACCACATTTCATTATGAGAGCTATAATATGGCAATTGAAATGTAAAAGCAAGTTTATTACGTGCAATCTTTCGTGTGTGGGGCTAAACCGTTACATTTTCACACTTAACCGCAATTCGTTCTGGTTGGCTTAGTGGATTCAAACCCCCGTGATCTCAGCAGTGTCGGCCCCAGCGCTCTGGCACGATATTAGCCCCATGAGCCACCCGAAGCGCCTCTTGCATGCAGACGCTTCTTCATGAAACAACAATTTTGCAACGGCAACAGCAAAAAGGGACGAGGGGCACAACATAACTCTCTTGGGTCGGCAGGTTCCAGCGCTCGCCCTGCCGCTTGCCGGTTTGCACGAAACTCTGCACCGGCTGACGGACGGCCAACGTGCCCTCCAACAGGCTCTTCTTTGTTCACGCTCTTCCTGTGTGCGCGGTGCGTGTTGCCCCACGGGCTCTTACCTGAACGCCGTGGGGCCAGTGTAATTTATTATAGCGGTGGATGCCTTTTATTTCGTTAAAATATTTTCTAAAAGCAAGCCCCCCCCCACCACCACCGTTTCCTATCTGTGAGAGGCAGACGCTGATATTCGTCGTTTAATTTCCTTTCTTGTTGATTTAATGAAACGAGCTGTGATAAAAGGCCGCAGGTGTTAAGTGCCCGTTTGATTTATTTCTGTAAAATGCATCGAACGCTTCACGCTTTCACAATCAATCGTGCGCCGTCGTTTATCAGGTACGGCATTTGTTTGGTTGGTTTCATTTATCTGGTCAATTCCCGTGCCAGACAAATCGCGGGAAGCCACATTGAGCTTATCGCTCATCCCAACAGCGCTCGGTTTCAGCTTGTTTCTGCCCTCCAAAGGCCACTGCATAGCCCCATTGTCAACAGGAGCCTCTTTGTGCTCAGCATTTTAAGCCAATTCTTTTGTGGCAAACTGCGCATTGCTTTTTTTACGTCGTTTCGTAAGATTTAACGGGGGGAAAAAATAATAGTCGTACGTTGACAAATATGTGTTTCCTTTTAACATTAACTGAATGTTAATAGATTTAGCTGAACTCTAAAAATCCAGTGCCAGCACACGGTGATAGGCTGCTGCTTGTGGAGGTGGGAACTCAAATGCAGAGATTTTCTACTCGACAAAACACAACACTTCTCTCTTTCCGCCATGGTACTTCAAGCCGCTTATGTATAAACAAGCAGACCAATGTCACGCAGGATGAGTTTTCAGATTAATTAATATTAAGGAGATTACTTGGTCTTTGAAGGATAGCCGGGACAATTCTGCTCCTGGAACTAAACGAAGGTATTGTTATTTTACCAATTCTTTTTCAGAAGTGATCTGGCCACAAATGCGAACCTAATGAAGTGGCTTATCATGTGGAAATATATTTATGGCAGGCAAATACTCTAAACGCACGTTGAGTCTAAATGTAGAGGGAAAATCCGGAGAACCCAGAGAAAAATCTACACGACTCCGGGCAGAGAGAACATACAAACTTCAAAATATACACGGGCGTCCGGGTCAGGATCGTACCCACGACATCCTGTATACCAGGCGAGGTAGTTAACATCTCACCACCATGGCGCTCCTCTTCCCCACGAGGCAGCTGCTTTCAAATGTGATGGCAGCAGCTGTCCTGCGTGAGTGCCGTGGTTGTCTCTGCACCGGGGTGACCGTGGTTGTTGCCACAGCTGTAAAGTTCACGCAGCCAAAAGCACAAAAGCGCTGACCGGGCTCTTGAAATAACAGTGACTCTGTGTTTGCAAAAATAATAATTCAAGCAAACATTTTTCTTTTAAGTGCGAGGAATGAATGCTGCCTGTTGTAGTTACCGGGGGGGGGGGGGGAGGGGGGGAGGTTACTTCGATTGTCGAATTTTCCAAACCGCAAAAAAAGTGACGCGTTTTCAACATTATTCATCTTTACGATCGTACGGTGCTCGGAAGCGACCATGCTGAATGCATCCCCAAAGTATGGCGACCCCTCCAAACATTAAACATCCTCCCAGGAGGCATTAGAAACACATTTGCGGGTCTGAGATATGGATAAACTAAAGGTTATTTAGATTGGTGAAATGAGTCACAGATTAACCAAACAAACATTTCAAGTCGCCTAACATTAGTGTAGCCCAATATAGTTAATTGTTGATTTATCAATGTTCCTCTGGGCTAATACTAGACCAGGCAGGCATTCTGAGATTGGGAGGATTAAACTATGGAGATACATGCAGGCAGCCTTTGTGGGATTGCTTTGCCTTCTTGTTGTAATAGCAATCGTAAGAATAACAATAGTGATCTAAGAGCACTTTGTTGAATCCACTGCTCTAGGTGAAGGACTCCCCACTCACACACTCCGTCAGTCATGGGGGCTGTGTGACCATACTTCACCACACTCCTCGGTCCGGGTTTAGTGAAAGGGCTGGAACTCGGGGCCGGTTCGGATATCGCCCGCCTCTGATGTTAGACGTGGCCAGGAATCCAACTGAGGCATCTGGCGTCGTAGCGCAGTGGGCTATAACTGCTCACTGCGCCCCCTTTCTTGTTGCTATTTTTACAAATGCCGCATAGCGTGAAGCCGACCACAGTGATTCTGGTGCCACGCGTGGATGAACACGGTTATTCCATCAATTCTGGAGCTGAGGAATCACTGCATCGTTAATGTCACGGCGTAATTACTTTTCCTTTACGATGATTATTTCTTACACTCGGCCCACGTGGACATGGCAGAATATTAAAATAAACCGCGATTGTTGAGCATCAAGACGTTAGGGGCCGGTAGGAAACGGCACCCCGCCCAGCCCGCTCTACTTGCTGGCTGAGTCGATGTTCGTGCTCGTGGCTGCGCGCAGGTTACAACTCCAGGAGAAGAGGAACAACCTCCTACGGCAGCTGGAGGATACCACGCGTCTCGCCTCCTACCTGCACACGCAGCTCAAGAGGTGTGACCGCCACATAACCACCCCCCGCCACCCCCACCTGGCTCCCCCCCCCCCCACCCCCCGTTTGCACGCCGGCCTGCATTGGCGGTTCATCGCCGTGCTCGTTTCGCGCGCTCCGCATGCTCGGGATTCCCCGGGACGTGAGCCCGGAGGCTTAAGGAAGGAGCCGGGCTTACTCGGCCATCCTAATGAGAGGACCTAATGAGACTGCACATGTGCGGCGTGCGGGACGAGATGCTTGCTTTGGGAGAGCTTTCTTCAAAACCGCAGTGCGTGCGTGTTGATGTGTGTGCTTGCATGCGTGCGTGCGTGCGTGCGTGCGTGGACCACTTTGTCAACGCTCATGCTCATGGCTTGCTTGCTTTGCAATAACTTCGGAATGGTACTTGGGCAAGAGAGCGAATGCTTTCTTACCGCAGTTTTTGGTTGTGGGCATTGAATAACTTTGTGGCGAGGAGGCTGATTACTAGGTCGCACACGTAACTATTTGCAATGCTTGAATCACTCGTGCCCGTGTACGATGAGTGCATATTAACAAACGCGTACGACATTTGTGCCGACGTGCTCATGAATGGCAATGAGCTACAGACGGGAAGATAAATGTTAAAGTCGAATTGATTCAGTGAGAGACTCTTGATAACTCAAATAGCATAGTCAATGGGGCATCACCCTGCTTTTCGGGCGCAGTTATTGTGTTTCCCACTAAAGATGTCCTTGAGTGATCAAAACTTGGTGGGGCCCTTGCAGTGAGCTCTCATTCCCGAAACGAAGGGAGGTTTTTTATTAGTGAAGCAATGCATCGGCGCCCTGCCTGTGCGAGAGTGTCCACTCTGCCGCCTCCGCTGACACATTCCCCACGTATGATTGTAACATAGAATACGTCGGTACGTATAAACATATACGAGTATGCAAAGGCGTACTTTTCAATTGAAGCCATGCTGTACACACATCTTACGTGCGTAATGATCATCTTGAGCGAGATTTGATTAATTATTGTGATTGGGCATTGTAATTTGATGCAAGAACCAATGTTTTTTTTTGTCAAGTTCGTTCTGTATTGTGCCATTAGCAGAAAGGTTACATTGGAAAATCGTTGCCATAAATTGTTAATAATCAATTCTCAGATACGGTTCAATGCGCATATCCTGATTTCGGGGAAAAAAACTGTTTTAGTTGATGAATCTGTAACTTCATAATAAAGTTTTTGGGTTCGATCGCGTTACTTATTCATAAAAAAATTACGCAATCTAACCCAAAAACGTTTATGATGAATAATATTGGTCGTGAAAGCCTACGTGTTAAACTGAATCTGTACCTCCAAATGTATACACATCATACACACATTAAATGACCTAGAGAATGCCTAGACAGTGTTGTTAAAGCACACATAGTTGCTCATTGTCTCTTGTTCAAATAATCCATCGCGGGATTATTTGAATCCGATTCTGAAATTCTCATTCGCACGATCATCAACGGCACTGCTCCTCTCCTCTTCTTCCTCCTCCCCCTCTTCCTCCTCCTCCTCTACTACCTCACGCCTCTTCATCATCATCATCATCATCCTCCTCCGTCCCGTGCGTGTGGCCCGCAGCCTCTCGGCGAGCACGCTGTCCGTGTCGTCGGGCAGCAGCCGCGGCTCGCTGGCGTCGAGCCGCGGCTCCCTCTCGGCCTCCAGCAAGGGCTCCCTGAGCTCGCTGAGCTTCACGGACATCTACGGGCTGCCGCAGAGCGAGCCCGCTCACCCGCTGGCAGCCGCCTCCTCCTCCTCCTTCTCCTCGTCGCCATCGTCCTCCTCGGGGCAGGACCTGCGGCGCCGCGTCGACGTGCTCCTCTACGAGGAGCGACCGCGGAAGATGGGCCCCGGCGGGTACGTGCGCTGCCACGGGGGCATCGTGGGTGACGGGTGGAGGGGACGTGGGGGGGGGCGGGGCAGGGGGCGTCAATCGGCGTCACTTGCTGAATTTTCAGTTGGGGGTTTCATTCCGGCACCAAGTGCCTTTCGTTCGTTTAAAGCGGGGGTCGGGAACTTACGGCGCACACCCTGAGTACGGCTCGCGACCTGGTATCATGTGCCCAGTATGAGGCCTGTCTCGTTGAAACGGCCCAAAAACGATATCCATCACCATGGGCATATTAGCCAAAGTATTGGGGTATGAGAGAGGAATGTTGTAAATGTGAACAATATTTAACACTGTTTTTAATTTTACATTTATATGAACAAACTGTTTACTTGGAGCCTCTTTAGGTATGCAAAATAAGATTAGGTGTTACCCTTTCTGGCAACGAAACAGGTGTGAAGATATTCAAATAACCAAATAAGTACCTTCTGCAAAGAATCACGTTTGCATTAACCACACGTACTTGTGGTGAACATGCGAACAGACATGCTTTGATAATATATGCATTGTCTTTGAAACTGATTGGCCCACATCAGGCCCCTTGACATATCCTATTAAACCAATGCCGCTGGGTTGTCTGATAATACTGGCCAGAGAGCTTCCCTTAAATCGTGGGGCCCATTCGGTGAGAACAGAAACTGGGTGTGAATATTTTGACTTTGTGATGCCCATGCCCCCCCCCCCCCGTCCATCTGTCCCTCCATCTATGCGACCGTCGACCACCACCACCACCCTCGCTGCTGGCATGTCCGTGCGCAGCGCGGGCTCGGTGATCCGCGAGACTCGCGAGTCGCTGGGCTCCTCCCTGTCCCCGCGCTCCTCGCTCTCCTCGCTCTCCCCCCCCGGGTCGCCGCTCGTCGTCGACTCCGGCTCCGCGTTTTCGGCCGCGGCGCGCGCCGTCGAGCTGGGCCCCGAGTACGCGGAGGAGGACGAGGAGGAGGAGGAGGAGGGCGACGGGGACGACCGCGTGGTCGCTCGCGTGCCCGGCTCCTTCCGCGAGCCGCAGCTCGGCAACCCCGGCAAGGCTCCCGCCGGCACGGCCGCTTCCGCAGGCAACGCCGCTCGGTGCGCCGGCGATGCGGGGACGCAGCTCAGCACCATCTCCGAGGCCGTTGCAGGTGAGATCCCCACGAGAATCTACGGCCCGCGACCCTTTAACTTTACGCGACCCGTGGCCACATGAGGCCCATCTCCTGTGAAATGGTCCGCAAATGATCATTAAACGTTACTCCAAGCATCTTGACCACAGGAACCGGGTCCGAGAGGGAGCAATGTTTTTGACCTGGAAACCCCGTTTTTAATTTTTATCGCACTCAAGTCACTTCTGTCAGGGCAGAGGGCCTCTTGCAGTGACTGTGCCGCCATATCTAACTGTGTAATTCTGGCAATGCTCCCTTTCATAGTTACATTTTTCATTCTTAATAGGTGTCCTAGCTCACAGATCTGCCATTATGGATGTGATCCTCCAAATGGCAGTCTTTTGAGTTGTATTGCGCGTTCTGAAAAAAAATTGCTGGCACAGATGGCTCGTAAGAAAAAAAGTGTATTGCGTAAGTGCGAGAGGAAAGCTGCAAATTCAGGCTGCTTGATCCCACGCTGGTCTCGCCATCACACAGCGAATGCACTGAGCACACTTCATTACTCGCACTAAGAATAGGAATTAGTTAAAAATAACAGTGTTCGAAATACGTGGAAATATACGGAGGCGTTATACATCCTTTGAAGGGAGCATTGATCTATAAATATGGTATAAAAAGGGTACTTGTATAGCTTTTCAAGCCACGAGACGGAGCGCAATATATGCACTTTCGTGTCATTTGAGCTTTAAGATCAAAACAAGCCCTTTCGTGCACCAGGCTGACATCAGGATCACAGTGTTGCTCACCGCACTGGCGGGAACAAAATTCCCCCCCTGGTTCCGCTTTATTCTCCCGTGGGCCCTCCCCCCCCTGGGCCCCTCCCCCCCCCCCTGGGCCCCCCCTTCCCCGCTCTCCACCGCTCGGCTCCCTCCCATGACTCTCTTCGTCCGTCTTGGCGTCTCATAATCCGAACACAGGGGTTCGTTTTTATTTAAATGTCGTTTCCAGCGGTCTGTCCCCCAACGCTGCAATGCATGGCGGCAAAAGATCCCACGGCGCCTTTGGGCGTGCTATCTGCCTAATGGAGGTTAAATTAAACTAAATGGCCCGTGGAAAACGCAGATAATTTGAGGGCACATGGGCGGGCATTCGCACAGTGTCAAAATAAACCGAGAATAAGGCAGAGCACACCAAGGCGTGAACATTGGCAGGAGTTTACATGTTTTATCTCGTATTTACTCGCTCTGGAATTGTTTTTTTATCTTCGTATAGATTTTCGGAAAGAGAGACACATTTTAGAGGTATTTCTTTCGTGTAATATTACTAATGTTGCCAAAATGTACAAAATTCATTGACTTAGCCAAAATTTCAAATTATAGTATAATTAGAAGAATTTACAGGGGACTAGCAGTGCATAAGTTATTGTCACTGACACGGGACAATAACGTCGGCTCCTAGACGTGGCGCTCAGCGAGGGCACCCAGGGGGCTCAAGGTTCATCGGATTATTAACAGGGGAGACCCCACGCTCGGGCCAGCATGCGTTTAAACAAAAACCACGACACAAAAAAGGCTGGAAATTTTTGCCGGCGTCCTTGAAAGGAGACAAAAAAAAGTGGTGGTGGAGGGGGGGGGGTGGTGGGGGTGGGGGCGAGTGAGTGAGGGGAAAAGAAGAAAATGGACTGAAACCGTAGACTTTTTCATTTTGGAATTGCGCTCCTCTTTGATGCGGCGGCTGAATGCACGGCTCGGCAGATTTACAGGAGGGCACGGCAGCTGTGGGCCGTCGGATGGCGGCCGGCGTTTGGCGCGCAAGGCGGGGATGGAGGGTGGAGAGGTTGGGGGGAGGGGAGGGGAGGGTCCAAACGAACCGGAGCCGGAGCCCCACGCTGCGTCAAGCGGCTCGTGGGGTTGGTGGGGAGGAGCTGTTCGGGAGAGATGGGTGGAGTGAGCGGAAGGCACCGATCTCCCGCGAGGGAGCGGAGGCCGGCGGGGGCTGCACGCGGCCACCGTGCGGAATGCCCTCTGCGTGGCTCCCTTTTCAGAGAGGAATGCGACGTGGCCTGTTTTCCCGCACCCGTGGGAGTGGTGCCACGCGTGCCTCTGCACATCGCCGGGGTCCAATTAATACCGTGGAGGCCGTCTCCTCTGCCTTCCGCTCGCGAGCTCGATCGATCGCAGCAGGTCGTGCGAGTGTGGCCGGCTGTCTTCGTACACTTTTCTTCCTGCGGTTTTGTTCTTCTTATTGCTACAGCTCAGGGGGTGTCCAAACTTCAGAGGAGTCTTTTCCACTTTGGCCAAGTTCAGATCCGCAACCTGTCATAAATAAGCAGCTTTAATGTCTTGCACAGCTCGTGAGGTTTACTTATCTTCGTGTTTTGCCACCCTTCGTTTAAGTGTGGATATAGGGCATGATTACATGATGAAAATAGTTCTAAACACTCCAGAGCGGTTCACTACCCATTGCTCCTCACACCAACGGAAGGACCTGGCTTAACTCGGAACGTTTCGTGTTCTTTACGCCATCGGCAAACTCTTTGTGCGTTAAAAGATGAGTGCATGGGGTACTGCCGGGCTGCCAAAATGTAATTACTGGCTTAGGAATAATGAATGCATGAGCACGTTGTTATTTTCAGCGTGAGTGTGAAACGGCGCAAGATAAGCACCCAGCAGAGCTATTTTCACAATTAGATCCCATGATGGGATTAGGGAAACATTTTAAACCGACGCTACAGGAAAAGAACAATCCATTATCGGGCTGCGCTTGGTGACTACTCAACGAGCCTCAGCCCCGACACGGAGAGAATAATTCCCCGTTTCTGCCGGGACCGTGGTGGCACTTGCAGCTGCGAGTTTGCGGCCGCTGCTGCTGCTGCGGGAACTCGCAGAGTTTCGGTGAGGCCGCCCAATGTTGTTGCACGTTTTTCAAACGCATTCATGGTGGGTTGTGACCCCCCCTCCCACCCTCCCACCCTCCGCCCCCCCCCAAAATAAAAAGCTTTCCTCTCCGCGTGAGAACCCTTCTCATGCAGTGAGGAATGCTGCTTTTTTTGTGCGACCGCCCCCTCGGGCTTGAACTCGGCGCCCCAGAGGTGCTGGCTCGACACCCAGGCATTTTTTATGTCTTTCTTTCTTTCTTTGAGCAGTGTGGCTGCCTTGATCTGTATACAGCTCATTGGCAAGGCAAACCCCGCAGCGCTCTCTCTCTCCTCTCTCTCTGCGCTAAGTAATCACGGGTGACTTTGTGGACAAATAGGGTGCGATGCTGGAACGCACGGGGTCCCGGCTTGTTCGGGTACCGTGGGATTGTTTACATTCACTCGTTAGCAGGTATAGGATTTTTCCGGTGGCCCCGTTCGATATTGTCTCAAGTCATGGACTGCGTTGTGATCAAAGCGGCGATGTGGCGCTCGCGCAAGCCACAAAGCGGTCGGTCAGCTTCAGCCGTGAAAACATACATCTGACCCTGCGGGCCACACTGTCTCATTCTCTCCCATTCAGTGTGTGACTAATACAACGTTCCCGTACACACTTGGGTTTTGTGATGCATGTTATTTTATGGTAGGCAGTGACATTCGGTGGTGTTTAAAACATGCAGTGGGGCCGCTCTCTCGTTAAATAGCTGTGGGCGTAGTGGCAAAGGTTGGTGGGATATGCAAATGTGTGAAACTGCCTAACCTACTGGGCCGCGAGGTGGCTTGCAGATGACAGTACGACAACTGGGTGCATGAACAGATCTGTTCAGTTTTAAACATTATCCCCTCAAGGGTATGGCTTTTCTCCAGGGTCCTTTTGCTTCATCCCAACAGTAAAGCACTGCTTTCAAGGAAATTTGTGTTATTATATTTGAATCGATACTACGAGAATAATGGAGAGCAATCGGAAGCATCCCAAATGCCCGCGTAATGATTATCATATGAGACTGGGACTGGAAGCTGCACACCAAGTACTTATGAAGGCAAGGAGCACTGCCTGTAACGACATTCTTTGTTAAGAACCTTTAAACTACGTGCATGAGTCAACTTGGACTGGTGGAATGTCCCGTTGCGGAAAAATGAGGTTAAATCGCATTTAGCACGTGGGAGGAGGAGGAGGAGAGTTCCACCTCGAACAGTCCACGGTCTGCTAATTCAGGAACATGATTTCATACTGACTGGTGTGCAGCTTTTCCTGCATTAACCTTTGATGTCCACGAGCAGTCGTCGCATTTTCGGTGCCTGCCGCACCGCAGGGATTCCACAGTCTTGGTGGGTGGGTGGGTGGGTGGACGCGTGAGGGGTGTTTGGTTTAGGGGGGCGGCTTTCCGAGCTGTGTCATTGGAGTTTCTTGGTTTGACGCACCCATTGAATGTCTTCTTCCTCCTCCTGGTACAAAATCGGGCAAACATTGCGGGCCCCATCAATTTGTCCTCACTCGTTTTTTGTTTTGTTTATACCCAGTATCGAATGTTTCTTCACTCACATTATTGAACGTATTTCTCAGTTGGCCTGCGCTTGCACAACTCAACATTGACTTGACTTTAAATATCGTCTAAACTACGATCTATTTTTAGATTTGTTTGCACTCAATTCGACTGATAACAATGTGCCCTTTTTGGCGACTCATTTAATCGACTCTGTTAAAAAGCTAAAAATATTATTTACAGTCCTTTGTCAATCTGCGTGGTCATGTCATGAGGATAATTAGACCATACTTCACCACACCGGCCAATGCGGGTTGGTGAAGCTGGGACCCAGGAGCAGGTCCGAAGTCATTCACCACTCAGTGTTAGCCACGATCAGGAATCACACTCAGGTCACAGAGTTCATGGTCAAGTGTGCCATCCACTGTGCCACTGATCCAGAATTTTTATTTAGTAATATACCGTAATTACGATTATACTTATCGCAAGATTAAAAACATTTCTGATTTAAAACACAGCTGATGAAGGACTCGCGTATGGAATTTCCCATGGGCAAGTAACAGAAAAAGAGTTGTACGCATAATAAAAGCCAGCGCGGAGCGATTTATAATTCATTACAAGGAGAACCCTGGAATGGGCCGCTTTATCTGCTGTCCTTGATTGTTGCCACGGTGGGCGGCGATTAAACCATTGACAAATGTCTCAACAGCTGGGGTCGTTGAGCGTTCCCGACCGATGACGGCTCTCATGGCACGAGCCGTGCCTACGATAACGCCGCTACTTTTGTTTCTTTGCCTTCGGTGCGATTCGCCAATGCCTTGTCGCTCTCGGCACGGTGTTACATGGCTTACGTTCTCAACGAATATTCTCCAGGTCGCCGATAGACCGAGAGGTGGCAGGTGACTGGGTAGCCAAGACTGAAGTTAAAGGGTATCCTGGATGTGGTGGTTAACAATGTGCCGTAAATATTTCTGGTGTCGCTGACCCAGACAGGACAAGGCCGAAAGAAATCCCTTCATAAAGCCAAGCATTGTAACCATTCCTGCGCATCCTGTATGTAAGTTCATCTTCTTTCGCACCGTACGTATACAACCGTGCTAATCGGTACACTTTTCTCCGCGAAGGAGAAAGGGTTTTTTGCTCGGCTGTTCCCATCCCGGTGCAATCCACTAAATCCCCCTTTTGCCCAAGTTTGTAGCTCGCGGATGAATAGTTTTGCCGTGCTCACGCACACCCGGCTGCTCCGCATTAACCGATGGGGGGGGGGGTGCTTTTTGTCCGGACGTTGGGTGTAATTGAATGATTGTATTAAGCGACGCTCGCCCGGCGGCTGTTTTGTAGTTTGCACAAATAAGGTCGCATTAGGCAGGAGTAACTGAAAACATAAACGATGACATCTTTACGGGATGCGGTAATGCCGTGCGCAAATTCGGTTCAGGAGAACAGCGCCAGCCATTGTTTGCATCCAACGTTTTCCAAAGCAGACAGGCCACGAAAGAAGATCTTTATAATGTGTTTTTAGGAAGAATAATAATACGACTAATGTCATTATTTATATAAAAAGTATTTCTGAGTCTCAAGCCCTGTTCTCAGGAGAGTCCTGCATTCAGATGTTTGGCCAATTTCATATTAAGAAGCATTTGTGTGTGTGTGTGGGGAAATCGGAGTGACCTTTAGAAAATCCTTGCTTTATGAGCTCATCTTACTAAAAATTACACACGGATAGCTTTACCAACCCACATGGTGCACCACTGGCATATCCTGCCCAGTGGCCACGTCACTGCTCAGTGGGCCCAGTGGGTTTGGCAGTAGCACATCTGAATGGTCCGCCAATTCTTGCTTGCAAAACACGAAATTCCTGGCATGTGCTACCATTATAACTGCATTCACTTCTGCGGCAAACGTTCGCTCGCACCTCTGTGATGCATCTCGTCCGTACTAAACAGAATGCGCGTGTCACGTGATGGTGGCAATGAGAGACAGTCCATTGGCTCACAAGCTACCTTAAAGCTGCACGCATCGCATTTTTGTTGCTGCTATGTTTAGGTTTTGGTCATCTCTGACATTCAGACGCCACGTGAATTCTAAACAGGATGTCAGGTGGTAGGATGTGTCAAGTCATGGCAGTGGGCGCTCACACTTTGCACGCCCCTGAGCATACACACCGCATAGTAGTGTGCGCCCGTAATCTGCACACGCCCCATACCTTTGTTAAATACAAAGTATTTGTCCCCGAGGTGAACTCACTGGTTGAAAGAAGAGGGGGGCTGTCTTTGGCCCGCGTATTGGTCGCCCTTCACCGGGGGGGGGGGGGGGGGTGTTGGGGGAGCCTTCCTTAAAATAGTGCCTGACTGTGGCTTTGTGGGCCCTTTGAGCTTTCGTCTGCTGAGTGCCCGCTGCGCCCCGAGACACCGCCCCCAACGGAAGATGGAAAAATAAACCCCGGCTCAAAAATTAGTGCGCTTGAAACCGAGCCCCTATGTATAGCGCATTTCGTAACAAAAATGCCACGTTAGAAATTAGCCCTTAAGTATAACGTGTCTTTCAAAGTGGCGTCTGGTAATTTCGGCTAATAGAATCGGCGGCAAATTTTAAAGCCGCCTCCCTGTTTGGCAATGCATTTGGCAGAGTCATTGAGTGGGCCCCCTGCTATTTATGCGGTGGCTGAAATGTGCTCAGAGTGTGCGTCTGTGCTCCGAATAGTCGACTCTTTTTACTCTTCTCTGAGCAGCTGACGGGCCTCTGGGCCGAGGTCCCCTATAATTTATCCTCGGCGTTTATGGAATTTTTGCACGTAAGTTTAGCCCTGCTGGGTGCGGAAATAACTTGTGCTATTTTTAAACGTTTTCTTGGTAAAATAGTGATAATATTATTAATTCCTGCCCCTCCACAGACGTAGGTAATTGTATGCAAGATCTGCCCGTGTGCTGTTGCACTGCACGTGTGGCTTGGGATATTTATTATTTTGAGAAAAGTGTGAAGCTGAAGTGGATATTTTTTTTTACAAGCCATTTTCTCAGTGCATTAATAACATATTCAGGGTGTCACATTGAGGCCCATTCCAATGCTGATGTGGGCTGGGAGAGGTTTCTATTACGCACCCATGTCACTTTTGTTGTATTGATGTTTATGAGGTTTATTTGGGAAACTCTGTAACGTATCTATTGGCTCATACCGGCGATGAGTTGCAGGGCTGAAATATGCTCCGAGTGAGCGTCTGCGCCGCCCCAAATAGTCGGATCTTTTTACTCTGCTCCGAGAAGCAGCTGATGGACCTTTCTGAACCAAGGCCCCTTTTAATTTAGCGTGGGCATTTATGGAATTCGTACGTAATCTTAGCCCTGTTGGCCATGGAAAACATCGGCTGGCTCATTCCCACTCTGGAGGTAGACTCAAACTGGTGCCAGCAATTTTGAATAATTATGAAACATTTTTTATCGAGATTTTATTCAAGAATAGCTTCCTTATTTTACTGACATTCATGTTGTCTCATTTTTAGTTTTTGCTCCATGAGCCTAAATGTAACATTACACAATGATTCATAAAAACATAACAAAACTCAATCGATTCTTACACACGATTTCACATGTATATTGTGAGCATATGAATCGATTTTAATTGGTGAATCGATTCATTATTACATCCCTACTCATCTACACACTATTTTTTTGCGTAAATGTTCATGTGAGGAGTTGATTTTCTGGGCATGGCTAAAGGAGTGGTGAGTGATGTCTAAACCAATTCCTGGATCCCTTCCTTCAACCAGCCCGCTCTAGCCAGCATAGCGAATAATGTTCACACAACCCCCATGGCAGACACTGTGGGTAGGCCTTCATCCAACAGTGGATTGACAAAGGGCTATAAAATGTCGGTACGTAAAGTGTATAAACATAAATGCGTGCGATGAATATAAAGTCATCTAAACCACTCGAGTGCACTTGCCGACAGTAATAAAGAAAGTCCTTCTTGCGATTGCCGTCGGAGATCGGTGACATGAAGATTGGCACTGAAGCGCCGTAATTGATGACATCTGAGAATCCCACTCTTGGTACCATTGCATCCTCGCTCCCAGAGTTGCGGCTCGGCGATTGAGCCGAGCATCCAGGCGTAGTTGTTCCCGCATGGGGCCTGCTGCTTGTAGCCCTGCTATCGCCGGTGCTTCTCTTGGGCAATGTTCGTTTTCAAAGTGTTTCTTTGAGCTACGTTGAAATTAAATTAGTAATTAAATACATCTCGTTTATTACCTCTTTACTCCTTCTACCTGCTGTCCAATGCAACACACACTGGCACACAAGCCATTTGGTTGATATTTTCAATTAATTCATCAGGATATGTATGTATGTTGAACTTCTTTCGCACCATACGTAACCAACCGTGCGAATCGGAGGTGCGAAGAAAAACAACAAAACAAAGGTGACTTTAAAACAAAGGTGACTTTATTAAATGCAAAGTAAATCCGCATACTGAATTTGAATTGAGCGTGATCTTCATTTTCAGACATTGCAAGTAACGTTTACTCTGGGAAAGTTTTCTTCACAGCGTCCGAGCTTAGCGATCGATTCTGAAATCAAATGAGAAGGCAGTGTGGATTCTTATTGGAATCTTTTGCTCGCCATCAGGGGTCCTTCATTCCACCTCTTATAGATGAAACTGCCTGTTACCCTCTGTCTTACACAAGTGTACAGCTTCGCATTGTCGCATTAATGCATCCGTGAGTGGCGTCACGAGGTTAGAAGGTACACCACCGGTGAGAGGGGGAAACTCCAGCAAGAAGAAGGTGACGTCACTCTGCCGCTGTAATTAATGACGCGCTGGAATGTAATGTTAAAGCCTCGTTCTCTCGTTTCAACTCGGGTTGCACATCTCAGGACTGATAGCCGAGGGTTCATCTCTCCAGTGTGCAATCTGTTTGTTTTATGGGTTTGCATCTTCCTTTCAACACACTGCATTTTCGCGTTCCCACGGGACTCGTGTGACGTCATTCCGCGCTCCCGCAGGCATGAACATGGCGGAGGACCACGAGGAAGCGCTGGCCGGGAGGAAAGCTCGCGGGGTCTCGGCTGCCGTCTCGGACGAATCCGTGGCCGCCGACAGCGGCGTGTTTGAGGCGCCGGCTAAAAGGTGCCGCAGTCACGACGGCCTCGCTTTGGTGCCCGGCACGAGACGTCTCTTGGGTGCAGACACACGGCCGTGTCACGTGGGCAGGGGCGTGTCTACAAGAAACAACGTGTTTGTGTGTGTCTCTAGCAACAGTGACGATTACTTGAACCGGTCCTGGGCCTCTCCTGGGTCGATTTGGTCTCAAATGAGTACCTGGTGCAATGTGTAAATATAGCAACTAGGGAGACAGAGGCGACCAGGCGTAGTGTTGGCCACCCACCTCCTCCTAGTGTGCCTTTCCAGCCTTCGTAGGTGCTCGCTAACAGCACTTTCCCCAACAGTCTGTTAAGGCCTTCGGGAGGAATCTTTGTCTTTGTAGCAACGAAATACGTTCATTTATCCGGGCCCGGAGGGATGATCGCCTGAGTGCTTCGCATGAATGGAGCACCACATTTATGAGAAGCACTCAGCCCGTCCTCCTTCCAGAATCTATCATATTTCCGAAATGCGCATGTGAAAGATTTACCCTTTGCGGACATATTGATTCTCGTCAATGTGTTTTGCCGACGTTTGACACGCCCTGTCTGCACCCAAGGAAATCCTTCGCATTCCTCCATCACATTCTTGTTACAGTACCAGGTTTACATTTAAAACAAATGTCACGGTGTATTTCGGTGCTTTTTAATTCAGGTCTTCTCTTTCCGCGTGTTTAATTCGACTTGCGTGGAGCGAGTGCCGTATTGATCGAACCCGTGCCTTTTTGGCAGGCCCGACGAGTCGGAGGAGGCGTTTTACGACGAAGATAAAGCGACGTGCGGAGTTGCCGCGGCCCAGATCCAGCTCGACATGAGGTTCGCGACCGCGCGCTCTCGTTCATCTGCGCGGCGACGTTACGTGCCAATACACGGGGCCCGTCGTGTGCAAGAGGTCAATTTGTCCCAATGCAAGCGGCACCCGGGAGATGTATTCCCACCCACGTGGCGGGTGAGGTTAGCGCCACCTCTACCCCGCGCTGCGGTGTTGGCTTTTGTCCAGAGGTGGACCTCTCCCGCCTCGACCGCAACGGTGAGCGATGGCCCTCCCGCGGGGCCGACGGGCCGAAATGAATCGTTGCGGCGATCGGTAACCCTGTCAGCCCGCTGAGACATCGCACACCAACCGCCGGTGAGCGGCGTCTAAGTAAATGTGCGGTCAGATATCCCCACCGCTCGCTCGCACGGCATGGGAAAGTTTTCATCCGGCCACGGACTGCCCAAGGGCTGTCTGTGAACATACATGTAGCTGACTGAGTACGGGGACGTCTTTGCACGAGCGACATACTCAGCATTACGTGGGCGACCCGCCGTGACTTTAGAGATCCGATTGATCACCCAAAAAACGTTGAGCTCCCACGTTGTAGAGATGTGCATTGCTCCCCCGACGGTTCTGACGCGAGTTTGATCGTAACCGCGTTTTTGTTGAATTTAGACATTTGGGCACGAGGTAATGAGAGTGCCATAATGACAAACATGATCATAACTTCACGGAATTTTTTTTCTTATTAACTAAGCTTAACACAAACAGGACACGCATACAAAATAAGAGATGTTTGTGTGTTTTCTTTGTGTGGCTTCCTTTTCATACGCACCGCTTGTTGGCTGAGACCTTGAGCTGAACGACACTGCTTTGTGGTTTCAGTTTGTATTAGTTTATGGAATGATACATAAAATAAATGTGTCGATGAGTGAAGCCACAAAACCATCTAAAAATCACTGTCTAGCTACTTGTTTTTGTTACCTGTGCCACGAAACCACAGTCTGGAATGATGCTGCAAATGGGTCCGTGTGCCTCCTCGTTGGAGCGGTGCTCCGCTCGGCGACAAATTCTCGTTGCCTTGTTTCGCGTGTCTGTGCCCGCGTCTCCCCTGCCTGCCAGGTATGACGCGGAGGAAGGCGTGTTCATGGTTCACGTCCTTCAGCTCAAGAATCTGCAGGCCCTTTGCATCCCCGATGGGAACAAAGTGTAAGGATTTTGTTATCGTTCACACATTTAAGTTCTCCCCTATACTAACGCCCGGCAGTGTTGCGTTCCCGCGTAGTCCCCAGGTATTATTCACGTGACGCGAGCATTGCCACCTCGCGTGACTTTGGAATATCCTCCCATCAGCTCTATTCCCAAGTTGATATAACCTTGCTTATTTTAAGAAGAATATTAACGCTTGTCTATTATTATACACACCTTTCTGATGTTTATTGCTGTCCGTCTGGCATTCTGGGCATTGGGATCTGTGTCTCGGCCACTGTAATAAACTAAATAAGAGAAACGCGTTTTTCAAAGTCGGCGTCCCTCTGGTCAGACGAGCCATGTGGGACAGTGTTCACCTTTGACTTGATATCGTTGGTGTAAATTCAACGTGTTTTTGATTGTGGCCAGCCGCTCCACTGTGGACTTCCCAAAATGTGATACATATTCCATCGGTCTCGGAGAATATTAATTCATGACCTTCCAATTGCTAGTCGGGCTCCCTTACTCCTTGGCCCGGAATGAGGGCGTTTAATTGGGTTTTGGACTGTGGTACAATATTGATTTGTCATTAAGCTTTTGTTTATCCTACTTAAATGCCTCGGGCAATTACAGGCTTGTCAATTACTAGCTTATCGAAAATGGGCCCATTGCACCTCGCCGCAGGGCTCTCGCAATTAAAGAAGTTCATGGAACACAGTCAGACACATCCCGATGTCATTTATAGGCGACGCAGAATCTTTCTGCTTTGCACATGGGACAAGAAGTGCACGCCCATCATTCTCGGGCAGGCACAATCACGGAGCGGTGAATGTGCGGGCCTCTAATGAGCGCGCGGGACTTTAGGTGAAGCCCGTACACGTTTTATTTTTTGTTGTGTCGAGCGCGTGTTCAGGATTAAGGCATTCCATTCTCCCACTTAGGCCCTTTCTTGTGCATCCCACTCGGTGCTTTTGTGCCAAAATGGGAATGGTTTTAAGCAGCCTTAGGTGCCCTTTTTCTGCGTGGGGCGGCTCGTTAGGTGTAACACATGCGTTCTGTTAAAATGCCCCTAATGGCATTTTTAACGCCTTCGAGAGAAGCAAATTGCTCCAGTTTAGAATAATCTGAACAACGTGCACTGCCCATGTGCAGCCGGTGCAAAGCTTAAACATGTGTGCTCTGTTGGGGTATTGAAATCTTTGGATTACAGTGGCAAGTGGATTTATTGAAATGCCAATTATTGGAACATTTTTATGTGCACATTTCGCTTTGATGTTCCAACTCTGTCATGGCTCTTATTATATAAATGGAAAATGTTAAACTCTGATGCAACCCTAATCCTAACTCATTTATAGATTTGCTCTCATACAACATTTAAACCTAACCCACTCCTGAACATCAAACTGAACCTGTCTCAAAGTCCTAAGACTTACTCCAACCCTACGTCTAAACCATCTATGTATGTACGTTTGTTGAACTTCTTTCGCACCGTACGTAGCCAACCGTGCTTTTCGGATGTGTGAGGGAAGTACAACAACTAAACCAACCGTTATCTATGAATGCTGATTCGAACACAAACTCTTACCATTATAATCTATTCCTAAACTCGAACCATAACTCAATTTCTCACCTTAACTTCAAACACACCCAGAACCCTAACCATAACCATTATTCCTGCCCTTAAATTTACACCAACTCAAACCATATCTCAAACTTGACCTCTAACCCTATCCCGAACCCAAACGCACCCTCGGCATCTCTGCTGGACCAGCGGGCATCAATCGTAACAATCGTACGTACATTTGGTAAATGCGCCATTCTTATAGCACAAGATCATCAAGAAAGTTGCTCTGTTTCACAGACGGGCATCGTAGCCGGCGATGTTTCGCCATCATCATCATCATTACGGTCCATGGGCAAGCAGCCCGTAGGTGTCGACTGCACATTTCGTCAATTGTTTCCACATTCCTCTGTCTGCTGTGCCAATATGCTCACGTCGTGACCACATCTTTCTGACACCAATCTCTCATGTCGTCGTCAAGCCATTCTCTGTTGGGTCTTCCCTCTTTCTGGTTCCTTCCCTGTGTACGGTGTCGATTTTTACCCGATTAAGTGATTTGCGGGTAACTTCAGTAATGTGCATCGTGACACGTACAAACGTGGTCTGCCCTGAATCCAAATGTCTATTTCGACTGGAGGAATCCAATGAGCTATGAAGCTATTTTTCACCGATGTGCCTTTCCCCGGACCAAGCCGCCCGCGTGTCCTCCGTACTACCATCACACCGCCACGTCCGTCCCCGGCCCCTCTCCGCGTGCGCGCAGGGCGGTGCGTGCGGTGCTGCTGCCGTGCGGGGCCAGCGGGCGCGGCGCGCACACGAGCCCCGCGGTGCCCTGCGTGCCGGGCCTCTGCTGCCTCGGCTGGAGCTGCCGCGAGAGCGTTCCGACCGCGGGCGCGCTGCGCGCCAAGACGCTGAGAGTCGACGTCCACACCGTGGGCCCTCCGGAGCAGGCTCTGGTACCGACCCCACGACCCCGCGCCCCCACGCCCCCCTCCTCCGTCCCCTCTCTTCCCCCCCCACCGCCTCCGCCGAACACCACCCCCGTCGCTCCACCACGACACCACAAATTCGCGACAACAGCTGTCGCAGCGTTCACAATCGTCAGCTGGCTTCGACATTATCATCATCCTCGTCACTAAATATTATACCAGGCCTTCCATGCGCTGGCTCCGTGAGGCTCAGTCTGACTGCAGCATTGGCTAGCGAGCAGGCTTGGTCTGCTCGATGGGGAGATGTTGCTCTATTGCTTCCCAGTAAAATGTATTTGTGAGTAATTGATCAAATTGCACCATGACGCAAGCTCACGTGGCTCTTTGTGAAATAACATCGTGAGATCTTTAATGTTCACTGTGACACGGACGGCACGGATTTTTATCGTTAACACATTCACCAGGGTGGCTGATGGATTTTAACCGCAAACCTCTGCAACAAGCAGCAAACACGCTACCACTCGGCAGCCTAATCCAGCGCTCGGATGGCATGGGTTCATGAAACACTTTTTTGCGAAACTCCCAGACACGTGCGTATGTGTGAACTTCTTTGGCAATCGTTACGTAGCCAACCGTGCTAATCGGAGGTGCTGGGCTGCACGGCGGCCCCAGAGGTGGCAGTACAGAGGATGGGTTTGTGAACCCATCTGTGTGGACCTGTTGAGTGTTAGCCCCTCGTGTGTGCGCGTGAATTTTCTCAAGATTCGACGGTAGTTTCTTCCCACATGCAAAACATTCCTTGAATGGAATTTGCCAAACATCCCAATATGGGGGACCATCCTAAAAAAATTTATTGAATCCTCCCCTAGGGGCTTTGCTGTATAAATAAATTACATTTATTATCATTACATGACAAAACATACTCTGTGCCCATGCTAACATGTGCTGCGGAAACGTTGACTCTATAAAGGAGGGCCGAGCACGGGAAACTCAAGTGCAGTTTTCCGAGAAGCATGCTAGAAAAATGAGACGCAACATGAAAAGTGGACCAGCGCGTCAGCAACTTGGATGTTTGTATGTCGAACGTCTTTCGCACCGTACGTATCCAACCACGCGAATCGTAGGTGCCGGGGGGAAGGACAACAAACTAAACACAAAAACTTGAAGGGAGTAGGGGAACTTCTCGCAAGGACAGAAGAAGAGGAAAAGCGAACGTGAAACCCATTGTTAAGATTTGGTCGTCAAGTTGGGCAAAAAATGTCGCGGACCAAAGGTGAGGGCCAAGGGAAGAGGTGGAAAGATGATGTCGTGGATTGGTGAGAAAAGAGGACAGGACTGGGCCATGATGGAGAGAGAGAGAGAAGATGTGAAGAGAGGAAGGCGTGGAGATAGGTTATTGACGAAGAGGGCGATTAAATCACACCTGTTTCTGCAGTGGAGCAGTGGCGCCGTGTTTTGTACAGTTGGCTGTAAGCCTAGTTATCCAAGTTCGATTTCCGACCATGGCTAGCATCGGTGGTGAGTGTTGCCTGATTCGGTACAGGGCAGTGCCTGTGATTGATACGGTGTGGTGACCCCTTCACCCAGCAATGGATTATTACATACATAATTTAGTGACATAAATTTTCGTCCATGAAAGAGTACCACACGGTTGACACGAAGCACTGGAAAACCCGGCCTCACTTCACTTCTCCGGCCACACACCTTCATCTGCACTTCCAAAATACCAGTTCGGCACCTTTCCGATTAATTCGCCAAACAAACACTGCCAAAATTCTCCTTTTTTGTCATCATTTCCAACAGAATACCTGCCATAGAAGCTAATCTGCTTTGGAATGTGACCCTCCTATCTGGTGCGTCACCTATGACCTGACACCCTGTGGCCCCTGGAGGTTGGGAGGCAGGAGGGGGGGGATGGTGAGCGGGTGGAGGCACCCACTTCTCTGCAGTGTCGGCTGAGAGGGGGGGGGGGGTCCCGCTGTTTGTGTTTGGTCTGTGGCAGTCGAATTCCCAGACGCTGATCTGTGGGAGGCGGCGGCAGCATTGCTGGGGTCTCGCTGGTGCTGCTCGCTTGAGAATTAACTGCACTTGAGTTTAATCATTATTAAAGCACCGGCATGAAGCCACGTCCTTGTACAAGACAAGTCAGCAGTCCACAAAACCAACCAGTTCAACAGATGAGATGTCAATCTGCTCGCTGAATATAAATCATGACGACAGGGGGGCACAATGGACTTTTTCTTTTTTTGGTTGGAACAATAAAATAAATTTTTACAAATATTATTTCTCTACAGCCTAAGATCAACCAACACATTACATTGTCCTGTAACGTTCTGTGAAGGCGTTCTATAAATGTAAATTAGGTTATAAATTAGATTACCTTAGAATTTTCCGTTGAGACCACACATGCCAATATTCGTTCATTACTGCAGGAGTAGAAGCATACACCTCGACCCCATCGCTGCATCATCCTGAATGCAACTTGTTGAACACTATGTAGTGTTTAGCAGCCTGTCTTGGAATACCAGGTGCTATAGGCTCAGCCTGAGTAGTGGCTATGAGATGGGAGTGGAATAATGAATCGGTTTTTGCGGAGCTACAAGTTGGACCCCTTGATATGCACGGGAGGTTTCTTTGGGCACTCCCCCCGTTTCCTTCCATGTGCCAAACGGTCACGGAATTGACCAAACATCCCAATGTGGGACACTCCTAATAAAAACCCCCACAGTCTTTAGACTCGCTGAAGCTTTTCTGGGTAAATGAAAGTACTTTAATGTTCTACAACCTTTGAAAAATATGTACGTAAGCAATTTCTTCCTCCTGTGAACCGGTAATTAGTTTCTGCTGATTGTCAAGTAAATTGACCGTTGCTTCGAGGAAAAAATGTTTAGCAATAATAAGGTTGTTTAAAATAACTCTGCTGCTTATGGCGAAGACGTCTGGCGATGGAATGTTAAGTATTTTGCGTGCCCATGGAGACGTGACAGTGAAGGTATTTCCGCATTGGAAATGTTTAACCCCGTCGCTTCTGGCAGCTTCTCTCCGAGCCGTGCTTGCTGTCCTCGGATCTGCGGGCCTCTCATGGCTTATCACATGCAGGAGAATTCAGTGGGCTTTTTTTGTATGTGCACCGTCCTGGGGCGAGGTGCTTGACAAGTTTGCTTGGCGGCTACTTCGGTCGACGACAAAAGTTCATTTCGGGCGGCGATCACGCACAACCCCCCCCACTCCCCGCGTGTCCACGCATCCTGTAGATACAGGATCAGCCCGCTACATGCAGCGCTTACGTCCGCCCACTGCTGGATGAGGCCCTCCCCACGTGTTGTGCGCGTGTTCCGTAGTGGGTATTGGACAATGCCTCACCGCGCTGGTCACTGTTAGGTGGCGAACATAGATGTTGGAGCGGAGTGCAGCACAACAACGGAGTTTGCTGCATTACTCTCTGCAGACAACGAATCGCCGCAGTAAAGCCTCTTCTATGCACGGTGGTGGTTGCCCATCCAAGCACTTTCCAGCCTTAAAATCCTGCTTGGCTGCCGATGTCTAAGATTAGCCAGCGGGTTTTTTTTTCCCGAAGCCAAATATGCGTCATATACCGCAGCTCATCTCGATCTGACTAGAAAATAAACAACTGATTTTCAGCTATTCATGGCTTGCTGATTTGCTGTGAATGCTTCGTCTGGATCGGAGAATTGCGATCACATTATTATCATCCAACACTGTACGTGTGACACAGAAGTCACTTTACAATAATGCTGAGTCTCAACGAGGCCTCACCTGGCATCATTACATCGATGATGATGTAAACAATCATCATTACAATGCTAAGTTTACCCAGGAAAACCTCATTGAGTGTCAAGACTAGTTTTAAACTAAAGGTGGTGTTTGGGATGTTTGGGCATTTTTTCAGAGGAAACTGCTCTGAGTGTGTAGAGAAAACCACATTTCAGTGAAGTCCAAAACCTACTTGCTGTCCTGCTCTAGCTACGTGCCTCTTGGATGTCTATCAGGCTGTCTCTCTCAGGTTCCATCTCTGCGTGATCCATCAATACCCGTCTTGCAGTCGTCTAAATCGTCAGTTGGCCTTTTTTTCTTATCGTAGCCCGAAACAATTTGTAAAAATATCTGTGAAGCTGATTGTGCAAAAGGACCTATATTCATCCGAGTATGCCCATTGTAAAAGCAAACATTGGCTGAAAAGCTGCGTTTACAATCTCGTTTAATTAGAAATGCTGTTGCTCGTTGTCCTATCTTGTTATGTGCAGTACTGGCCGCAGCAGGAGTTCACCATCAGCCCTTTTAACAGCAAGCCATCCATCCCTAAGCCAACTCGAGGGAACGTTGTTGTGTGCTGCACGAGTCTGCTGCGTGCATTGGCCCCTTGTGTGCACTGCCCTCCTTCATGAGTGCTCGTTTGTGCGCGTGTATTGCGTGCTGCAGGGTATGGCTCAGATCAGCTTGGCCCACCAGAGCGTTCTGTTGTCTCCTGGATGCTGGTACAACCTCCTGAGCCTGCAGGACCTGCAGGACCTGCAGGCATCCGAGAGGCACTTCGCTGGACGCCCGATGGGGCCCTCCCCCCTCGACAACGCTCAGGACACGGTAGGGGACCGTGGCTTAAACGACAAACACTCGGCGCATTTGTTGACAGCGCCGTTGTCCCTAACGAGAGAGAGATATACACATGAGGCGACGTTTTGGGCAATGGGCCCCTTTTGCATAGCAGAGGGAAGAAGAGGCCAGAGAGACTGAGGAAGTAATGTTTGTGTGTATGTTGAACTTCTTACGTACGCTACGTAGCCAACCATGCCAATGGCGGTGCACTCAAATGCACAATGTGCATTATAATACTTGATGCTTGCGGTTCTGATAAAAGTGTCTTTTTGGGGGACTGTATTAAGTGCTCGGCGTCGCGCGGCCGTGGTAGTCCTGGCCACCGCTCGGTGCGGCGGTGCCGGGCGGTTGCCCCGCGGGCGCTAGCGCCCCCTGCTGTGTGCGCGTCAGCACCTTGCGCGTGGTTTCTATTTCACCGGGTGAAGCCCACCGAGTGCTTGGCCCTTTTTTTCGGAGGCGACCTTGGCCACGCATGGCAGCTCGTCCAAGTGGCTTGCATCATCATCACCGCACGGGGGAATTCATAGTAGCAGCCAAATAATCTGAACGTGTGATGTTGATTTTATAAATGTGGAGAGCAAAACCGGGGGAACCCGGAGAACAATCCACACGACCGCATGTGGAGAAAGAGAGAGAGAACACGCAAACTCCAAATATATAACCACAGGCATCGTCAAGGTCGGGATCTGGGATCGGACGCACGACCTCCTGCGTATCGGGCGGGGGAGATAACATCTCCTTGCCACCGCGTTTCTCTGCCTCCGCAGCACGACGCCGTCTCGGCGCTGCTGGAGCGCACGACGGCACATCTGGAGGCCGTCGAGAAGCAGCTCGCCAGGAAGGGCGACGACCCCCGGGTGGAGATCAACGCCGAGGGCTGGTACGACGCGGCGCACACGCGAGGACAGGGCCCCCGCTGCCAGTCGGTTGTGGTTGCTGTGGCTGTGAGCATTTTCGATCAATGGGAGTTTGTCGCTTTTGTCAAATGAAAGCTTTGTTACGCCACATTGGAGTTTGAATGCTACCCTGTAGGTGTTTTTTATTTGTTGAGGAATTATTTACTCCTGTAGGCTGCGGCGTGGTCACGGTTGGTGACGGTGGAAATGCGCGCGACGATCCGATGTGCGTGCAGGTGCTGCCCTTCTCGAGAAAACTCCCCATTCTCCGGAGCAGAGGGGATCATGGGCAGCGTGCGGGAATTAGAAGAGGAGCTGGAGGAAGACGATGAAGAGGAGGAGGAGGAGGAAGACGAGGAGGAGGAAGAGGAGGAGGGGCAGGAAGACGACAAGGAGGAGCCGGTGAGACTGGAGGAGCGAGGAAGAGGAGGGGGCCTCACTGCGCACGAGGAGGAGCTGGACGGGATGCCCTTGGAGGAGACGCCGGGCGGTGTGGATGAGAACAACAAGGTGACTGCACGTTGCCGTGTGCGCACATCGCGATAAGCTGCGTTATCGTGGAGTGAGACTTCGGTGCCTGAATTCGAGAGCTTGCGCATTATCCTACCTTATTTGACATCAACTTATCTGCAGTTGAACCGGATTTTAGGAGAAAACCGTGACCACATACATTTCAATATTGATTAGCTGCTTTGCCTCGGCCCATAAAAGTTATTGAAGATTGGTTGAGAACAGCATTAGTAATTAAATGAGATGGAGTTACCTATTTCAGTCATGGTGTTCCTTGTTTGAGTACGGACCCCGACAAGCTTGCGTCTTGTCTCTCCCGTCAGGTGCCTGCAAGCTGCTTGCTCTCGCACACCTTGCCCTAGCCGTGTCGTGTTTAACCCGTCTGCAAGGGTCGTACTGGATGACTCAACCCAAATAATAACTCGTCTTTGAATGGAGATGCAGGACTTGCCATTGATGAAGGGAATCATTGCCGAGCCTCGGAATGACCCAATAGAATCCCCAATCATTTTAATGGCCATTCAACAAGGCTGGCCAGTCTCCATGGGCCCTACCATTTTGCCTGAATGCACGTGCTGGCCTCCCCGTGACCAGATTCCTCCACGATTCCACGATCAAATTCGGAATCATTTTGCTTTACAATAACGGAATCGCAATCCCAGGACCAAGCCGCAGCAGCTTGGGCGCGTGTTGCTGCCTTCATCGCTACTTTCCCTCCGACAATCTGCTAACGGCCTCGTGGTGTGCGTGGGACCCTCCTCCGTCTTTGCGTGCGCGCCCAGGTGGACAAGGAGACCAACACAGAGGGGCCTCTGCCCGAGGCGCCGAGCGTGCGGCCCAAGGAGCAACGCGGCAGCTGTGGAGCGGCGCACGCCAGCCCCTTCGTGCGGGGCAGCACCATCGTGCGCTCCCAGACGTTCTCGCCCGGCGCCCGCAACCAGTACGTGTGCCGGGTGAGTGACCCCCCCCCACGTACGGCGGCGCGCGCGGTCACCGTGTTGCGAGAAGGGAGTGCCGAGTTCGGGCACAACCGGTGTGCTACTAACCTCCAATGACCTTCATCCAGCAGTGTATTGATTATGGCTGATGATGAAAATAATTACGTTCTATGCAAACTACTATTAGCAGGTGAGGTTTGCATTCCACCTGGTTACAACTCGGTTGATAGGAATGGTGCAACAGGGCTCCCCATTCATGCAGTTATGAGTTTTAAATCCTCGCCATGGTCAACTCTGACAAAAATATTTCATTACCATCAAGATTGACTCTCTGGGGGCGGGGTTGGTAAAGTGTGCACCGATTGACAAGGCTGCACTGCCGGATGAGCCCTCGGCCGTGATTTGCGTGCAGACGGACTGGCAGCATCAGAATGTACGAGGATTTACACCACTGACTCGGAACCACCAATGTGTCGGGAGCAGTGGCCCAACATTCACTCTAGTGTAAATGGCACGAGTGTCGTTATCATCACCGACCTCGTTATTGTTTTGCGAGCGATATTTTTTTAATTGCCGGTATTTTTCCCCCCCGTGCAGTTAAACCGCAGTGACAGCGACAGCTCGGCAATGCCCAAGAGGACGCCGTTCGTGAGGAATGCGGTCGAGCGGAGGAGCCTTCGCGTCAAGCGGGTGAGCACGTTCAGCTCCCGGGACCCCCAGCTGGGACAATTAACGCCACTCACTTTAAATCCCCGCATCCTCGTAACTGAACGGGGGAGGTGTTAGCCTCTCTGTTTCCACCGCGCAACTGACGGGCTATAAATTCCCCGGGTGTCTTTCCCAGTGGTTGAAGCATGCAACTTGTGGATTAACAAGAAATGTGTGGATTAAGGGGTTAAATCTGCAGGAGCGGCCGATGCCCGTTATCAGCTGGTTGTTTCCTGAAAGAAAATGAACCCACCTTTAAAAAGAATGACATCCTCCCGATACCCTTCATTGTATATTTTCCCATTTCCGGCTGGAAATAAGCGGGAGCCAAACGCCGTGCGGTGAGACACTTCCACATTCTTGACTTGAGCCGCCTCGTGCGGCCTCAATTTCGCTGGTTTCGTGTGGATAAAATGAGAACCATTTTGTGGAAAGTCTTTCGCAAGGGAGACCTGGGGTGCGATTTAAAATTCAACAAATCTCAGTGCAGAAAATGGAATGCAACGGCAAGTAAAAAAAAAAATCTGAAAAATGTACTCGGTCATCAACATAATTAACGCGTAATTATAATTATCCCCAAAGTTTTTTGACATGGGTCATCATCGGGCCCATAAGTAGCGGACGAGAGAGTCCACAATCACGTGAGCACGTCCACCTCCTCAGGCCGACACAGCACCTACGGGGGGGCGGCCCGCTCGTAGTTACACGTTACCGCTCGTGGTTACACGTTACCGCTCGTGGTTACACGTTACCGCTCGTGGTTACACATTACCGCTCGTGGTTACACGTTACCGCTCGTGGTTACACATTACCGCTCGTGGCTACACGTTACCGCTCGTGGTTACGAGCTCCTCCATGTCACGGACGCAGTTTGCCGACAAGACGACATGAATCGTCCACTCGAACGATCGCCGCAAGTTTGCCTTGCCGTCATTTGGTGTGTGTCGCGTGGCGGGGTCTGGGTCCGGCAGTCGGTGCTGATGGTGCCGCGGGTGGAGGGGCCCGGGCGGACGTCGCTCGACCTGGAGCTGGACCTGCAGGCGTCGCGCGCGCGGGAGAGCCGTCTGGGCGACGAGCTGCGAGGCCTTCGCGAGCTCAAGCACCGCCTCGAGGAGGCCAAGGCGCACGGCCGCACGCAGCTGCCCGCCTGGGTCACCGATGACGAACGCTTCCGCAACCTCCTGCGAGAGGCCGAAAAGCAGGTGCCGCCTGGTGGACCCCTCCCCCCCCCCCCCCCCCCCCCCGATAGATTCTCTATCACCTTTGACCTCCGGCCTTCTTCATCGATCGGGTGTTTAACACTGAACGATGTAGTGGAGTCGCCTTACCCGGCCAATTAATTAATTGACACTGTTTGAATTGAAGACGCTGCCGTGCCTCGTCCTCGATACGTTTTCACAGTTCATGGCGGGCGCCGAGCGAGCTTTACATACACCCCGGCATGTTAACACGGGGGTGTGTGTGTGTGCGTCGTGTGTGTGGCCATGTTAACACGGGTGTGTGTGTGTCGCATGTGTCCCTCGCGTGCGGAGGCTGAGCAGACCTCGGCAGAACAGAGGCAAGAGAGGCGAGCGGAGAAGATGCTCAAGAAGGCCTCCAAGGAGGTGTTCAGGCTCCGCGGGCAGAGCACGAAGGTTCCCCCCCAAGTCCAATCCTTCCGGTAAGCAGTGCCGGATGTGGTGTGCCAGGGAGCGGCACGAACTGGCTCTTCATGCGTGCACGACTACTCTTGGCGAGATGACCAGTGCTGCCTTTCTCTCATCGTTGCTCTGTTGCCTCTCTTTGCCGTTGCAGCCAGTGCCTCCTGTGGTCAGTGCTCTTCTTTAGTCCCTGAACGTATTCTACCTGATGTTGAAGTCCTTGTGTTACTCACCCCAATGCGAATTGTGTTGTCTTGCTGACCTACCACACAGTGCACTCTGCCTCCACACCGCTTGCTTGCTAGGGTTTGGAAATAATATCCCAACTTGCAGTTTTTTTTTTATCTGACATTAATTGCTCCCCACTGTCTGATGTGCAGTTGCTGATTCTGGTTAAGTTCAGAATAGGTGTAGACATATCAGTAATTTTCATTTTAAAAGTTAGTTTAGCCATCAGTAAAAAATATATTTTAATAATTATTGACTCTGTAAAATACCGAATTATTTGTGACAGAAACAACCAATTGCACTTGTTGCACTCTTTAGTTCCAATTTCATTTCCAGCGAGGAACCAGCAGCCAGGCCAGGAATTCGGCGAACCCTTTTTGGGGGACCGCGTTGGGGCTGCTGGGCATGGTGCCGGCCACCCACCCAACCACCCACCCACCCAGCCACCCAACCACCAACCCACCCACCAACCTACCCACCCACCCAGCCACCAACCCACCCAGCCACCAACCCACCCACCCAGCCACCAACCCACCCAGCCACCAACCCACCCACCCAGCCACCAACCCAGCCACCCACCCAACCACCCACCAACCCACCCACCCACCCAGCCACCCACCCACCAACCTACCCACCCAGCCACCAACCCACCAACCCAGCCACCAACCTACCCACCCAGCCACCAACCCACCCACCCAGCCACCAACCAACCACCCAGCCACCAACCCACCCACCCAGCCACCAACCAACCCACCCAGCCACCAACCCACCCACCCAGCCACCAACCCACCCACCCAGCCACCAACCCACCCACCCAGCCACCAACCCACCCACCCAGCCACCAACCAACCCACCCAGCCACCAACCCACCCACCCAGCCACCAACCCATCCAGCCACCAACCCACCCACCCAGCCACCAACCCACCCACCCACCCAACCACCCACTAACCCACCCAACCACCCACCCAGCCACCAACCCACCCACCCAGCCACCAACCCACCCAGCCACCAACCCACCCACCCAGCCACCAACCCACCCACCCAGCCACCAACCCACCCAACCACCCACTAACCCACCCAACCACCCACCCAGCTACCAACCCAACCACCCAGCCACCAACCCACCCACCCAGCCACCAACCCACCCACCCAGCCACCAACCCACCCACCCAGCCACCAACCCATCCAGCCACCAACCCACCCACCCAGCCACCAACCCACCCACCCACCCACCCACCACCCACTAACCCACCCAACCACCCACCCAGCCACCAACCCACCCACCCAGCCACCAACCCACCCAGCCACCAACCCACCCACCCAGCCACCAACCCACCCACCCAGCCACCAACCCACCCAACCACCCACTAACCCACCCAACCACCCACCCAGCTACCAACCCAACCACCCAGCCACCAACCCACCCACCCAGCCACCAACCCACCCAACCACCCACCCAGCTACCAACCCAACCACCCAGCCACCAACCCACCCACCCAGCCACCAACCCACCCACCCACCCAACCACCCACCCACCCAGCCACCAACCCACCCACCCACCCAGCCACCAACCCACCCAGCCACCAACCCTGTGCTCGTTTATCACCGAGAAACAAACTCGGTGCCCTCTCCCAATTCACTAAACTGGCCCCTGTGAGGAAGTCGAGTCCCAACTCAACTTGGGCACGGAGCCATTCCAAATGCCCCCACAAAAACAATGACTTTTGTTTCTCACGCAATTTCTCTCAATGTTTAATGTCTGATAGGTCATCTATAGTGCCAGGCAAAAAATAAATATCCAGTCCATTAGGAGTGCCCTGAATAGCGTTGTAAAGCACGATTGGGCGTGTATTATTTATTTCCTATATTTGCTTATGACTTCTCCTGCCAGGAAAAAAACCACATTAAGGCTACGGGCCCCGGCTTCCCAAAGACATTCTCAGGGATGCAGTTGCGATCTAAACTTTAGAAATAGCAAGGATGAGATAAGCACGTGGATACAGAAGAGAGAGAGCGCGGGTAGAGAATAGTTAGTGCACGCCGTGTCAGCATTGTTTGCGATGTGTGTATCGCTATCAAAAATAACAAGTCCTGAGACGTGCATTTACCTATTTGTGTTGCCTTGTCACTCGTGTTCCATGCTGTTGTGAAATTAAAATGCTCGCTTTTATCGGTTACATTGTCGTGCGTAGCACATGATTCAAATTGACGCGCGTAGACTTGTAAAAGGTGTTTTGATGATACAAATACCATTTTATTTACAGGCCTTTCTAGCTGTCCCTGTGCTGTGTATTATCCTTCCACGTCCACACGGCGCTGCTCGTGCAAGTCGTGCATAGAGAGAACGCGGAATAGCTGAGTACGCTCTCCGACCCCATCGATCCGGGTGTTGACCCCTGACCCCATCTCATTTTTGTCATTCTCAGGGAGAAGATGGCGTTCTTTACTCGCACTAAGATCGGCGTTCCTCCCTTCCCGGCCGACGACGTATGATCAACAGAATTACGTTTTTTTTATCAAGACATTGCAAGCCTCGACTCTGTTTTCTGTGTATCGGATAAACCAAAAGTGAGACAACTTTTTGCAGCGGAAAAGCATTACATTTCTGTGTCTCCCATAACCGTTGGGCAATTGAGTTGCGGGTGTGTGTGTGTGTGTCTATGGCGTAAAAAAGTGTAATTGACCAGACCTGTTACACTTAAATAATAATAATTGTACAGTTTGTATGTATTTTAGACGTGTGTTATTTTGAGAAGACACAGGGCCAAGTGTTTTTTTTTGGCGGGGGATGTTATCCATTGATTGTACAGTACTGTATTCCAATTTCTGTTTAAAAAAATAAATAAAAGCAAGAGAATTCTTGTTTTATTATAATAATGAAAAATGCTAATGCGCTTTAATGTCGCAAGACTGTGACCAAGTTCCATTCAGTATTGTTCATTTTAAAAGAAAAGATTAAAGAAGAAGACGAAGACTTTAAAATACAGATTGAAGGATGCTCAGCTTTTATTGGCAGTGCCTGTAGTTGAAGCCTTTTTATGTCAACGTGTTCTCTGGCTTTTTGTTTTTCCCTGCACGTGGTCTACAAAGCACACACACACACACGTACACGCACACACGTACACACCACAACTACGCGCAGCTTTCCTCTTTGCAGTTCTGCCTTGAGGGTAGCTGCTGGCATAAGCTGCCTTGAGGCAGATTTGTTATCTGGGATGATAAAGTCAAAATATTGTTTTTGTTTTCATTGTTAACGTTATTATGTACGTGTTTTACGGTTTGCTTTAAAAGTGTGAGCCGAGTGTTGAGACTTTTCATCACAAATGCCCCAGGGGGAGTGGAGTGTCCCATACAATGTGGGTGCTTGGGGCATTAAAACTAAAACCCCTCCGGGTTCTCAGAAGCAACCGCGTGTCATCGTTTCCACCCGCGCGTGGGATCGCCGACCATCTGTGAGGTTGGATGTGAAGGACTAAGGATGCTGGGGGTTGCATAACTTGTGGGGGCGTGTGGGTAAATGGAAGTGTGCAAATTAAAACCTAAACGGCACCCTGTGGCATCCAGCGGTGTGTGCGAGTCGAGTCTGTGGAGGTGGAGCCGCTGGCTTCGTGCATCACTTTTCATACTGGCGGTCCGTGGATCTTATTTATAACTTACGCCAGGCGTGCTTAAGTCAAAGGGGGCTGGTGACTTGCGGTTTTCACCTGGACGCAAGTGGGCGAGTGATGCTTTAAACAAAAATAAACCTGAGCGGACAAAGGCTGTCTTTCCAAATTGGACCCGTCCCCATGGCACTGCTGTCAGGCAGCTGCTACTGCTGCTGCTGGTGCTGCTGCTTGTCCCCCTCCTCCGGCACAAGATGCACGGTTGTGGCAGTCGCTCTCAACGGTTCGGGTTCGATTTTATTTAAAACTCCATCCATGTACAAAACACGCTTGCGTTTCTCAATATTGTAATGAGCTGGTAATCTCATAAATAAGCGCTTACAAGGGCACACTTGTGCGAGAGCAGACATCGACTCGATGAAAATTAATTCCTTAGTTTATTGAATACAAATGAATAACTGCAATGACCAGCAGGCACCGCTGATGTCACGACTTCTGAAAATCGGGTTGCTGTTTTACTGCCCACACCAAACATCGATGATGGCTGATGAGAGAAAAAATCCTTTCTTGTTTCCTGTTTCACTGCATTTGTTTGTAATCCGGTTTCCGAGCGTGATCATTTTGTAACGAGACACAGCAATATAGATTTATAACATTAACTGGCGGCGTTTATTTGGTTGCTGTTGTCTGGCTTTCTACCCCCCCCCTCCCCCCCAAATAAATAAGCAATTGTAGCTCACCAGGTAACACAGGATGTCGTGTCTTTACCATGACAGATGAACATCTGTTTCCCGAGATGTGTATGTGCTCTCCTTCCGTACCCTACGTGTCTGCTCTTAAAAAAAAACAAAAATAAAATATTTACCAATAAAATCATCGTTGCTTTGTTTCAACAACAATGACCTTGTTCAGAGAGCGTGGCTTGGTATTTTTTTAAGTAAATGATTTGGTGCTGTCGGGCATTTGGAGAATCCAAAAGTGAAACGGGTGGACAAAGGCAGCAGCATTGTGAACTTGTTTTGAACACTGCAGGGAAATGCTGTTGGGAGATTATTGTCAACAAATGAACAATGTGCAACCCATCGGCAACCCATCGTGTTGCTGCCCTCTTGACGTTCTCCGTTCGTGCCTTTGCTGCCCCCTAGTGTACACATTCGTGTACACGGCGACCATTCCACACGAGACTCGCTACATCCACGTTGGCCCGTCAAATGACTGCGTGGTGATGCCTGATGCTGCTGTGCTGTTGTGCTTGTAACGCTGGCAGGAGCAATGTGGCAGGAGCAATGCGGCAGGAGCAATGTGTAAGAAGAAACACTTTTGACGCTGCACGACACCGAGCCTCGCGCACCTGTGCCAGCTCACCTGAGCTGGCTCCCATGCACAACAGTCGCGCGTGGCTGACGTCAAGTCTAATTGTGTTTTTGGAAGGGCGAGAGAGCTGAAATGTGGCACAAATATCGTCACGTCCGTGCTTATCATCTGGGGGGGGGGGGGGGGGTGTTTGGGCCCCATGTGTTTGTGTTTAGGTTGTTGTCCTTCCCCTGCACCGCCGATTAGCACTGTTGGCTATGTACGGTGCAGAAGAAGTTTGACAAGCACACGGACATTCAAACTTGATTTGTACATTCCCACCCAGGATTGCTGGGAGAACATGTTAATGCTGTGTCATGGTTGATGTTAAGCCTACAAGAGTTTGTGTCTGGAGGTTTTGAAGGCCAGTGAATCAATATGTACTGTCACGTTAAACAAATCCGTTAAGCTACATTTCTGTTTTTTTGGGCCACGTAAAATTAAAGAGTGCAAATATTTGAGCTTTTTGTTTTTAAAACTCGGCCTGCGAACGTTTACATTTGGCGGTTTTGAAGGGTGCTGAATTCAAATATAAATTTTTCAACAAGTCCGTGTCTCGCGTCCTTTTAGGAAGAGTAACACCAAAGCGAAAAAGAAGCGAGCTTCCAGTTGCATGCTGTGTGAACGTCTAAGTCTTAACACCGTATAGTGAATACAAATGAGACTTTACAGTTTAAATGTGATTTATTTTATTATACAGCGGTAGGGAGAACGTGCAATCATAGTGCGGGAATTGTGTAGAGGGTTTAGTAGTGAAGGATTTGTGTAGGCAAGGGTTGTGATATTGGTCTTTTGAAGTACAGCGGCGTTTTGTAGTGAATGGTTTTAGTGGGGCATGGGGAACGGGCATGGTTCAAGTCCTCGTGCAGGTCTTTCCACAGATAATTTATAGTTTTGTGGTTGCTTGAGGCTATCTTATGTTCATCAATGAAAATAACGACAGTGATGGAATGTTTTGGCAGGTCTTCTAAGCGAATGTCTCTTGTTTTCGCTGTAATTGCATGGGTATTACATATTAACGTGGAGCCATTAATCTCCGGCAGTCGATCATGAACCACAACATTGGGCATCGGTAGTCGGCATGGTGAATAATCGCCCGGGCAAGGTGCCAGAGCAGTGGGCAACAAGTGGGAAGACGAGGAGAGATTGGGAGAGTGTGGTGGTGTTGTGGGGGGGGGCGGTGCCCCCTACAGTAACTATGAACCCTTCTTCCAGTTTGCCTCCACACTTCAAAGGGACGACCTTCCAAGCACAGGGTGCTTCAAACACATGTTAACACTTACATGAGACGTTCGCTATTCATGGAAAAAGTCTGCTACACTGTAACATGATGACAAATGTAATGTTAATAGCTTCAAATAGAGTCTCAACTTGTTCGCCATCATTGTCAGCACGTGCCTGGAATCCTCTCCAGGTGGTCTCGAGCCCGGAAGGCGCATTTCTTGTGGCATCGTTGCAAATTCTCCGAAGTGTTAACATTGTTTTGAAGCGCCCTGTATGTTCATATGTACGTTGCCTCTGGCTGTTGGCCAGAGTTCAGCATTCCTCGACACTTGGCGGGGCGAGCGCTCCGTGTGCCCGGCCGACCGTGACACCCACGGAGATCAAAGGGGGCATTTTGGCCCTTGTAGACGCTGGCGTGTGTGCCCTCCGGGGTGCGGGCAGCGCAGGCACTCGGTGGGCCGAACTTCACAAATACTGACACTTGCAGGCAGGGAGGGATGGGCGCGCTCAGTGGCCTCGAGGGAGGGAGGGGGGTCTGCACAATTTGTCAGTGGACGATTCGCACCTGCGGTTTGGACAATTTCGTCAATTGGCCTGGTGCCGCAACAGCGCTGGCGCGGATGATCTCACAATCGCGCCGTGGCGCCCGCAAAGCAGAGAGCGCCGTGGGCAGTGCGTGCTCGAGTCGCCCTGAAGACTGTGCCCAGTTGGTCAACATTTGTAGAAAGTTCGGGCTGAAAAGCAACGTGTCCCCTATGTCTACTCAAAAACAGACGATGGATGTTTATGGCAGACGCTTTTCATCTTTTGTGGTCTGGTACAGTCTGCTAACTGTGAAACGTGACAACTCTGTGACATTCCACTCAATCTGTTGGCAACCCTAAACCAGTGGTGGAAATTCCCCGTTCCTTTGGCGGGTGCAAGGCTTGTCTCAGAACAACCGCTGGTGCCGTGGCTACAACGTGGTTTTCCTTACATTAGCCCCGGACGTGTGCAGGGTTGAGTTTAACCCTCGACCGACCAGGAATTGAAGTCCGCTTACTCAAATGTGCAACCTGTGATGTCTCCCACTGCCGCCACCCGGCTGGTTTCAGTTTCAGTTTAATTTATTTGGTAAAGCCCTGTGAGCCATTCGGCTCTTGAATCGGGTGCAACCGCAACAAACAAAAAACAAAAACAAAAACGAGAAAACATCTTAAAGTGACTATGCGCAAACAGAAAAATCCAGGAAAAAACTGCAAAGTCTTCCAGAAAAAAAGCACCGTACACCAACGCTGTGCAAAAATCCCAGTGGGATGCAAGTCAAACAACAACAACAACGATGGCTCCTGCACCCAGCCTGCTTCCCGCTGGTGTCCACTGCTAGCCGAGGCCTTCCCCACGCCGCGTGACCTGTTGGACGTTATTTGACCGCTGACCCACGCTGGTGGGTGCGGGTGTGGTGAGGAGGTGAGGAGGTGAGGAGTAGAACACGTGGGAAGCGCCCGCGTGCAGCACTGCAATGTGAGCCCTGCTGGACTGCCCTCTGCTGACCACCGCTGTGCACAGCCGTGCATCTGCTTCGGTTAACCTGGGGGTGGGGTTGGTCGCTCACCCATCCACGCACTACGCGTGCTCAGCTCTGCTCACCTCGGATAGCTGTCACAAGGTCGGGTGCCTTCCGGGCGATTTGTCCTCTTGGTTATTGGCTGTTGAGCACGTGCACGAGACGCGAATTGACGTATTAGTTTACTCGCATGGAATAGAAGAGTGCATTTATTTTTGGCGCCTAAATGCATTTGCTTCTTAAAAGCACTTTACAAGCGCGCAGATGTGACAGCGATGGTATGGTACAGGTCCGCGTGTGGCAGAGTTGCCAACCCATTTATCAGTGCCTAACTTATTACAGACCAATTCAAAGTCCCATGACCAGGGCGAAACACAACATATGTTTGTGCCCGTATTGAAAGGGCTGTACGCCGTATGAACCTGCAAACTCAATGTCCAGGAATACGTGGTGAACCGTGTGGGTTGACCGCTGGGGTGTGGTGAGAGCGAGGCGAACATCAACAGAAAAGTGAATTCACAGAACCTCCAACCGTGACCCGCGTCTCAAGACGCCGCACAGAAAGAGTTCTGGGCAAGCAGCCTGCTGGCAAGTCACGCCCTCAATGTATTGTGGATCAAGGCCGTAATTATAATGTAATACATTGGGGGGGGGGGGACATCCCCCCCCCCATATTCAAATATGCTCAAAATGCCCCCCTCCCCAATATATTGCTATAAAATAGATTCTGTTTATATGATTGTGGTTATGGTTGTACTTTATTAATCCCTAATCTCTGCCATTACATACAATGAAACAAGAAAAGGTAAAAAAAGAAAAAAACAGAGCAATGTAATACAATACACTATTAGACATTATTGTAAAAAAAAATCCATCCCATGTGTTAGTGAATTTTTTAAATATTTTAGGCAGGAAATTCATTTTCAAATTTAGATGTATTTTTTCTGGGGGGGGGGGACCCCCAGACCCCCACGGCTACGGCTTTGATGGACCTTGCTTGGTAATCCACGTCACTTTCAGAAAGGAAACAAAATACACCGATTTCCCTTTTATTTCAACGGCCTTGACAACACTGACTCTTGCATAGCCTCTCCTTGCAGTTCATTGCACAGGCACCGAGCTGAGGGAAACCACGTCCTGCATGTGTTTCAACAAAATTGAACACTCCCCGCACATGATGAGCAACTCACCGGACGAGAAGTTTCAAGTTTATTTTATATATACAGTAAAGTACAGCATTGAAAATAGTGGGTGCAGTCTGCAAACACATCGGAGTTAATACAAAGAGCAACAACACGAGAGTAATAAGACACCACAAGGTGAATAATGACACGGACAAAAACGTGCAATTCTAACTCCTGTAGCCTTGTATGTCGAATGACATCACCATGCTGCGTGTGTATAGCGGTAAGGATGCACACAGCAGCGTGATGAATCACTGCGTGTCTCCGGGCCGGGTGTGTTGCACGCGTGGCTGTGTTCTCACTGCAGTGGTGGCACTGAGCTTATTGCTGGGGGGGGGGGGGTCGTTTGTCACGTGGACTTTGTGTGTGTGTCCACGCGTGGCACAGAGATGGAGGTTTCGTTAAATAGTCGCTGCTGCTGCGGCTGTTTTAGTATCCACGCGTTCAGTAGTTCGTGGTTGCATAACGTGTGTTCACCCAACCGACTTGCGTGGCTATAAATGGGACTTTCTTTACGATTTTATAACGAATGGAATTTCACCTCGCCAGCGGCCAGCGTAATTAAACATTCCGAAGAGTATAACGTCACAATGAACATTCGTGAATAAAAAGTAACAACCAATAAGTTGTGTTAATGGATGTATACAGTGGCGAACGAGATTTGCCCGGTAAAAAAATGTTGAATGAATTCATTAGTGGCATTGTAAATGGCCAAATCGCAGTGACGGGAACTATTGCAAACAGTGCATATGAACGGTGAATGAAAGAAACGCGAGAATAGAATGAAAACAGTGAACGAATGCAAACGTTAACGCAATCCACGCACCCAAATATCAAGGCAAGTGGGTGAATTGACAGCGAAGTCAGTTTTAAAAGCAAACTAAAACTAGAGCACACGCACTTAAAACAGCGACAATCCGAACACCAATCATTCACAGCAATGGCGCAATAATTAACACCCATTGCACAGCGGCAAACACGACGTGTCTTCACGACAAACAGGTGGAGAGGCCGCGTCAGTAGGGATCACCACCACCACCAGCACCACAACTACCACCACCACTATTACCACCACCACCATCACCACCACTATTACCACCACCACCACTATTACCACCACCACCAGCACCACTACTACTACCACCACCACCACTATTACCACCACCACCAGCACCACTACTACTACCACCACTACTACTACCACCACCAGCACCACTACTACTACCACCACTACTACTACCACCAGCATCACCACCACTATTACCACCACCAGCACCACTACTACTACCACCACCACTATTACCACCACCACCACCACTACTACCACCACCACTACTACTACCACCAGCATCACCACCACTACTACCACCACTACTACTACCACCAGCATCACCACCACTACTACCACCACTACTACTACCACCAGCATCACCACCACTACTACCACCACCACTACTACTACCACCAGCATCACCACCACCACTACCACCACCACTACCACCACCACTACCACCAGCATCACCACCACTACCACCACCACTACCACCACCAGCACCACCACTACCACCATCACCACCACCACCATCATCATCATCCGTCCCACGTTGCCGTTGCGCAATCCAGGAAGAGGCGAGCACGAGGAAGGTGCGGCGCTTCCAAATACCACGACTAACATCAGCGCCATCACCACCACTACTACCACCACCACCACTACCATCACCACACTACCACCACCACCACTCCAACCACCTCCACTACTCCCACCACCACCAACCACTTCTACTACTGCTACCGCAACTCCTACTCCCACCACCACCACTACTATTACCACCACTACGCCTCCTGCTACGCCGCCACCATCACCACGACACCCACCACCACGACCATCATCAACAACCCAAACCACACTCACTCCACCACCACCACCGCCACCACCAGCGAGGTCATGGCCGAGGCATCGCCACAAGAGCCACATTGCTGCTGCGCCCTGCGCTGGAAGTCGCTGCCGCCCATGCCCACGCCGCGGGTCTACTGCGCCGTGGGACAGCTCCTCCCCGACGGCGCCGGGTCGATCTGCGCCCTGGGCGGCTGCGACGGCCGCGGGACGCCGCTCGCCGTGGCCGAGAAGTGGGACCCCGGGGCCGGCCGCTGGCTCCCTCTGCCGCCGCTGCCAGCGCCTCGGGCAGGCGCCTCGGTCGTGACCCCGCGGGCGCAGGGAGGACGGCCCCGGCTGCTGATGGTGCTGGGTGGGGTGGACCCCCGGCAGAGGCCGCTCAAGGAGGTGGTGGTGTTCGCGGAGGACGAGGGGCGATGGAGGAGCGCGCAGCCTCTGCCCGAGCCGAGCATGGGGGTGGCCACTGTGGTGACGCACGGTGGGTGAGCTGGTGTCTGTGTGGGTGAGCTGGTGTCTGTGTGGCTGAGCTGGTGTCTGTGTGGGTGAGCTGGTGTCTGTGTGGGTGAGCTGGTGTCTGTGTGGGTGAGCTGGTGTCTGTGTGGCTGGGCTGGTGTCTGTGTGGGTGAGCTGGTGTCTGTGTGGCTGAGCTGGTGTCTGTGTGGGTGAGCTGGTGTCTGTGTGGGTGAGCTGGTGTCTGTGTGGGTGAGCTGGTGCCCGTGTGGGTGAGCTGGTGCCCGTGTGGGTGAGCTGGTGTCTGTGTGGGTGAGCTGGTGTCTGTGTGGGTGAGCTGGTGCCCGTGTGGGTGAGCTGGTGTCTGTGTGGCTGAGCTGGTGTCTGTGTGGGTGGGCTGGTGCCCGTGTGGGTGAGCTGGTGTCTGCGTGGGTGAGCTGGTGTCTGTGTGGGTGAGCTGGTGTCTGTGTGGGTGAGCTGGTGTCTGTGTGGGTGAGCTGGTGTCTGTGTGGGTGAGCTGGTGTCTGTGTGGGTGAGCTGGTGTCTGTGTGGGTGGGCTGGTGCCCGTGTGGGTGAGCTGGTGTCTGTGTGGGTGGGCTGGTGTCTGTGTGGGTGAGCTGGTGTCTGTGTGGGTGAGCTGGTGTCCGTGTGGGTGAGCTGGTGCCCGTGTGGGTGAGCTGGTGTCTGTGTGGGTGAGCTGGTGTCTGTGTGGGTGGGCTGGTGCCCGTGTGGGTGAGCTGGTGTCTGTGTGGGTGAGCTGGTGTCTGTGTGGGTGGGCTGGTGCCCGTGTGGGTGAGCTGGTGTCCGTGTGGGTGAGCTGGTGTCCGTGTGGGTGGGCTGGTGCCCGTGTGGGTGAGCTGGTGTCTGTGTGGGTGAGCTGGTGTCTGTGTGGGTGGGCTGGTGCCCGTGTGGGTGAGCTGGTGTCCGTGTGGGTGAGCTGGTGTCTGTGTGGGTGGGCTGGTGCCCGTGTGGGTGAGCTGGTGTCTGTGTGGGTGAGCTGGTGTCTGTGTGGGTGAGCTGGTGTCTGTGTGGGTGGGCTGGTGCCCGTGTGGGTGAGCTGGTGTCCGTGTGGGTGGGCTGGTGTCTGTGTGGGTGAGCTGGTGTCTGTGTGGGTGAGCTGGTGTCTGTGTGGGTGAGCTGGTGCCCGTGTGGGTGAGCTGGTGTCTGTGTGGGTGAGCTGGTGTCTGTGTGGGTGGGCTGGTGCCCGTGTGGGTGAGCTGGTGTCCGTGTGGGTGAGCTGGTGTCTGTGTGGGTGAGCTGGTGTCTGTGTGGGTGGGCTGGTGCCCGTGTGGGTGAGCTGGTGTCCGTGTGGGTGGGCTGCCCAAGCCCGCTCACGTTCAAAAGCTGTTCTCCTCAGCCCATATCACCAAGCCCTTGTACGTATGATTAGCACGGTTGTCTACGTACGGTGCGAAAGAAGTTCAACATACATTTGTTGAACTACTTTCACACCGTACGTGGCCAACCGTGCTAATCGAAGGTGCGGAGGAAGGATAAACTAAACACAAAAAGCTGTTCTAAAGAAATGAATTTGCAATCTAGATGATTTAAAAGTGCATATCTCCAAATAAATTCCTAATTTCATAAGGAAGAGCATTCCAGACGGCCCGCAGAAGCGCATCTGAGAGCGCGCGATGCAGTGAGCGCCTTTCTTAGATGGTTAGCCAAAAGCCGCTGCTGCGAGGATGCCCGGAGTTGGCGTGGTGGCGCTTCATGTTCCTTGATGAGATCAGCGAGGTGTTTGTGCTTCATTTGCCTTGCTCTTTGTCTGTAGCGCCTTGCCCTGACGATTGGCACCAATGACCTCGTCTGTGGCCGCCTTGACCCGGGTTTCCCGTCACCTCTCGTTGACATTGAGTTGCCACTAGGGATCGCTCAGCCAGGACCACAACAACCATCATTAATTATCGACATTCGTCGATAAGACCGTGGCCAAGGAGGTTAAACCATCATCACGACACCTCCGGTGATCCTCGCAGCAACGTCGCCATTCACAACTCGCAGAGCAGCAGGCTCATCCCGGGTGTTAGTAGACAACCACCCGTGGGACGAGCTGTCACAGGACTTCATCTGAAATCCCTCCCAGTGGCGTTACTTTGTCTTACTGCCGGGAGTGCACTTTCACTCTCCCACGTGTTGACTGTGAGGAATGTTCTTCATATGGCACTCAGAAATGTCATGTTGCATTCTCACAGCTGGAATTTAGCCAATGACAAGAATCAGAATCAGGATATGTATTTATACTGGAGGAATCCGATGAGCTCTAAAGCTCTTTTTCCAGTTGGGGCGGGTCAGAACGTTACAACAACAAACATTACAAAAACATGATAGGAGCGGAAAAGTTAAATCACGCAAAAACATTACAAATAAAACTATACCACTATTTTTACTTTAACCAGGTGAAGCCCACTGAGCTATGAGCTTCTTTTTGAGAAGCGATCTGGCCACAAATCATAGCCCAACGAAGTGGCTTGCCACGTGGAAATGTATAGCACCAAAACAATACAGGGAAAAAACAACAACAACCAAACTTAGCGCAAGGCCACGTTTAATTCGCTGTGTTCTCTGCACAGCCATCGGTGACTGGGCTGAGTCCATCCGCTCGCTGCACTTGAGAAACCCGAATTAGGATGATGGCACGGTGGACACCCACGTTCGAGCATCTCGGAGCGGTGCTGTCTCAGTGTCCCTGACCCCTGGGGCCGCCACCCATGCCACCTCGGCTGCGTGGGTCGAAATTCGAGACGTGCGCGCGTGTCTGATGGCGCGCAGAAGGGAAGGTGTTCGTGATCGGGGGCATGGGGCCCAACTCCAGCTGCCACAGCAGCGTGCTTGAGTACGTGGAGGCGCAGGATCGCTGGGCGGCCATGCCACCCATGCCCACGCCCCGCTACGCCGCAGGGGCCTTCCTCATCGACGGCAAGATCTACGTCATCGGTGGGTACCCGCGCGCTGCCCCAGGCCTCGCGATGAGCAACATCTGGACCCGTTTCGACGTTGGGCGTCTCGTCAGCAGAGTCGGGCTCTTGCTTGTCACGATGCCGAACTGCTGGTGAAAGCCGCTCGCATTGATTCAAGCAACGTTGACTCCTACGAGACGCTATATGTTGACATAGTCAGCCATCGTTTTTTATTTTATTGGAACAGGAAAATTTTACAGTAAAACTACAGAAATCAGATATCTGTGAGTACAAAGTAAAGGTGCAGCCCTGCAATTGCTTGCTTATGCTACTGCTATTTGAAGAACCTCCACTAGCAGGAGCTCCAGAGAGCCCCTCTGGCCAGACGTCTTGGAAGAGGTGAGAGCAGCCGTACTCTTTACCCCACCAAGATGGCGAGTGAACACGAGGCACCAGGAGATGATGGTATCGGACCGGCCACCTCCAGGTTGCAGGTCCAGTGTGCTGACCGCGGCACCATCCGGCGGGTATATCGAGGGATCACAAAGAGCGAGGACGCTGCTGCCCCATCGCAGGGCTCCGCTGCACCATTTGTCAGGCCGGGAGCACCCTCCAGCGAACTGTTGACGCACAATCCGCTGCATGTGCAAGGGACTCGACGCCTTTCCCCCTGCCCCCCCTCACCTCCCGCCCCCCCCCCTGACTCGGAGGTTGAGGATCAGCCCTGATCCGTGCCGGAAAAGAGGAAATGGGGGAGGCGGGAGGTGATGTGAATCTGTGGCTGAGTCACCCCCCCCCCCCCCCCCCCCCCCCACTGGGAGAGATTACCCGCCGCTATAATTAAGAGGCGAAAGCCACACGCAGCAACTCCGCACAAAGCACATTTTGCCGCTGCTGAGCCGAGGCGTGGTGGTTATCGCCGCGGCGGCTCGACGCCCCCCGTTGCGAAGAATATTTATACGCGCCGCAATCGCACGGACGTTGCGACAATGAGGAACGAATAAGACGTCCGCCCTTTTTCAAATCGTTTCGCAGCGAATCGTCCTGACGGGACATCTTTGCGGTTGTAACGGGGCGGCCGCGTCGCTCCAACGATCGCGAACCGCTGCGAGAAGCGCCAAAGGCGCCACCGCTCGGCCGTGACCTTTGACCTCCGGTGACAGCGGCAGCCCGCTCCACACGCTCGACGCGCGCGTGTCTCCAGGTGGCCGGCAGGACAAGCGGGCGGTCACGTCGCTGGAATGCCTCGACCTGGAGACGAGGTCGTGGACGAGCCTGCCCGAGCTCCCCTCGTCGCACGTCTTCCAGAACCACGGCGCCACCGGGCGGCTCATCGTCACCGCAGGGGGAGTCGTGCCGCCGCCGGCGCGCGCCCGCCACGCGCACCCCACCTTCACCAGCGCCGTGCACGCGTTCGACGTGCGCCAGAGTGAGTCGCCGTCGCGGGTAGGGTGCGGGCAGCGGTAACCCTTGCTTTAGTTGAAACTATATAAACTTTTAATTTTATTTTGTCAAGTAAGGCCCCTGCTTAGCTATGTAGCCTTTTTTCGGAGCTGGCCTCAGCCGACATAGAAGGCAACTGGCTGCACTTTATTGCGTTTTATTGACACGTGGCAAGGTGGGTCATTTCCTTCACAAGTTAAAGATGAAAGAGTTGCCCTGTTGTGAATGTGATGAAGTGTCATCTGCTGATCACAGGAGGCACGGACGCTATACAGCAAGGAACTCCTGATGCCATGGAATGGATCACCAGCCTCACAATTATCATACTTTGTCATTTGCTCTTCATAAGCTCTATACACTTTTTATTTTACCAGGTATAACCCACTGAGCTATATATAATCGTTAATAAATGCATTACGGATTGGTTTTTCACCACAACAATTAAGTTAATTGCCCATGAGGCCCCATTGCCCCAATGGGTCTTTCGTACCAGTATTTTCCAGCAGCATTTTGTTAATCGGTCAATCCTTGGGCCAAGTTTGACGTTACGCACCTCATCAGGATTTGTGCGGCCTATGAAGCCGCTGGGTTGTCTGGTGTCGCAGGCAGGAGCACCTCTCCAACACCGCGGAGGATGAGAAATTAATAACAACAATAATACAAACAAACTCGGTTTTCTATCACGCTGTTCGCACAAGGCCTCAAAACACTTTACGTTAAGCTTCAGTTATGGAAAAAGGCTGTTGTAAAAACAGGTGAGTTTTAAGATGCAATTTTAAAAGTGTTACTCACTCAAATTCCCTTATGGACGAAGGAAGGGAATTCCACAATCTCAGAGCCTGGCTGCAGAAAGCTCTTGTCTCCCGTAGAACAACAACGTCTGGTCTTTGGCCTATTGAATTTTTACAGCCCTCTGTCAATCCACTGCTCGATGAAGGCCTACACATGCTCTGTCAGATATAGAAAGTTATTAGACATGTACATTAAATGCAAACGTGCATGTTTGTGGCAATTATCGCCACTGATGGTTAATTCTGCTGTGAGCTGTGTGTTGCCAAGTGCCACAGGCTTTTGTGTGTGTGTGTGTACGTTTGTCCTCCCATAGGCGAGTGGGTGGCCCTGACCAGTGAACAGAGCCTCAAGGAGCAGCGAGCAGATTTTGTGATGGGAACTTTGGAAGGGAAGGTGGTGGTGGCTGGTGGTCTCGGTGAGTAACACTGAAATGTATCTCTCTTTCGTACAGCATTTGAAGAGGAAATGGCAAAGTATTATTACTGTGTGTTGAGTCCTTTCCATGGCATTAGGAGTTATTTGCTGTATGTTATCCGTGCCTCCTGTGATCGGCAGATCCCACTTCTCCACATTCACAACAGGGCGGACTCTTTCTATTTTCATTTGTTGAAAAGAAATGGCTGCGCCTGCCATGTGTTATTGAAACACAATCCGGCAAAGCCAGTTGCCTTCTTTGCAGGCTGAGGCCAGCTCATTCCTGCGTCAGACCTTCTGTTAAATTGCATGTATCAAGTTGGATGGGTTTGTGGTAGACAGGACTAAAACTGTGCCATTATGCAACCGTTATAGCTGCCGTGGCGCAAAGGACGTAACAATCTCGAGGTACGGGTAAGAGGGGTGGCCACCTGATTAGTGAGCGGAGTTGGCAGAGGAGTGGGCAGGGTCCGTGAGCAGTGGTCTGGGTGAACGTGAGGACGAGCGAGGAGGCCGCCACTCGCCGTGTGTCCCGGTTCAGCCTCCCAGACGTTTGGTGGCTTCGTCTCCTCCGTCACCTTCTTGTACCGGTTGCAGGTGTCGGAGGTTGTCCACTGGCCTCAACCGAGGTGCTGGACCCCGACACGAAATGCTGGGCGCCGGCGGGTAAAATGCCCACGCCGCGCGCCGCCTGCAGCACACTGCAGACGCCGGGCGAGCTGTACGCCATCGGAGGGGTGTGCGGCGGGCCAAGCGGCGCCGTCGACATGCTCGCCTCCGAGTGACCTCCGAGTGACCTCTGTGTGATCACCGCGGCTGCCGCCGCCGCTGCCGTTATGGCTGCACGGCAGACACTTATTTCATCGGCGTGTTTGCGGCGTGTGGCGTGCACTTTGGAACAACTGTTGGATGGCCGTCAGGCAGGGGTAGGTCGACTTTAACACGAGGACTTTCACGGCCGATATCAAGATTCATAATTTGTTCCATTTTTGGGTCAGATCGCGTAAGTAAAATGTGTGTCATTAAGCCTCCTTCACCCGACAACAACTTAATGAATTGGCCGTGTTGGGTGGAGGAGGGTTTACAACACATAGTTGAATTGCGCGGTGATCTGAGCCAAAAAGTAAATTCTGGAAGTTTGACTTGTGGGCTTCGGAGAGTCCGTCCGTTTGTGATAATTCGATTTGCGCAGCTTCTCCACCGCCGTAATTACAAGCCCAGCTGAGTTCACAATTTAATTGGCTTCTTAGAAAAGGCAAAATAAATAATTTTTGTGGTATCCGTCTTTTGTGTTTTCTGTGAATTATAACAGATGGCTTGCATCCCTGTATTGTGTGTGTGGGCATGGTTATTACAAGCAAACCATCGCGTAATGTTTCTCACCAATCAAAGCAAATTATATTGATTAAATTAATTAATACTTTATTACTTATATTTGTATCGTTTTCACATTAAACTTTGTATGAAAGGTACGAGTCTATGGTTAGCCTATTGTGATTTTTTTTAAATTAGGTTATGGTATGTTAAAAAGTCAATTTCTTCAATTCAATTGTATTGCCCTTTTTGAATAGAATAATGATTGAGTCATCATTACATGGTTGAGGCGTTTTATTTCTGTGTGCCTCTCATTGTTCATACTTGAATTGTTTATGAATATCAACGAGAGCGGTTTAATATCGGCAGACGAGGGCACGATGGAGTTCTTTTGGAAAACTGAACATGATAATGAATAGTGAAATACACGGTTGCCTCAAGCAAAGGGATTTCAGTGAGTCCATATTACCTGCTTTAAAATATGGGTTTAATGTAAAAACAATGTCCTGTAATTGAATTGGCAACAAAGCTTTAATATCCCACAGTTTGGGTCAGAGCACATATATCTTCATGATTTAGTCTGCAATTAATTCCGAATCAATTTGACATGATCCTGCCTTATCTCTAATTAGTCTGTATGACCTCGTGCCGCGGCGGATTTCTCGCCTACTTCAGCGTTTTTTTCTTGCTGTGGTTGTCTCACCTGATGACGATTGCTTGTGTTGCGATCGAAACGTCGTGATCTATTATTTTTCTACCTCCGTGACTTTACCGAAAGAACCAAAGAGTATGGATTCCTGCAGTCACGAAAGCTTCAAATCAAGGTTGAATACTTTTATAATGAAAAAATGTATAACTGCTGAACGCTAGATTGTTTCTAAACATATGCATAGAATGGATCAGAAAATATTCTTAAACTTTTGTGCTCAGTAGAAATAGGCTGATGTATTTTCATACTTTAACTTCAAAGCAGCCAGAAAATATTGTCTGTTTTTTACATACATCACACGGATATACGCAGGTCCTTTATACAATACAGTACTTCATTAGGGCGGGAAACAACACACGGGACCAAATGTCACAGATGCAGCAAATATTATATTCATTTGATTTACACAGAAACAAGGGCATTGACAAAGAAAATGGAACAAACGCGTGCAGAGAAGCACGGAGAGGTGTGCATGCTTGTAATTAGAGAGAGAAAGAAGAACACATGGATCAGTGAGAAAACCCAAAGTTGGAGATCCTATTGACACAAGACAAGTACATCGGTGGCCTCAGACAAGACCCTTTGCTAGAATGATCGATAGCCAGCGGTGGAGACTTCATGCCAGAGTGGCAGCCAACAAAAAAGCCGTGCTCAAGGCGATGTCCACCACTGAGGTGGAGCGATGGAATGAGCCGGTGTGCAGGTGCCAGATTGATTGTTACATCGCAGGGATGGCGTTGGCTTGAACGAGCCTTCATTCCGCAATAGATCAATGCTGGTGATGACTTTTCATAAGTAGAAGATTTGGCCACGTGTATTTTATTGCTCGATGTTGATTTTTGTTTGTGTGCCGGCCTCGCGTTTACACTAAACCTGCCGTGTGCTGCGTAATTCAGTCTTTTCAAGACTTTGAGTTGGTGGATGACACGGGGATTACATCATCAGTGAGAGGGCGAGTATCATGGCTGATTGCCTGGTCTGATCAGACGGGATGAGGTATGAGAGCACTGAACTATGCAGATGAGGCCGTGGCTTGGCGTGGCCTGGCATGACCAAGTACACGTACTATACACGATAATAATCATAATTGTCAAGTTGTATATTTGTTGAACTTTCGCACCGTACGTAGCCAACCGTGCTAATTGGATGTGCCGGGGAGATCTTGCATGTTGTTGGCTCGTGTGCTCCACTCAGACTGCATATCCCTTGCTCACGATTGCAACATGTGTCCATTTGTTTTTAATATTTGGCCAGTTTTTATCGTGGGTGTTTACACCGCTGCTCTGCTGATTTATTTGTTTAGTTTACCATGTGAAGCTCACTGAGCTATTCGCTATGTTTCATGTTCATTGGCAGCGTTGAGCCAGTGGTGGAAATTCCACATTCCCATGGAGAGGGTCGGCTTCTTTGCAGGATGACAACTGTTCACGTTCCACAAAATGATGTCTGTTGTGCCCTATGATTATGGGAAGGCAGTCAACATTTATTACATAATAGGGACTGGCGATTGCGTCACGACTGGTCCACATTTGTAACGCAAAGCGTCCTCCTCGACATTATTTTCCACTCGCCAATGCACACGCACGACATGCAGCTGGCCGCTCCCCACAGATACAATCCCTTAGCCTTAGTGTGCACATGCTGGAGTGGAAGGCATCATGGTGAATAACAGGCATGTTTGTCATCATTAGAGATGCATAATAAATGTACTGCAGTTCGAGCTCAGTTAATGACTAAAGTCCCTTGTTGGTGTCCTTTATCAAGAAAACGCGCGTGGATACTGCAGCATTATTCATCATTAGTGGGGAATAGGTTAGTTGACGGTGGAGAGTGCTTGCCAAATGTGAGATTTTGGTCAGGGTTGATTCGGCCCATCATCCTTCTAAGGTAGTTAAAACAAGTTCCGCCTTGTGAGGTTACAAAACGGTGTTTGTTGGGAAATTAGTGGAATTCCCTTGGTTAGCCCGGACTATTACCAAAATGTGTATTTTGACTGCAGGCTCAGAACCTTGAGTGGAGATGACTGATACCCATTGCTCATTTGAGCATAGGGCACTTAGAATGTTTTACTATTTTAACATCAGTATTAAAAACGACGTAGTTTTATGCGACGTGTGTGATCACGTTTGGAAAATAATTGGATGCCAAAGAACGATTGTTGGATATAGAGGCCATAAGTGGCGACACTTGTGAGGCTGTTCGGGTAATCGACGAGGGACCTGGTGGAGGCATGGCAGCGAATGGTGTGCAGCTCGGAACGACGGACATCACAACGAGTTTCTGCCACGGGTCGATGAGGGGACACGAGGAGTGTGATGAAGAGGGCTAGCAGTGAAGACGGTGGGTGGGCAATGCCGGGAGGGGCAGTGGAGGGTGATGAGTAGCATGGAGGGTGAATGAGAGCAGAGGAGTGGAGAACGATGAGAAGGTGGTGGTGGTGGAGGGGTGGTGGTGGAGGGGTGGAGGGGTGGTGGTGGGGTGGTGGAGGGGTGGTGGTGGTGGTGGAGGGGTGGTGGTGGTGGTGGAGGGGTGGTGGTGGTGGGGAGGGTGAAGCGAGAAGCAGAGACGATGGTGGTGGTGACAGTGGGACTTGAGGGGAGGGGCTGCGAGTTGGTGGAGGGGAGGGGCTGCGAGTTGGTGGAGGGGAGGGGCTGTGTGGGGGACGAGGGGAGGGGCTGTGTGGGGGACGAGGGGAGGGGCTGCGAGTTGGTGGAGGGAGGGGCTGTGTGGGGGACGAGGGGAGGGGCTGTGTGGGGGACGAGGGGAGGGGCTGTGAGGTGGTGGAGGGGAGGGGCTGTGTGGGGGACGAGGGGAGGGGCTGTGAGGTGGTGGGGGGAGGGGCTGTGTGGGGGACGAGGGGAGGGGCTGTGTGGGGGACGAGGGGAGGGGCTGTGTGGGGGACGAGGGGAGGGGCTGCGAGTTGGTGGAGGGGAGGGGCTGTGTGGGGGACGAGGGGAGGGGCTGTGTGGGGGACGAGGGGAGGGGCTGTGAGGTGGTGGAGGGGAGGGGCTGTGTGGGGGACGAGGGGAGGGGCTGTGAGGTGGTGGAGGGGAGGGGCTGTGTGGGGGACGAGGGGAGGGGCTGTGTGGGGGACGAGGGGAGGGGCTGTGTGGGGGACGAGGGGAGGGGCTGTGTGGGGGACGAGGGGAGGGGCTGTGTGGGGGACGAGGGGAGGGGCTGTGTGGGGGACGAGGGGAGGGGCTGTGTGGGGGACGAGGGGAGGGGCTGTGGTGAAGGCCTCCCTCGCGCGCGGTGCACGCTGGGGGTAGCGGGCTGGACAAGATGGCGTTGGTGGCTGTGTGGCTGCTGGCCGCGTCTCCACCGAGCGCCTGACGACGCGGCGGACTGCGCGGACGGGACACGGCGACAGCAACAACAACAACAGCAGCAGCAGCAGAGCAGCACGTGAGCCAAGCTCCACCACGGTGCACACTCAGCCGCAGCGGCGGCGGCGGCTACTGCAGCAGCGGCAGAGGCCGTGCGTAGTGACGCCGAACAAGCCTCGCTCCCTCCTCCTCCTCCTCACCACCAGCACCACCAGCACCCCGGCTCCGTCGAGTTCCGAACGGATCTGTCCCCGTGGCGAGCGCCGTGTTTGTGTCATCGGCAACGCCACACACACGCCTACACACACCATCACACACACACACGCCTACACATACACACACCGCACACACGCGGCCTGGTGGTCGGTCTGAGCTCCCGCGCCCACGGGTTTGCGGTGTCCGTGTGCCGCCCTCGTCCGCAGCGGTCGGGCACTCCGAGGAGGCCTCCCTCCCTCGGCTCCCTCCTCACCCACGCGACTCGCGTCCTCCTCGTTACCAAGCTGCCGCGTTCGCTCGTGACAGGCTGCCGATGTTCCCGCCACCTCGCCTCGTTCTTGAGTTGAGATCCCAGCCAGCAGATTGACTGGGTTCCAGAGCCCGTCACCGCTGGCGTCTGAATTGTGTTGTCACGCCAAGTGCTGGAGGAGGCCCCTTCACCCTGGTCACACGATCAGAACCAGCTCCCACAATCAGAACCAGCTCCCACAATCAGAACCAGCTCCCACAATCAGAACCAGCTCCCACAATCAGAACCAGCTCACACAATCAGAACCAACTCCCACAATCAGAACCAGCTCCCACGATCAGAACCAGCTCACACAATCAGAACCAGCACAATCAGAACCAGCACAATCAGAACCAGCTCACACAATCAGAACCAGCACAATCAGAACCAGCACAATCAGAACCAACTCCCACAATCAGAACCAGCTCCCACGATCAGAACCAGTTCCCACAATCAGAACCAGCTCACACAATCAGAACCAGCTCCCACAATCAGAACCAGCTCCCACAATCAGAACCAGCTCACACAATCAGAACCAGCACAATCAGAACCAGCTCCCACAATCAGAACCAGCTCACACAATCAGAACCAGCTCCCACAATCAGAACCAGCTCCCACGATCAGAACCAGCTCACACAATCAGAACCAGCACAATCAGAACCAGCTCCCACAATCAGAACCAGCTCACACAATCAGAACCAGCTCACACAATCAGAACCAGTTCCCACAATCAGAACCAGCTCCCACAATCAGAACCAACTCCCACAATCAGAACCAGCTCCCAACATCAGAACCATCTCACACAATCAGAACCAGCTCACACAATCAGAACCAACTCCCACAATCAGAACCAGCTCCCACAATCAGAACCAGCTCCCAAACATCAGAACCAGCTCCCACAATCAGAACCATCTCCCAACATCAGAACCATCTCCCAACATCAGAACCAGCTCCCACAATCAGAACCAGCTCACACAATCAGAACCAGCTCCCAACATCAGAACCAGCTCCCACAATCAGAACCAGCTCCCAACATCAGAACCATCTCACACAATCAGAACCAGCTCACACAATCAGAACCATCTCCCAACATCAGAACCAGCTCCCACAATCAGAACCAGCTCACACAATCAGAACCAGCTCCCAACATCAGAACCAGCTCCCACAATCAGAACCAGCTCCCAACATCAGAACCATCTCACACAATCAGAACCAGCTCCCACAATCAGAACCAGCTCCCAACATCAGAACCAGCTCCCACAATCAGAACCAGCTCCCAACATCAGAACCAGCTCCCACAATCAGAACCAGCTCCCACAATCAGAACCAGCTCACACAATCAGAACCAGCTCCCACAATCAGAACCAGCTCCCACAATCAGAACCAGCTCCACAATCAGAACCAGCTCCCACAATCAGAACCAGCTCCCACAATCAGAACCAGCTCACACAATCAGATCCAGCTCCCACAATCAGAACCAGCTCCCACAATCAGAACCAGCTCCCACAATCAGAACCAGCTCCCACAATCAGAACCAGCTCCACAATCAGAACCAGCTCCCAACATCAGAACCAGCTCCCACAATCAGATCCAGCTCCCACAATCATAACCAGCTCACACAATCAGAACCAGCTCACACAATCAGAACCAGCTCCCGTCACTTAGCAGATCTTAGAACTGAATGTTCGTGTGCTGGTTCCCAAAACTCACAATAGCCCCTCCCGCCCGCTTGCATGACGATTTCTGAACCATTTGCCACATAATTCAGGACGCATCTTAACCTCACTGCTCGGCAACCCCTCGTGTAGCCTTGTTCAGAGCCACCTGTGCGTGCTGAGTTGCAAACCCTGATTGTTAATGACCAGAGTCTTAAACGCAACGTTCATGTCTTCAGTTCCCAATCTTTCCCTTTCGTCTCCGGACATCAACGCACATTGCTCGCCTCTTACCATTTCAGAACGCAGTTTTTTTGTTGTTTGACATTCACAGATCTCACATTTCCACTTGACAGCTCCAGTCCTCTGGAAGTTTCAGAACATCGTCCGTGTTCCGAATCGACGCCACAAAACCGAGATCATCGAAATAACAGCCAGCAACACAACCCCCCCCCCCCTGGTCTCCTTCATCGTGAAGCAGGAACGTCGTCGTCTTCTTCGTCGTCGTCTTCATCGTTGTCATCGTGGTCCGGCCGCTCTCCTCGTATGAGTTCCTCGGACGGGTCTGGCGGGAGCTCAGCGGCCCGTGCCAGCCCAGCAGCAGCAGCAGCCTGCAGCAGCAGGTACGGGACATCCTCCTTTGCTCATCCACCATCGTCACTCGTGTGTGTGTGTGTGTACAGGGAATACGCTTTATGGGCTCAAAGCAGATATTTCACCCGTCGGTAACGCGTGGGGTGGTATAAATACTTTTATCGGCATCGGTTATCACCGCTGATTGATTAGGGCTTCCGCATTGTCATGGTCATTTATTTATTCCCAGGTCTCCCTTGAGGCCTCTTCCCCATTATAATCATTGGCAGCCATGTGTCCGTGACTCGACACCGACTTCCCAACGTTGTCACCAAGACCCAGCCGTCCTGTAAAATTCCATCTCCTTCAGATGGAGACCGAGCTCATTGCCACACCTCCCCAGCGATGCCCTCTCAGGTGCGTGTTCTCTTGTTTGGTGCCATCCCGTGACCAGTTTTGCCCATTCTAGGGAGAGAGTGTCCAGCCGAAGCCAACTTTTCTGAACGGTTAATGCCACATCTCAAATTAGAGGTCACGTGCAAATTTAGAGGTATGAATTCGTACGGCGATAAAAAAAATCATGGTTTAACTCTCTGAGTAAGTTTGTAGGCGATTTTCATTTTGGCCATTAAAATAAATCTGTACCATTACAGATTTTCCACTTAATTGGCGCCCATTCTGCTCTGGCCCATGCATGTATGGATGAGTGTGCTAATTGTGTTTGTGTTGATGTGTATTCATTATGTAGGGTTTCATATTTGTGTAGATGTGTTGTTCTTGAGTACGTGTGTGTATATGTGTGTTTCGGTGTAAACATGTGTATATGCTGACATGTTCTTTTCTCATTTATGTATACTTGTATGCGTGTGCATATTATGTTTAATTAATTGTGTATGTGCATGCGTTTGTGTAAGTAAATGTGTATAATTGCATGTGTGTGTACCAGCTTGTGTTGCTTCACGCCTCTGCTAGGCCCAGTTACTGTACGGCAATGTCAATAGGCCTGGCCTTGGACGGGCCCCACGTTTAGCCAAGAGGTTCTGCTGAAGGGACATGCCAGTGTTATAACTATATTCCGCTTGGCAGGAGTGAATTGTTGTGAACGTGATAACGCTTCTTGAGTGTGTGTGTGTGTACTGGCGTTGCCGGAGCTGTCACTGCGTGCTGTGAAATGTGTTTACGGTGTCGCCTACTGGGCCCTTCATAGCCAGGCCAGAACGCAAGAGCAGCCTCTCCACATCAAGCGCGAGATCACGTCAAATTGCTTTCTAAAAATATAAGCCGCTTGCAATACGATACTTCGTATTTTTAAAGGGGGGGAGGGGGTTAGGGTTTGAGGTGAAGTGTGTAGACTGTTATTCGCGTGGAGCAGCGGTCGCACACGCTTCACCATCATCGAATGCATGACTTTGCGTTAGTTGCCAGTGCTTAACGATTACCGTACCATCTTTAAAAAATAAAATATTTTTTTTAAGACAGCTATTGAATAATTGAGTGTCACGTCGATAAAAATTGTGCGACGGCCACACATCTCGGCGACGATTAGGCAAGTGCAGTATTTCTCTCTGTACGGTAAGACATGATAAAACCGTGCGCTTCTGGGTCGTGCGCACATACGCGTGCGTGTGTGTGTTCGTGTTGTGTTATTCTTGCAGCGAAAAGATTTCCGATAACAACCGCCATCCCCTGGTTGGAGACTGTGAATCTGGCCTCATGTGAGTAGTGCGGCTCGGGGAAGGGGGAGGAGGGGTGGGGAGCGGGGAGGTGTTGCTGCGGCCCTGCCCTCGGGCTCTCAACAGCAGACCAGGAGCAAGGGCATTGGTGCCCGTCTACACCACCCATCCGCCTGTCTGTTGCTTTTTTTACTCTTCCGTGGGTCACCCTCTCGTTTTCCATTTTCAGCTGCTTCTCTGTTCGCGATAATTACTGCGGTAGTGTGCGCGTTGCGAAACAAGCGCTTAAAATGTACCTTGCACAATGCTCATCGGTCCTACATCTTTCACTTTATATGCAAATTCATTCAGGTGATGCATGCAACTATATACACACACCTTTCTTATGAACCACTTTGATTGTGCAATTCCTTACTGAAAGCTGTGTTTTGAGACTTATAATGTATTACCGAAGTGTTAACGAAAAACATCTGAATGCTGAACCATGTTTTGCCATGCAAAGTGAACAGCTCAGTCTGATAGATTTTTTTTTTATGTTAAGGCGACGGCCGAGTTGAAACGACTCCTCCAGTCAGGAAATTCACAATGTTTGCAGCGTCTGTGCAGCGCCTGTGCAGCCTGGCTATACTGCACACGCAGCAAATGCTGTTTACTGTGCGTGCTTGTTGCTAGGGGTAAAGGCATAGCTGCTTGAGATTCCCTTTCAAGTTCCAATGTACTGTGTTGCCAGGTTGATTTGTTCAAAGGCAGCAGCAGTGCTTGGTACATGCTTTATGGCGGTGTGATAGTTGGGTATGCATGTATGCAGGCAAATTCCCACTGCTTGATATTCATGCATTGATTGAAAGCTGTTTACCGCCGTTGAGCATGCTAGCATTATCGTCATTCGGCAGAAGCCGAGCAAGTTAGGGCCCGTTTTCTGCTTGGTTAAGGAGACATATCGTTACAGGCAAATACTAATGAAACAATCTACTGAGATGCAATCTGCGCACTGTCTTCTGACTGAGGCATGGCAGCTGCGCAAGCCACAGCCCCGTACGGTGCTCGCGCACACACGTGAGTGAGAGCTGCTGCACGTTGCTCATTGGGTGATCGCTAACCGTATTAATATTAAATGCATAACGTGATCTGAGCCATTCGTTTACAGAGTTGCCAGATGAATGGCTTCTCTTAAATACTCCGATAAAAACTTTGTAGTTTCCCACAATATATAATTGTCGCTTGTGCACAAATAGAAAAACACGGGCACCGGGCAGTGCGCAGCGATGATGTCACTTACCCGCTTGCTTGTGTGCCGTGTGAAGGTTTGTCGGCAGTCGAAAGGGGGTGCTGTGGTCAATAACGACAAGTAGCCAGGTTCGCCAGCGTTCTTCCTTTGTGCTTGTTGTCATCGTGCTGCAAGAAATTTTAATCAAACGATAAACAAAAGAAAAAGTCGAAATATTGCTTGGAGGTTAATGAACAGTTTTACAAAATTAAATAAATAGTTATGTTTTCCTGATATCTTAGATTACATTTCCACAATCCTTAACCTATATTTCTAGATAATTTACAGTGGAGGAAAGTGCCAGAGAATGCTCATAAACGACCTTCACTGATATTTGGGAGTATTTATTGTTGTTGCTGGTAGTATCCTTAAACATATCATATAACATTCCATTTAAGCTGTGGATTGTTCTTATCATAATGAGGGTTTTTTTTCTCCTCGCATAGAGGGAAGAGGCTGGTCAGTGGATGGCAGACGGTGGCTGCTACCGTTGAGAAAGTAGTCTTTGTTTTTCACCATGAGCCGAGACATTGAGATGGGAGAACAAGGGAGCCCAGTCTTTCCCCGTCCCCCTTACCAATGACGACTCATTTGGCAGTTGAATCCCCGTTTCTGGAAGGGCAATTCGTCTGATACTTTAAAGTGTTGGTGTGTTGCTTACTCCCATATGTAAAATTATTCATCTGAGATATATTTACGTGTGTAATGGCTCCTCTGCTTCCCAAATTCCATATAGTGTATGAACAAAATGTATTGAACACGGGTGTGTAACGACAAATAAGCCTGCTCATCAGCACACGTTTTTCGATTGCATTTTAAAAAACTAATATGATAATTTAGGGATGCGGTAGAAATCGCATTTAACGAATGATAATATGTGTGTGCCATGAGCACTGACGCAATGTTGTGCATTGATTCCGTAGTTTGCCGGCAGATGAATTAGTATCTATTGCAGTGGGATTAATGCCAGCAGATCACCAACTTTCTTACGCACATGGCTGCTGTCTGGATTGTGGTGAATCGGGCTCTATTGAGTAGAGTATGTTAGACCCATGAACTGTGAACAGTGCACTTGCAGTGTTGGTACACAAGAATGTCGGGTTTGGCTTGTTGGTCACCAGCCTAGACATTCAGGAATTTAAAAGCAACATTGATTAAATTAAATCACTGCCCTTTGTTACTCACCTTGAGTGCTTAAGTCATCATTTTAGTTTGATTGAAGGATTTATTGAAGCCTTTCGGTGAAAATTCTAACGTAATTGTAAAATAACATTTTAAATCAGTTTCACTAAATGTTTGTAAACTCGTGAAGGGCTTTGACATAAAAAAATGCAACATTCATTAAATTGTGGAGGCATAATTTATTATCATTTAATCTTAAATGTACTATTTTAGTCCCTAGTGCAACATTATTTGACATGTATTTCCGCAAGACACGTGACGCAGAAAATGAAGCAACCATTGTATTAATGAACATTTAAAAAGCATAACCCTGCCCTTGCAGGCATGTAAAAATGTTCAGACCTATTTTGCAGTTAGAAACCATTTTTTCCCCCACTGAAGGGACTAAAATTGGAACCCCGTGATGGATAATATTTCCCAGAGCGTAGGTTGGCTAACGTCACCGGCAGCCTGACTGTAAACCTAAAACAACGTGTCTTGTAGCGCTGACGCATCGGTGTTTCGGCAAATATATGAAAATGAAAGTTCAGTCGTTGACCATCTCATGTCACGGCAATGTTGGTGGCTTGCATGTTTATCTAGATCATTTCCTACACGGGATGCTGTGTAAGAGTTGCCCTAATGTTATCGACTATATTAAATCGATGATTGTTGCCCAGCACTGGCACATTGGTCAGTGTGGTTGGTTTTTAAATTAGTATTTAGTCCACGGATGGCTACTTTGGTTTCTCCACAATCCCTGAATTTTTAGAGAAAATATGCTGGACGTTCTGGCAGCGAACTGTGAGCTGTCACAATAACAATGACCTCTTTTAATTTTATAAGTATTCTCATTCATTTTGTCTTACAGAACACGAGCCAACGCATTGCCTCTTGCCCATGATGTGCACAACTAACCACCAATGTCATGATTTTTTTTTTAACTGTTACGTGAGCTATGGTCATCAACTACAAATATTGTTGTGAACAACATTTAACTGACACTGAGAAGATGACAATGTTATTACCTTCTTAAGATTGACTCAAATATCAGGTGAACATATACCGTTATGCCCATCGGTGCCACCTTTGTCAGATCTCAGCCAGAGCAGTCAGGCAGATTAACGAGTGCGTGTCAACTTTTTCTTACGCAAGGATGTTTATATTTAGGCCGCTAAAAACACAACAGGGCTCAAGGGTTGTTTGTGGCTTGGGTGGCAGATTGACTTGTACAAAACCACTTGTCAGCGGACTCCAGGTTGCCCGAACGAAGGTGGTCCATTCTGGTCCAGTAAAGGACTCGTGGAAAGTGTTTCACTTTTTTTTGTAACTCTGGCACGCTTAATCTTGGAGGCCCCAAACCGAGATAGCTGGTAGTATCATCATCGTAATGACAAGCATTACATTGTCACAGTTTTAAGAAGATCAATATGATTGTGTTTACCCGAACTTATAGATGGGTTAGGGCATTTTCGAGCAAGGGCACTGCCTCCCTGAATTAACAGCCTATTGTAATTTAATGTGAAGCTGTAACAAGGCTATTGATTATATTATCGAGGCTGGTGGTCCGCAGTGCGCAACCGATATCATCCGTGCGGCTATCCTGTTCTCGCACTGCCATGAGATGGTATCACGTGATGCGCTGGCACTGGCTAGTTTTGACATGCTACACCTGCCCATCCTCGATATAGTTTGCCACTAGCACTTGACTACTTGGTAAACTGCTCTTTAATAGAGAATTCCTATTTCTCGGCAAACCGATTGTGTTTTGGAGCCCCCCCTCCCAGGTGTTTACTGTTCTGCCGTATTGTTAACACGACACTGTTGTTACTTTCCGAGTACACAGGCAGGTAACTTGAAGCCATCGCGTCATGAGTGCCGGGTCACACCAGTGCAGCACAGCGGAATGCGTTGGGTATTTAAAGATGCTCACGTGCCGCCCAGAGAGGGGTCATGTTTTGATTGGACTGCGTTGCCTGCGCGCAGAGCTCTTTTACAACTCATTCCGCCGTGACCACAGCCCAACGTCGTGCGCATCGACGTTTAAGACACGCGGCGGCGCGAGATGATGAGCGTCGGGGAACGTACATGGCATAAAAATATAAGTGGATTCCTGGAGGCCAAAAATTCCGGTGTCAAGGAAATTTATGACTGTATCGATGCGTCTGTTGTGGCGTTTTATTTTTCCAGTAAAACAACAGGCTGGCAGAGCTGTAAATGCTTTTATATTTTCAATTAAAATCAAGCGACGTCGTTTCTATTTTCTTTGGAAGACCTGGAACATTTTGGTCAAATGCTTCCACTAGTAGATACTACAAATACTCCGGCACCTTCGATTCGCATGGTTGGCTACGTACGGTGCGGAAGAAGTTCAACATGCGTACCTCGATTGTGTGGTCCTCCATAAGATATAGGATTGTGAAAGGAACTAAGTAGTCAACTCTGTAAAAAAATACTCCGTGTTGAGCATCGAAAAGCATATCCAGCCATGCAAACTCATTTCTCCACTTAGCGCATTACGTAATAGAAGTAACGCTGAGCCCTGCGGCCATAACTGTGCTTGCCGTTGAATGAGTCGTCTCACCCCAAATGGGCCGGCATACTGCATTTACGTCTTAGGTCGTGAGGAATCGAGCTCCCTGATTAAGCTCTGAAGCAGTCGCTTGCTACTGGTTTCAGTAAACATGAATGTTTTTTTAATGGAACTAATCGGCCAGTTTTACGAAATTAATTGCTCCAGCCGTTAACGTCAGTACATTTTTGTTTTGTCAATTAACATGGAAAAATATAGACCTTAAAGTGTATGGCCGATGCTATGTACAAATCCTCTTGGCAGCAAATAAAAGTTTTGTCAGAGCGGCGTGCAACATGATCAGCCAATGACATCATTGCATTGCGTGGCAGAAGACTGCAAAAACTCCCTGGTGTATACAGTCGTCCCTCGGTTCACGTCTTTAATCCTTTCCTCGGAAACTACTGCTCACCGAATTAACTGTTAATCGGATAAGTAAAAAATCTCCGAGTCTGCACGCGAGAGAGAGCTGTTTCCCACTGCCAAAACAGAAAACGCAATGTAAACAAAGCCAAATGGGCATCGCTGATTGGCTGAGCCATGCCCCAGCCGATGACCTTACGAGTGCTCTGATTGGCCGAAACTTGGCCCCTTGTGCGTGGAGCACAAGCGTGGAGCACAGCATGTTGACGGCGGCGCGCGAGTCGACACCACGGGGCCACGTGGGAGGCGAAACGTTCACCGAAAACCCGTTCATCGATGTCGCTGTTCACCGAGGGACGGCTGCACTGTGTATGCCTCGTACTTGCGGCCTTTCTTTTTTTAATGTGTCACTCCTTGATTTGTGCTTTCTTGTACTCGTCTTGTGCAAGCCACGATTTGAAATTTCGCAAATTGTTGCTCACGTTATATAAAGTACAGTGTATGTACACTGTGTATCCAGCCGATGAATAACGGCCTGTCAGCTTCTAACACGCACGATTTCTATTTCCGTTGAGGAAAAAGTTTTTTTTTATAGAGTTGTGGTCAACAGTGGATCAAAATCCATTGTTGCACTGTACCTCTATGCTCTCATGTCTGTTCCCCACCTTCACCAACCTGCACTGACCAGCGTGCAAAACAACTGTGCTCAAATAACACCCACGACCAGTAGAGGGCTTGGGAAGTCCCTCAAACAGCAGTGGATTGACAAAATGACTCAAAAATATATAGACACAGTACATGCAGAAGAAGCAAGCAGTCAACAGGGTTTTCTCGCTGAAGAAATCCACCCCGACCTGTTTAGTTTCTTCACGTTTTTAAAGCACATTCAACTAATGAGATTTCTCTCTATGATAAATTGATGAGTGACAATTACTCGAACATAATTGACATACGTTTATATGTAACTAAATATAATCGTGACTTCCATACATGGATTTCCCACGTACTGTACCCTTGGTATGTATTTTCTTACATCTAAAATACATTTACTCTATTTGTATGATGCCAGTGTAGATGTAGGGTCTGCATGCAATCTACATCTATATTATTTATGTAGCGCATGTTATGTGTTTCACGTTTGCAAATTTGAGTTTTCTTTCTGGAGTTGTCATTGATGTGCAAATCTCATTATTTAATTTCACGTGTGGGGTTTTCTTTTTCCCCACTATTAAAGGGATGTACTGTTGTTAGTCACGTGAAGCTGAAGCATAAACCACGTGTACTTTGACAGCACATTTGTGTGGGATACTTTTTGGCATGCGGGTGACATCACCACGCAGATGTGCGCGTTGACGTCACCACACAAGCGCCAGGAATCCAGACAGGAGTGCAGCCAGGAAAACGTTTCTCAATTCTAGTATGACATGAAAGCAAATGGAATGCAGAAGTAGCAGCCAAGAGAAATTGTGTATATAATAATATTTAAGTCGGCCTTTGAAGTATGTGGTGGTGCAAGATAATCAAGCTCTCCCTGTTTCTTATGGGAGAGTGCGTAATTATAATTGGAAGATTGTGGATTTGTCGGCACAGGAAAACAAGGACACACAATGACGTTTCCACAAGCAGAAACCTGTTCGCAGCATTGCATGGGCACCTACCAGAATGTGCACTGCTGTCTGTCATCCCAGGGATTGTCACTTGTGATGTTATGTCTCATTAATAAGTGTAATATTTTTTATTTCAAATTTTTACGTTATTTATTCATGGAAAGCCTTTCTACGTTTCAGCAGCTTTTCAGGGGGATCCTGTATTGCTTCGTTTGGCTGATTACATTTCAGTAGTTGTTTGTGTGGGGAAAAAATAGGTCCCCAGAGAAAACTCCGGTATATGGGGGTATCGCACTTAAAGATCCGCACAGACAGAACTATGCATATATTTGCCATACTTCTAGCCAACTCGAAGCCCAGCGGATTTGGAATTTCAAAACTTTGTGGTACACCAGCTCTTGTGTCAAAAAACTTTGAATTGTAGGAATGTGCCTCCTCGTGAACCATCCCATGGAAAGGCCGAGTGTGTGCCAAAGTAGCCGATATATACTGATGATATCACTGATTGAGGCAGAAGACGAGACCTTCTATTGGTGATCATTATTACCACCTTGAACACTTGGGCTTTGCTTTTGTCTGTTTTTCGGCATTGACGGGGCACACGCATTGCCTTCGCTTGACGACTTACTCTCAGGAGTGGTGCGGGGAATCGGTAATCAATGGCATGGGATGCTTTTAGCTTTTAGCAATGGACAAACTGTTTTACTTGAGTTAATATCATGTTTTATGTAACATTTAGAGAGCAAAAACAATATGTTCGTTTGTACGTGTCTATTAAATTTAACCACTCGCTAACCATCTACATTGGAAGGATATTTGACACTCACAAATACAAATAAATTACCAATTTACCACTAACAATTTTAAAGCAGCAGGAATGTGCACTTGCATATTGCATCTTGTGGCTTTGTTTTCTTATGAAAAGCTGTTGCTCGCTGATTTTAGTGGCTCACAATCAGAAGTTTGTGAGCTCAAATCCTGATTGTGAGTTGATTCAGCCCATCATTCCTTCGGGGTCAATAGAATGAGTACCACTTTGGAGGAAGGTCAACAGTGGTTGTCATTTGGATGGACTTGCCATAACAACGTGTAATTTCCACCACTAGCCTGTGGATATATAAGCATTAGAGGAGCATTGCCTCAATGGTCATTTGAGCATAAAATCACCGACTTTTTAAAACTATTTTTATTTTAATAGTTTCCATGGAAACTGTTATATTTGTTTACATAAAAGTGCAAAGTGGAGGACATGGAGCTTGATTGTGTTATGGTCTTTCGTGAAGTCATCGGCAATGTGTTTTTGACAGTGAACGGTAAACGTGGATTGAGACTTGAGGATGCACTTTTACTGTTCCCCGCAGGAAGCGTGCAGCTGTGAAGCAGATGATAGAGCGGTATTATCACCAGCTGACGGAAGGCTGTGGCAACACCAGCTGCTCCAACGAATTCTGTGCCTCCAGTCCAGCCTTCAAGCCTCTGGATAACAACAGTGCAGCAATCAGGTACAGGCCCACATCTTACTGAACTCATGAATCGTTTTACAGTGCTAAACCATGTGCCGCCGTACAGCATGCAATCCCGTGCTTGCGGTCGACAAAGCATTTGGTCTTTATTTTACCAGAAGCCTTGAATTGGGAGAGGCAGACAGGACTTAGGATCCGCATCGCTGCCTCCTCCTCGGCTCGCCCATACCTCACCCACCATGGACCCCCACCCCGTGTAATATTGTGACCCAGACGCCTGTCGCCAAAACGGCACCGCGCTTTCACACTTGCCTTGTTGTCGCACGGGGAGAAAGCGGCAGTTTACCAGGATAATCAGCTCTTCGTATGTTCGTCAATTTTCTATATTTCTTGGACAGGTTGCTCTGCTCGCTCAGAGAAATCTAGCACCGCAGCGATTCCATGGGCTTGAACGGCGTGCTTCTTGCCAAAATCCTATAGCTTCTCCCGACACCGGGTTGCTAAGCCCACGGTGAAATTGCAGGACTATTGACCCTTTAGAGGGCTTGCATTGAGTCAAGTGTAAGACTGCTAGCCCCCCCCCCTGACAACCGTGATTGTTGCTGGACCTGCCTCCAAATTGGCAGTAAGCGCTTGCACCGCACTTCCGGTCTGCAAAGGAAAAAGCAAAGCGGAATTGCCTACAGGTGACCTTATCCAAAGGTTCTTGAACAGTGAATTTTTTATAAGGGTTGTCGGATAGGATCCCCACTTCCTGTTGGTGGCATCACGCAGACCTGCCTTGAGTAGAATGTATGAATATCGCTGCAAATATTTCAGTGCATTTTATGTAGATAAACGGTTTGAATTGGGCCAGCATTGGATGTTATTTTATTTATTGCATATGGACTTGTGAGCACCGGAAGTCTTCTATTGAAACGTGCGTGGTGGTGTGGAGGCATGAGTCGGTTGATGGTTCACATGGTGAGGGTGGCGAGACTACGCTGGGTTGGCCGTGGTGGCGCCCTACACAATTGGGAAACAAATATGGGCGAGCCACGGAGGAGGCATTGAGGTCTGTCCTCTCTCCCTTGTGGTCGCCAGTAAGATAAATAAGCAATTTTTGAAAAGCGTAACCACTTTGTTGTCATCTGCTCTCCCAGAAATAGCGTGTTTGTATGGTGGCATTTGGACTATCATGGCAGTGCTTAGGGGCGATACTCCAACGTTTGTTATCACCAATATGACCATTGTCATTCATATATATTCTGGAAGTGTTTATCCTTAAACGAGCCTCTGCTAAAGCCCAGAGGCATGTGGCCTCCACAGTAATTCAACAAGGAACAGACTTGTAATTGAGCACTTGTGAACAAAATTGCACGTGACACCAGGACATAATGATTTTTCACACTTTTCTAAACAGTATCTGTAGATGATTTATTATCTCATTGATTAACATCTGGTGATGACTGGTGCATGATTCTTAGTCGGGGTGAGTTTGAACCCCACAACCCTGGCATGCATCACATTTACAGATCAGCTTATCTTATTTATATGAAAGGCTTTATTAAGTTAGACCTCAAAACTGAATTCAAATGATTATTAATCAGGTTTATTTTTTATGCCAAACTTCCAATTAAGGTTGACCACAGGCATCTGATCATTGCTAGATCGGAAATGTTCCAATCTGGTGATTTGGAGTGTAAACATGTAAGCTCGAGAGCTGTGGAACATTGACGCAAGGAGAGCCTTCCACAGCTGTTCGTCAACCGGAGCGCTCATCCCCCTCAGGCCAGATTGCTGCTGAGAATCAATTTGTTTTTGCCTTTCCTTGGACCCAGAGGCTCTCGTGCCAGCCACCCTAACCCTGTCGTTACATATCGGGGATTAACCTGAACGTCACCCCGATTAGATTAGCCAGATGTGCCAACCCTGTGCGTTCACAGTGCATGTGGCTAGGGCAGAAATGCAAAACATCTTCATTTTTTATAATCTGAAATGAGACTGCATTTTATTTCTGTCCATGAGCATGTGACATGGGACATTGTTCAATATAAGGTCTTTCGAATCACAGACATTAGGTTGCATGTTTTTAATTTTCAGACTTGCAATAAGAGAATTTAAATAAAATGTAAAAAATGTAAAAGCATGGGATTCTTTTGTGCTTTATTGGTGACCGGTCTTTGATCATTAACTCACTAAACTTCGGAATTTGGTTTCCGCATGGGTAGCTGAAACCCAGATTCAACCCCAGATTCTCTGTTAGCGCTGGCTCAGTGCGGCTCCCTGAAACGCCCGCCTACCCGAGTAAAAAATATAGTTGCTACACTTGAGCGATAAACCTACGTGACCCAATGATCGAGGGCACAGAATAAATGAAGTGATTGGGGTTTTTGCTTTGCAGCGACAACGTAAAATGCGTAGGCAGCGTTGAGAGTATTGAGCTTCCGTTTTGTGCTGCACTGCCCTCATTGATCGCTCCATTGCAGTCGTGTCACGTGAGCTTTAGGAGGCGGGGGTGGGGAAAACCCAGGCCTGGATTCTGTTTCGATTCACACTGTCGAGTTCACGGTCATCCTCCGCAAAGTAAATGTTTCTGCCTTCTAATGAATGTGTTTGTGTATCAATATTGTGGATAACGCACTGCGATCGCTACCCAGTTGAACCAGATTACATTGCTCTATTTGTTAATCGGTGTAATTCAATATTGATGCCTGATGTGTACCTGCAGTGGTAGGTTTTGTCAGCCTAGAATATGTCCCTGGTGAAAATATGTCTACAACTTTGCTTTGGAGATTAAAATGACGATGATACTGCCTCAGCTATTCCATCTGTGTTAATCTTTGTCAAAATAGGTGCTTGGTAATAGCACTTGCCTGGCAATTAATGCCCCTTTAAATTATGTATGTCAACGCATGCGGTAATCTTAAGTGTGATGATACGGTCTGTTCTGAGGTTTTTACGTGTTCGTCTGAAGCCATTAGCTTAAGAATGTTGACAGGATGTCACGAGGTTATAAGGGTTCACTGACTTTATATCTGCCAGCATTAATCCAAGACCTGTTCAGATTATTGCCACTGATGTTAACCATGGCCAGGAATCAACTCAGGATGGCTGGATTGTGTAGCGCAGCAACACGCTAAACACTACGCCGCCGTGTGCACCCCTCTTCCTGCTGTCTCTGCCCAGGGCTGTAGAGCTATGCCGTAACAAAGCCAAGCTGTGTGACCCGCACCCTTCCAAGAGGGGAGCTTCTCTCTGCCACATCGACTACTACTCGGAGGGCGACCTGGCGTCCCAGGACAGCCGGATAGCCGAGGGAGCCGTGGCGTTGGGGAAGGCGGCACAGCCCCACAGGCAGGACTTCCCAGGTCAGGTTCGCTGCGGGTCGGTCGGCTACGTGCCTCCGGTGGTGGCCCTCTGCATCCTCGTCAACAGGGCCATCGAGAGGTGGCTGCTGCCCCTTGAAGTGTCTGGTGGATGAGCTGATCATTTTGTGTTTGTTGTAACGTGCTGTGCCACCCCTCGTGGACATCTGTGAAAAAGAGCGTCATAGCTTATCGGATTCCTCCAGGATAAATAAAGATTCCGAGTCTGATAAAAACGTTGGTCTTTTTAAATCCTTTATATTAAGTTCACTTGCTTGCGCGCTTACGACCGTGCAAATCTTTCGGTCGTTTTTTAACCCACTTCCCGTGATCCAATCGAGCTGACATTTTGAACACAGACTCGTTGTGCGTGACAATTTATTTTCGTGAAAATTGTTTTCCAAAATTTTCCACTTTTTAGGAAACATTTTTTTTCTTCATATTTTATTTAAAATACCAATGTGATCAAAATGAAACTCTTACTCAAGAAAAACAGAAATGAATAATAAAATAAAACCGATGCCACGCATATAAAGGAGTTATAGTGAAAAACTTTGTTTTTACGGGTTAATTTTTTTCAACTGCATTGTTATTGGACTCCGCTCGGTTAAGTATAACCTAGTTTTGCTAGTCACTGATTCCTGCGATGTTTAGGACCATTGCCACTGCAGTCATTACCCAGTGAACGTATACTTCCTACCGGTTATTTGGGTAATGCTTGCAAGTGCATTTACGTAAAATGTAGTGTTACGAAAATGCACATTGTTTGTGTTGACCCAACTTCCGAGGGTGTTGATGAAGAAGTTGAATTTCAGTGTCACTCGTTGGTGATTTTGACACTTGTGAAATACTAAGTAATAATTCTGTGTTTGACTTCCCCAAAAGAATTGTGCCTCTAAGTAAATATGGTTTTGAGCAAGCAACTCTACTGCTTATTGTTATCTTCTTGTAGTATTTGTGTGTACATATGTTGAACTTATTTCGAACAGTACATAGTCAACCGTGCTAATCGGAGTGAAATTTTTTTTACGAATTTGAGATGGTTAGGTGGATGTTTAAAAAGAATCTTGTCACTTGATATCTGTTACATGTTTTGTTTTTCTGCTTTTGGTTTATTTCATGAGCCAAGCTGTTATCTTCATAATATTTATCTTGTATTATTAAAAACAATCTCTGCTTGTCGACAATTTTTATATATTTATGAATAATTAAAACTCATGTTTGAGCGATTGCATCACGTCAAAGTTCTGGTATGAATATCGATGATGAATCATCATTGCCGTTAATGTCTACTTGCCAATTTGTATCTCTAATTACATTTCATTTTTCGACGGTTTTGCTTCTACAAATCTGATAACATCCAGTGAATTTACGCAGCCTCGGCACCCATACGGCAGATACATGGCAAAGAGAACAGTCTGTCATTTAATGGTTTGCCCTGTATTATTCAAGGATAATGGAGCAAGAAGTGGTTGCTGAGTGCAAATGGATTAATGTTGGCCGTGGAGTGGCGGCCCATGCCATTGGATGTAAAGCTTACGGTGTACACTGTACTTTGTCAATTTCTAATCGAAACCCTGTCAGCGAAAGTAATTGTCCTGGCAATGTCTATGCACGCGTCCTCAACATCTGCACGTATATTCATTCATATATATTTATTTGTTAAACTCTGCGGTCTCATGTTTGTCCGCTTTCCAGATGTAAGATTCCTTACGGAGGAGAAGCTGGAGGAGATAATGCAGACATGCACCAGCGTGGGAGACCTGTCTCCGCTTGTGCGGGTCATAGGCCGCATCTTCTCGAGCGCCGACGCCCTCGTCCAGAGCTTCCGCAAGCCCAAGCAGCCGTCCAAGGAGGAGCTCAAGTCCCTGCAGACCAAGGACGAGGACAAGGACGAAGACGAGAAGGAGGTGTTTGTGGATGCGCCCATGGAAGTGGAAGAGGCTGCGGCGGCCACGGCCGAAGGTGGCAATGTGGCGGCCGCGGGGGCGGCAGCGTCGTCGTCGAGCGGCCAGACGGAGGCCAAGAATCACTTGGTTGAGCTGGGGCCCGACGAGGTGACGTTGGACATTGAGGCGGTGCGTCGCGCTTACCGGCTGCTGCTGGCGCATGACAGGATAGAGACGGCGATTCTCAATGCGCTGTTATGCCTGTCGCCCAACGTGGAGTGCGAACTGACGTACCATAACATGTACGTGCGGGACCCCAACTACCTGAACCTGTTTGTCATCATCATGGAGAACCACAACCTGCACAGTCCCGAGTACCTGGACGTCGCGCTGCCGTCATTCTGCAAGGCCATGAGCAAGCTGCCACTCGCCGCGCAGGGCAAGCTGGCGCGGCTGTGGTCGCAATACAGCCCAGACCAGCTGCGACGCATGCTGGAGACCTTTCAGCAGCTCATCACGTGCAGGGTCATCACGCAGGAGTTCAACAGCCGCAACTTGGTGAACGAGGACGACGCGGTGGTGTCGGCCACCAAGTGTCTCAAGGTGGTGTACTACGCGAGCCTGCTGGGCGGCGACGTGGAGAAGGGCCACATCGAGGAGGAGGAGGACGACGACGACGAGCCCGTGCCGGATCTGAACGACGCCACGCTGCGCGAACTGCTCGGCGAGGACCGCCACAACAAGAAGGGGCCGCGCATTGACCAGCTGGAGGCCGAGCTGAGCCTGCGCAGGACCGACTGCCGCAAGCCGATGATCCCGTACGAGGAATTCATCAACGAGCCGCTCAACGACGTGCTGGAGATGGACAAGGACTTCACGTTCTTTAAGGTTGAGCAGGACAAGAAGTTTTCGTTCATGACTTGCCCATTCATCCTGAGCGCCGTCACCAAGAACCTGGGCCTGTATTACGACAACCGGATACGCATGTACAGCGAGCGGCGGATAACGGTGCTCCACAGCCTGGTGCAGGGCCAGCACCTGCACCCCTACCTCAGGCTCAAGGTCCGCAGAGACCACGTCATCGACGACGCGCTCGTTCGGGTGAGCGCTCCATCACTCAGCACCTTTTGAACACCAACTGGTCACACCCCCCCCCCCCCTCCCTACTTTACGAATTTGCAAAATGGTTTGCTCCAAGTTGCTCAGTCTACTGCACGTGGAATTCTGCCATGGTGCAATGGTTAGCCAAGTGAACTTGCTATCCAGAGGTGGCCGGTTCGATCTCCTGGCGCGGCATTTGAAACGAAGGACACGTGTTAAATCCCCCACTGTCCGGCTAGTAGTAGAAATGGATACACCACCGTCGATTGGCAGTTTGCGTGTGATGGGGTAAATTGTGGGTCTCCAACCTCTTACAAGATGTGTGGTCAGGATTGAAAGGTAGGCCAAAATACTTTCTAGAGTTGCCCTCTGAGAGCTGCTATTGTAGAGACCCTTCATGCCAGCGGTGGCACGAGCAAATAATGTCATGGCTGCAACATCATCATCTTAACCTGCAGGCCCAACCTCTTCTACTTTTTGTGCAAATTTATAACGGTCAGCTTACTGGAGTTCTGCGGTTTGACTGATAGGGGTGTTTATTGGAATGATCAGAAATTGGATGTTTGAGGACTGCGGATGTTAGCTCCTTAAAACTGATTATGTCTGTGTACATGCTATATAAAGATCGGGCTGCATACGACCTCGACTTTTACGGTCTATCACCTGAGTTTAGGTTGGTGTGCTCCATTTGGTGTTAGGATTTTAATATACATAGCTGCCTGTGTTGATTTTCGTGTATGAATCTACTGTTTCGATTGATGTTACAATATTTATTGTATAAACTAACAAAGAACGTGTGATTTCATTAAACAGGTTAACCTTCACACAGCCATTTAAATCACTTGTACGTATGTATAAGTCTTAGGATTACATCCGATTAATACAGACCTTTTTGTATAACGTGTGTGGCAAGATTACTGAGAGCTTCCCATCAATGGAGACGCTGTGGGATCAACACGGGGAAACTTTGGTCTGACAGTCAATTAATAATGGGCCCCCTCTGCTGCTGCTTATTTGACATTACTGTACCTGGTTTTCCAGTACTTTGTACCAAGTGATAAAATGCCACATGTTGGCACTTTAACTGAGAAACTTTCTCTCCGATAATTGGATTGCTGGCATTGTGGCTGCGGTTCCAGCATGGCGATTTCTTGTGATACTGACGATGTATACTTGGTGTGACTACGCAATTATGATGATGGTATCGTGGTAAAATGATGGGTGCTGGCATGATTGCCCTGGTGGTGTTTTGGTTGTCATCAGTTGGAGATGATTGCTATGGAGAACCCTGCGGACCTGAAGAAACAGCTGTACGTGGAGTTTGAAGGAGAGCAGGGTGTGGACGAAGGTGGCGTCTCCAAGGAGTTTTTCCAGCTCGTCGTGGAGGAGCTCTTCAACCCAGATATAGGTGAGCAACCCGACTCTCACACAACGATACATGCACACGTGTCTCGTTAACAAACAGTAAGATAACATTGAGGTCCATCAGACAGTCAGAGCAAGGTGAAGATGTCAAGATAGCCGACGCCATTGATGCCGCCACACATTGCCAAAGCTTTCTCGTCTCTCTGACGAATACCACAGCTGCTGCGCAGTTGACACGTGACACTGAAAGGTGTCTGCCATAACAGTATGGAAGAAGAACCACATAGGAAGAGACACCTCGGGAGTAGGAATAACCTCAGGAGGAGGTTTGGGAAGCATAAGTTCCCTCCATAACTGTTTCTTTACTACCTAAAGTGCCGTCTTACTAAGGTATTATAGTAATATCATATGGTGTTTCTCCCCATGGTTGTATTGTGAGCGTCTGTATGAAACGATGAATCAACATTTCTTTACGCCGCTATCGTTTAACTTAGTCACTTTTGCATCTTAATATTACAGAGCATTCTCTTTTCTATAACATGACTCTGTTTGTAAGAGGCTGGTCATCGTCCTAACCTGGCTCACATTGTACATTCTCAGTTGTCTTTTTCTCACACGCAAAGGGTCGTCATTCTCATGTTGGCATTTGGAATACGAAGGACTTTACTCGGGGATTTAGCATTGTTTTTCCGTGTTCCCGTTGACGCCTGCTTTTGCCGTAGACTGAACTTGCCGTGACCTTTCTCCGCAGGAATGTTCACGTTTGACGAGTCGACGAGGCTCTTCTGGTTCAATCCGTCGTCGCTGGAGAACGAGGGCCAGTTCACGCTGATCGGCATCGTGCTGGGGCTCGCCATCTACAACAACTGCATCCTCGACATCCACTTCCCCATGGTTGTCTACCGCAAGCTCATGGGCAAGAGGGGGACCTTTCACGATCTCGCCGACTCCCACCCGGTACGTGCAGTGCCGCCACCTGTCTGGGGCCATGGCTCCCCTGTATAATTCACTCTTGTCTTCTTGGTTCTTTCGGTAAAGTGACTTTACCGAAAGAACCAAGAAGATGAATTCCTGCAGTCACGAAAGCTTTAAATCGAAAAATTCACTCTTGGTTATACTTTTTAAGAAGTAGTTGCCATGTAAAGTAAATAGCAACAATCTTGACAATTTAGACTTCAGTTCAGTTATCCGTTCTTTTTATTTTGTCTTGTTTGTACTGTTTTGTAGGTATATTCTTCTTCATACTGCCTGTGCTGCCAGTCTTGTAATCGCTGCTGTCTGGTTTACACTGTCTCATTGGTACTGTTTGTATTCTGTCTTATGTCTTGCTGTTTTAATGGTACTCTGTCTCATCTGTATTCTCTTGTAAGGCTTGTAATGTCTTATTTGTATTTTGTCTAATTCGTGCTGCTGTCTGTAATTTTTTGTCTCATTCATTCCGACTCCCAGCCAAAATACATTTTTGGCTTCACATTTGCATTCGTAAAATAGCCAATCCTTCCTTGAACGTGTGATTTATTGAGCGTATTGTGACCGCAACAATAAATTTTAATGGGCGGATAAGCGATTTGTTTACAAGTCTCCTATGAAGCGGCGTCATTTGAATTATGACGCAAAAATCGAGCGCTCGTTCTCATGGCGTGGCGGGGATTTACGGCTCGCGTGAGCGCGACACCGAGGCTGTGATTTGAACGGCACCCCGTGACCTCTCCTTCCCCCCGCCCGCCCGCAGGCGTTATACCAAAGCTTGAAGGACCTGCTGGCCTACGAAGGCAGCGTGGAGGATGACATCATGGCCACCTTTCGCATCTCCTACTTCGACATGTTTGGCACCCCCATCACTCAAGATCTGAAGGAGAATGGCGAGGACATTCCTGTCACTAATGACAACAAAAAGGTGGCGAGTTTTTTTAAATTTATGAACACAACAGAAATGTGTCATTTCAAGGTATTTGTCCCCGAGGCAAGAGCAGCATATAAGGCTTGTCAGTTCATAACAAGGAGTGCTCTTCAAGATCCTGTTTTTAAATATGACCACGAAGCTTGGTTGGGTATATTAATAGGGCCCAGAGACTTCATCTTCTCCCCATACATTTGTTTTGGCCAGATTTATATGAGACCATTAATTAACATTTATCTCGGAGACTGATTTTCGACCTGCAGACATACAATTAACCCATAGACTCACATTGGCTTACATAAGATGAATAGATGAACAGTATACCACGAGGCTTACGTATGACCCATAGACTTATATCGTGAAGTAGGTTAGGCGACTGGAGGATTCTATTGTGGGAAGCAGAGGGCAGGGCAGCAAAATCAAATGTCCTACTATACCCCATATTTAAGATCCTCGCACTAAGCAGCGTGGAGGTACGTGGTTTATAAAAGCTCACGAAAAAGAGACGATGGGACAGAATTCCAAAGTCGAGCGGTACGAGGAATCGAGCAGGAAGAGAAGTGTTGTGACCTTGCAACGTGTGGTGGTTCAACACAATATGGATGCGGCAAAGCAGTTGGGTAGAGTCCTCAACGTGGGAGAAGTTCACAGGAACAGTCGTGGTTGAATATTGATAGGGAGGTGACTGACAGCCTTTGAATGAGTGACTGGAGTTGTTGTTATCAATCGACCCGACTGCATTCCGTTGAATTCTATCAAGTGCAGGGCAAGTGTCCGAGTCGTAACGTGTGGGGTATCGTGTTGTCCGAGCGCAGGAGTTTGTCGACCTGTACGCCGAGTACATCCTCAACCAGTCGGTGGAGAAGCAGTTCAAGGCGTTCCGCAGAGGCTTCCACATGGTGACGAGCGAGTCGCCCCTCAAGGCCCTCTTCCGGCCCGAGGAGGTGGAGCTACTCGTGTGCGGCAGCCGGGTGAGCCTTGTTTCTCCCTCGCTCTGTCGTGCCGGCGTGACCCCCAATGGCCATCGTTAAACTAAAGCCTCTCTCGCTCTACGCAAACGTTTTGGCTGCTGGTTTTATTGTCAATCTGGTTTAGGTTTTCTTTGCAGTTTATTTTTTTTTTTATTCACAGACATTACAAAGACTACAGTGCTGATATAGCCCAGTGCAGCATGGAAAATTACTCTGTATACAGTTACGTATGTAACGCATATCATGCGGTATTTCGCCTTACCATAAACTGATTTCAATTTGAAAGTAGAGGAAAGCTGCACTTGAGATGTTCATGCAACTGTGGCCACAGGTCCATTATTCAGCCCCCAACATCCTTTATATATGTCTGTGTGTATATTATTTACATGTGTCTGGAAATCAAACTTTGTACTTTAAACATGGAATGCTTGTACATCTGTATTAATATTATGCCGTGTGGTTTTTGTTCATGTTATGGTTATACCACTGCAAGGCTTTCAAACGAAAAGCCCTACGCATGGATGGTTGCTGAGCTTGTATTTTCTTTTCACAAGTTTATTTTGTTGACATTGTTTTGTTTTTAATTATTCTAACGGATGTATTTTCTAGATCATTGCAATTGTTAAATTTAGGAACTGAAGCACCACTTATCAGACCTATGCAAAATGTGTATTTGTAATCCAAAATAATTGCTTGCCTCTAAGTTTGTGAAGATTAATTGATTGTGTGCATTCTGTCCAGGTGCTGGATTTCCATGCCTTAGAAGATGCAACGGAATATGATGGTGGATTCAATAAAAGTTCAAGAGTCATAAGGTACATTGTGTTCAGACTCAAATGTACCGAGTAATTAAATGCAAAAAAGCCTTGCTGATTGGTCCAATAAGTTGTCACTGTAGCTATCGTAGGATAAATTTGTTTACAAATGATTTTGTTGCCCACCATAGAAGTGAAGTAAACTTTTATTTTAATTCAGATGAGCCAAGCACCATAATGGAGGGGTCCATATTTCAGCGTGTTTGGTTCATATATCTTACACGGTGACCTGTGGTGGCTTTGTACTCTCTTTGTTGTGTTCCAATCAAGTATTCTCATCCCGTCTGTCATTTGCAGGGACTTCTGGGACACAGTGCACGATTTTTGCGAAGACAAAAAGAGGTTGTTCCTTCAGTTCACCACCGGCACAGACCGGGCACCTGTCGGCGGTCTGGGAAAACTCAAAATGATTATCGCCAAGAACGGCCCCGACTCGGACAGGTCAGCTGAGCCACGACTCACTGCCTTGGTCTTACCCCTGTGTTGTGTGTCACTTGCTCACTCCGTGGAAACACGCGTGCCAAACCACCCTCGTTTATATTTGTTGCACATTGTTGCAATTATGAGACCTGTTTATTAATGCCCGCACTAACGCAATAGGGGAGAAACTATTGTCCGAAACAACATTCTAATTCAAATCTCATGCATATCTCTCATCATTCTCAAGATACTCACCAAAGCTTGTTACACTTTGTTTGTGAAAATGTTGAGCAAAAAGTCAGATGTTCATCACAACTAAATTGGTCTTGTGTATTAATGTGCTTTCACCTGGTGAAACGACACACGGTGGCCTATAGAATTTGTGCTAACGCTCGACAAACATGTTTCAATGTTGCCTACCCCGCCTCCTTGTGCCACGCAGATTGCCCACGGCACACACCTGCTTCAACGTGCTGCTGCTTCCAGAGTATTGCAGCCGGGAAAAGCTCAAGGAGAGGCTACTCAAAGCCATCACCCACGCCAAGGGCTTTGGCATGCTCTAGGCATGCTCTAGGCATGCTCTAGGCATGCTGTAGCCGCTGCCTAGCCTCCAGGAAAGGGGGGTGGTGGTGGTGGTGATGTGAAGGGGAGTTGGAGGAAATCCCCACCAGTTGGGCCAACACATTTTTAGTTTTGCCTCCCGGCCGCAACTCAGCACAGGCTTTGCAGCAAGGCTACAGTGATTTGCCAAAATCAAATGAAACCACAAAGATAGCAGCGAGTAAGACCCCTCACAAGCCTTATTAATTTGCTTCCGAACTCGTTATGGCTGTTCTAAATGATGACAGCCGCAGTTTTTTTTTCCATCACAAGAGTATCGTTAAAATCTACTTTGTTTATTCTTCCTTCAATGCCCATGTATGTTGCTGCTAATTTATAGTTGTTTTCATACATTTTTTTTCTTGTTATATATATCAATTTTGACGTAAAAACATTTGTGGTCATTGTTGAATTAAAGCATTTTCCCCCACTGTCAATTAAGGTTTTTCACATTTTTGATTTTTGTTACATTTGACATATTTTTCTTCTTTGTTAAAGTGCAAACATTTAAAAATAATGATTAAATTGTTCTATTATTTGCCACAGCCCAGGGTAAGAGAGCGGTCATTGAATGGTTATCTTGTCCTGAAGATATTGTTTTCGAGATTCGAATTGAAAGCTTTGCATGACTGCATACTAATTATTTTTTTAACTAACCATCATTTAATAAACAACTAAGCATATAATTTAAGTGGTAAATGTACACTGATAGAAATATTCCAAACGCGGATTAAATAAACTGTCCAAATTAATATCTTAGTATAACACATGCTAAAGCAAACCCTTTTATGTGGGGCAGTCAAAACATTTTGAGAGCTGGATATTGTTGAAGCACGTACATTTATTTATTATAATGGGCCCTTAAAATCACAGCGCTTGCTATATGATAGGTACACAAAGATGAGGCTTAAAAACAACGAAATACTGTGACTTTTCTTTCTCGTTCTTTAACAACTGCTATGTCTGCCCCATGTTGAGCAATGATTTGTGTTTGCAGTGGTGAATGTGATGTTTACAGCGAAAAGATAAATTGTAAAGCATGCATTTGTGGCAGATGTTGCAATAACTACTTACCAATGGCAAATGTTACAAACCAAACTTCTGTTGGCATGCGCCAAATTACCAAACTTGTAAAACTAGATGAAAATACATACAATTGAAATCATTACAAAGAAATCAAGGTCTTTATAGTTTTTTCAATGAAAAGGTTCTTATAGATATGTACGGAGCTAAGATGCGATAATATCCACGGTAAATGTTCCATGTCACCACTGTCTTGTTCGGTGCTCACGATTGAGTTGCGGTTTAAATGGTTCATCCACAGCATTTGTAGTTTAGCTCGGGCACTTATTATACCGAAATATGTCCAGTTGTCAAGATAGTTTAGTAAACGTGTTTTTTTGTCAAGGGACGCAAACGTCAATTTGTCCATTTAATATAAGCACTCTGCCTCGAAATTACCAAGACTAGTCTGTTGGTTTATAAGTCTTCCAATAGACACCTTGTACTTTTAAAAGAAACTACCCCATTGCGATCGACTCTTTCTGCACACTGAAGCATACTGCACACCACCTTACCTTGTTCATACCATTTTTTAACGGGACTTAACCAATGTGATTTTAAAAGCAGAAATCTCTGAATATAATTGCCATGTATTGACAGCCCTCCACGTTACTGAGACCACACTTCCCGTATTTTGTCAAAAATAAATAAAATCTGATATGGCACTTGTGCATGTACTCTGTTAAATTAAACTTTTGCTGATGTTTCTAAAGCCATTGAAATTTATATTGACATGAACGTTTGTGTTTCTCCATCTCCGCAAAGAAATTGGTTTGCCAGCGAGGAGTCTTGTAAATTATTTTGGCTTTAGGTCACAATAAAGCGTATGCACTTAAGCACATGTTGCGCTTTACGATCACCATCAGTCGTAGGCGATTACTAAATGAAAGCCTCACCGTTCTCTGATATCACGAATCATCTCGTGCACATGAGCTAATCTCATCGCTCCATGTCTGGCGGCCGCCGATTTGTCACCAGTCACATGGACCGGTCCTCAATCCTTACAGGAATGTCCTGCCCAAGCCCACTTTCGGTCACGGTCCATATGATGTTTGTCTAATTAACTTTTCATCTATTTGATTTTCTGTCACGATGTAATTCCCAATGCACATTGCATGCCTTTTGTACTATTGAATCTTTGGTCCCTTTGTTAGTGTCCATGTTTTTAAATGTCATCGCAGGTAACGTCCACCGATTCCAAACTTTACTTCTCGAAGCCCGTTGGTAAATGTATTTTCAATATCAAATTCAGTTTTACAGAAGCACTTATCCCTGTTGTCATTTGCTATAATTAATAATTTTAATGCTTATCCCTATTTCAATTATTGTCCAATTGTTTTATTTTGTGTAGCAAACTGGAACAGTACTTGTATCGCTTGCATCAACACGCATTAACAACTTCGGAGTAAATGCATGCACGAATTAGAATAACCTGAAAGGAGAGCAGATCGTGATTTCAATTTTTTTAAACATTGCAATTAATTACTGGAAACTGATGACTTTGTGCTAAATGGTGGCAATGTAAGTATCATGCTTTGCTGGCCAAAGAGTTTCATTTTCACAATGGTGGCGACGACACTGATCATAAGTCGAGCAGAGGCCAAGACTTGGTATGAACGAGAAAGTCCGCTGATGACAGGCCACACCCACAGATCATTGATGTTGGTTGTGCTTTTCTGAGAACTTAATTTCAGCAGTGTTTCATAATTTGATGGTGCATACTTAGATTTTGGTTGGGCCTGGGAGTTCTCATCATGTTAACACAAGTTCGGAATGCAAGCCAAGTCATTGCATCGAACAAGTGTACATATTTGTGCACCAGTTCTGTCTACTCTTGCTTGATTGTATTTTAATTTGAGCACCAGTGATTGGTCTACTATTGCTTGGTTTTGTTTTAATGCAGCATCTCTTAAGCTTTCACCGAGTGCATTGGAATCCTTTTTTGGGGGCCGAATAGGATCCATCCATGATCCTTCAAGGCCTAAGAAGGTTAGACTTTCAGTGTGGGGCTAGATTCGTACGCAGCATTAATTTCCACAGCATAGAGAAAGAAATGTAACAGGATGCAGTGTGTGAACAATTTGACTTAGCGATCACAAGCAGCCAATCGTGAGCCTATTGTCTTATTGCTAAAATCATTTCTTTGTAACATCAATTTTCTCTCACAAATTAGAGTTTGAAGGGTTATAAACGCTATGGGGAAACGTGTTTCTTGAAACAAACGTGCTCTCTTGAAACTCGCTGCACTGGCACAGCTCTGTAAATGTTTTGGAGTCTAGAGTCGATATTTTAATAACTTTCCGTGCATCAGCATTTATGTCGATCATGTCTGATGTCCGATTCAATGCCACTTAAAAGTTACAGGGCAGGAGACTGTACGTAGGAGGCCAGCTTGATTCGAGTAAAGGGAATTTTACTGATACCAAGGTTAATGTGTACAACATGCCACATTTCTACAGCAATGTCTTGTGGAACCTGTAATGTTTTCTTTAAACGATGCATTGTTTTAACTCGGTGTGTAACAAAACATGAATGTATGGAGTTTCCTTACTGTGTACATGCACCCCCAATTATCCAGACCTTGTTAAAATAAAAGTGCATTTTGCAGTCACTGCTTTTGTTTGCAAGAGAAATGTTGGTGGAGTGTAACTTTACATTCTTAGCTCCCAAATTCACGTCATTTGTGGCTTAACTGGGTTTCAGTCAAAATGCACTTGAAAACCACAGATGCCCAATAGATAAATTTTAGTTATTTGCAGGTGTTGGTTCAAGCAGGTTTGCCGTGTTTAATGTTTATTTGCAATGTTTATTGTGCTTTTCTTGTTACTTCACATCTTAATATTTTCAGGATAATGAATTACATGCAACATTACAATTGAGTGTCTATTATAAGCACAGATCATTGGAAGAGTGTGCAGAATTTTATTGGCGAACCGAAGAGGGGATTATTTGTTGTGTTATTTTGAACATGTATTTTAAATGAACTCTAAAATGTGGCACATCCCGAAGGCGAATGTGAAACCACGTGTGTCGCATCATCCTGGAATGTCTCCCCTTATAAGGCTGTGCATGCTTGGGAAGCACGTGCTATTCATCCAAACGTAATGCCCTGCAGCTGTTTAACCGAGCTTCATCCAGAAACTTTTGTTTCACAATACAATTACAGCGACAATGCGTGGGGCTTTGGATGTCAAGTTAAGGTGAAATGGGTCACTGACCCTTCACAGCATATAATTTAAAGAAAACGTTCTGACAATGTTTCTTTTTACACACCACTGCATCTTTAGGGAGAGCTGTTAAAACTGACTTGCTTAAATTATGAAGTGTTTTCTTTCACCGATGACTACTCGCTCACGTAATTTTGAGAATTGTATTCCATTCTGTAGTTTAACAACATTGGCCTCAATGCATCTTTTTTTAAAGGCCACTGTAGCGTATATTATATAATTCATTCACACATTTAGGTGGTTTGTCCTTGGCCGGTTTCACGTAATTGCTGAATTGCTAAGTAAGCAGTGGCAGACTTGGGATTTCAAGATGTGGATGCAGGTCATGAGCAATTGTGACTGGCTGTTTGCAGACCAGACAAAAAAAATCAAGTTTCACTCCGACACATATACAGTACTTTGTCCTCTTGCTTGTCCCCTGCTGTGTATAACTCTTTAATGTCTCATACACAAAATAACAACCAACTGAAATTTAGGGTAAGGTAACGTATTGTATAATTTCAAAAAATAAACGGATGAAATATATATGTATAAAACTAAATTGCAATCTATGGTGCAAAAGTGTACTGGAATGTTTTCAGTATGCGGACTAAGCTACGTTGTACATTGTTACAAGTTGAATAACAGCTTATTAGTAGCCTCGTCACTGCTTGTATAATTAGAACATGCGAGAAACGGTCAATGGGTTTTGACAACATGATACTAAAATATGCATGCACTGACGATAACCACCCCTCATAAATTATGTTATTAATCCGTAATTAATGGGGCTTAAAAGTCAGCAAAGCATTAGATGTGTTCAGCAGTGTTTAGTATCCACTTCTCAAAACCTGTTGGCAATCTTTAATACATCAATATGAACCACGTGTTTTTGTTATCTTATTATTTTGTTTAAAAGGGCATCTGTATGGTGTTTTTGGCTATTTTCACATTTGCTTTTGAGACAGACACCGAGGAGGGGAGGAGTGTCTTATCACAGTTGTCGCATTGTGACTGTGTAACCGGAGAATAAAATAATATAAAATTTTCACTGATCGTCTCTTCCGTTGTGTTCTGTACGTCTCACGGGGGAGCCACTTAACATACCGTACGTCGGATCTTGGAAATGCAAAGCTCTGGACTAACATCGAGTTTGGGAAATGTGCATCGAGCATTGCACATCAGACTGACAAGTATCAGAGAGGTGTGTGCTCGGATATACTGTACTCTTCAGAAAGTGGAACACATTCATGGGGAAACCAATTTAATAGACATCACATTGACTTTAAAACGTGTGCTTGGGTAGGACACATCATGGTGATGGAATGCCAGCCAACGAATCAACAGAGGATGACCACCGCAAATTTGGGGTGATGAGATCAGCGAATTCACAGGAGTGAGATTAATCGTGTCCTCACAAGCCCATGGTGGGTTGGTAAACGCATTATCTAGCAGTGGAGAGAAAACGACATGAGACTGAACGAAGACGTTTGTTTACGTGGTGCCCGTGTTAGGTGTAGCACTACAAGCCACTGAGGGGTGGTGATGTGGGGAAGCCTTCATCCAGCAGTGGACAGACCAAGGCTGATGTAAAATAAGAATAGATTTTACCCTGTCTGGCAATCGACCAGGTGTTCAAATACGAAATAGAAACCTCTTACAAGGAACCAAGTCTGCATTAACCACGCGTACTTGTGGTGAACATGCAAGTGCATGTGCTGTGATGAGAATGTTTGGCATTGTCTTTGAAACTGATTGGCCTGCACCAGAGACAGCAGCCTTCTTCATGGCCCAGTCTCATCACCAGTGTCAGACTAGAGGATGCCGACAGGCGAGCAGCACAAAGACAATGCACGACCAGAGCATTTATAGCTGGGGGTGAGCCAGTATCAAAGTGTCGTGTTCAACACGGAGGCACACACTCTGGACTGGGTGGCAACACCTTTATTTAACTTCCCTAGCGGGTAACACTAAACGTAACTCGGGTTCTATAGCAGGTGATGTGGTTCACGATGTGAGTAGCGAGTTAACTCGAGACGAAGACCCAGAGACGACGAGACGCGGGACCCCGGCTTGATTCCACAGACGAGCCCAGAAGAAATTTGATTTAAAGCTTTCGTGACTGCAGGGATTCATATTCTTGGTTCTTTCAGTAAAGTCACGTTAGAAGGGAAATGATAAAATAAGAAAAATATCAAACAATACAAATTCACACCTGATGATGATTGCGTGTGTTGCAGTCGAAACGTCGTGATAATTTTTTAATATTTTTGTTATTTTATTATTTCCCTTCTACGTGACTTTACCGAAATAACCAAGAATATGAGCCAAGAGCCCTCCCGGGACTGCCCCTTGGTGCTCCTGGGCGCTGCCTCGCTCCGCCTTCGGACACGCCCCCTTCGAGACCTTTCCCGAAGGATCCAGACCGAGCATCACGTGCCCCACTCGGGCTACCACGTGCTCACTTGCCCCCCTCTCTCTCTCAGACCACCACGTGCTCACTTGCCCCTCTCTCTCTCAGGCCACCACGTCCCCCCTTGCCCCCCTCTCTCTCAGACCACCACGAACCCCCTTGCCCCCCTCTCTCTCTCTCAGGCCATCACCAGGACGATGCCCCTTGGGGTTGGCTGACATGCCACACTTCTACTCTGGTGCTGGAGAGAGGCTCCAGACGCACAGTTGCACTCCTGTAACAGTGGCTAGCGAGAACACCCTCGTGACAACGTTTACGTCACTACAAAAGTATGAAAAATAAAAAAAGGTTTTAGCCTTTTTGGCAATGAAACAGTTGCGTTAAGATGTTACAACACAAAATAAAAAACCCTTTTGCAAGGAATCAAATCTGCATTACCGTGGTTAATGCCGTCAATCGGGCAGCTTCGTCTAGCACACAAGGCACCATTGCAACATCTTCCCTGTGTGTGTGTAAATATAAATACATCATCCCTCTGTGTGTGTATATATAAATAGCTATAAATAGCCACAGCCTCTAAAGGAGCCTCTTATAGACTCCTTTGTAACCGTATTACTGTACAGCTCTAATCGAAGAGTCTGCGTTGGCAGTGGTGCACAAGTAGGACTCAAACAAAAACGCAACATTCGTCAATTAACACTGCCTTAAAAGTGTGTAATAGGCGACGTTTCGCGTAATGGCCATTCACAGCAAAGAGGGGCGCCATGGTGGCTAGGAGATGTTAACTACCTCGCCTGGTATACAGGAGGTCTGTGTCTCTCATCATCATCATCACGGTAGCTGGGAGATGTTAACTCCCTCGCCTGGTATACAGGAGGTCTGTGTCTCTCATCATCATCACGGTGGCTGGGAGATGTTAACTCCCTCGCCTGGTATACAGGAGGTCTTTGTCTCTCTCTCTCATCATCATCACGGTGGCTGGGAGATGTTAACTACCTCGCCTGGTATACAGGAGGTCTGTGTGTCTCTCTCATCATCATCACAGTGGCTGGGAGATGTTAACTCCCTCGCCTGGTATACAGGAGGTCTGTGTCTCTCATCATCATCATCACAGTGGCTGGGAGATGTTAACTCCCTCGCCTGGTATACAGGAGGTCTGTGTTTCTCTCATCATCATCACGGTGGCTGGGAGATGTTAACTCCCTCGCCTGGTATACAGGAGGTCTGTGTCTCTCATCATCATCATCACGGTGGCTGGGAGATGTTAACTACCTCGCCTGGTATACAGGAGGTCTGTGTGTCTCTCTCATCATCATCACGGTGGCTGGGAGATGTTAACTCCCTCGCCTGGTATACAGGAGGTCTTTGTCTCTCTCTCTCATCATCATCACGATGGCTGGGAGATGTTAACTACCTCGCCTGGTATACAGGAGGTCTGTATCTCTCTCTCATCATCATCACGGTGGCTGGGAGATGTTAACTCCCTCGCCTGGTATACAGGAGGTCTGTGTCTCTCATCATCATCACGGTGGCTGGGAGATGTTAACTACCTCGCCTGGTATACAGGAGGTCTGTGTCTCTCATCATCATCACGGTGGCTGGGAGATGTTAACTACCTCGCCTGGTATACAGGAGGTCTGTGTCTCTCATCATCATCATCACGGTGGCTGGGAGATGTTGACTCCCTCGCCTGGTGTGCAGGAGGTCGTGGGTTCGAGCCCGACCCTGATGATACCTGCTGATGTATTATTTGGGAGTCTGCGTCTCTCTCCCATCGTCATCACGGTGGCTAGGAGATGTTTCTCTCTCGCCTGGTGTGCAAGGAGGTCGTGGGTTCCATCCCAACCCTGACAATGCCTGCTGCTGCTGTTGCTGTATGTTTGGTATTTTCGTGTCCCTCTCCCTGTGGTCGCGTTGATTTTTCTCCTCCGGGATTTTCCCTCCACGTTTAGAATCGACATCACCCGTTCAGAGTATTTGGCCGCTACAGATTTCCACACGGTGATGATAACGAGTCAACTTGGTTGAGCTATCGATGACACTCACTGGTCTACAGCCAAAATGCTTCCGAAATAAACGTAGTCCAACGTTACTAATTCTGGGTCACTGAGAATGAAAATGATGCTTAAAATTGTTGATTGTCTCTAGTTTTCAAGCTGTGCTCCTGGGTCAGAATGTACGACCCTTGACTTGGGAATGGCGGAGGATAAGTGAAATGTAAAGGAATGGATCTCAATTTAAACCATAAATGACTCAAGTACATCGCTTATGGCTCTCACGAATGATCATTTGTGGGAGCGAGGTCGCTTCTGAAACGAGAGTTACAAAGCTTCGTGGGCCTTTGGGGCCGTCCATAAATGACGTCACGCGATTTTGGACGATTTTTGACCCCCCCCCCCCCTCGTCACACGGCGTCACAAAAAGTCAGACCCCCCCCCCCTCAAAGATGACGTCACAAAGCTCTGCCCCCCCCCCCCCAAATAAAACATGCTTTAAATCTCTTTAAACTATTGTGATCATAGTGCGTATTTAATGTGGCGCTGCACTCTGATGTTGTAAGAGAAACATGTATTAAAACGTCTATTTAATTAAATAGAACGTGTTGTCTATATTTATTTAAAGTTGCGCATTTTGATGTGACGTCACAGTTCTCAAACCCGCCCTCCTCGTCACACATCGTCGCCATGGCGACAGCGCAGACACACAGAGAGACGTCGTTGCCATGGCGACACCGCAGACACACAGAGATACGTCGTTGCCATGGCGACACCGCAGACACACAGAGAGACGCCGTTGCCATGGCGACAGCGCAGCCACAGAGATACGTCGTTGCCATGGCGACAGCGCAGACACAGAGAGACGCCGTTGCCATGGCAAAGGCGCAGCCACACACAGAGACGCCGTTGCCATGGCGACAGCGCAGACACACAGAGAGACGTCGTTGCCATGGCGACAGCGCAGCCACAGAGATACGTCGTTGCCATGGCGACAGCGCAGACACAGAGAGACGCCGTTGCCATGGCAAAGGCGCAGCCACACACAGAGACGCCGTTGCCATGGCGACAGCGCAGACACACAGAGAGACGTCGTTGCCATGGCGACAGCGCAGCCACACAGAGAGTCGCTCTGCTGCCGGGTGCCGCATGGCGGAGCTGGGATTCTCCTCGGCCGACCTCGCGGCTCTCTCCGGACTCCTGGCGGCTGGGCGCGGCTCCCGGCCGCACGGCGAGGACGACGACGACGACGAGGAAGGGGGAGAGGAGGTGAGACGGGAATGAGACGAGGCGCCCTCTGCTGAGGAGAGAGAGAGAGAGAGCCCGTGGCAGACGGACGATGGGGGGCTGGGGACGCCTCGGGCCTAGAGCAGCGCCCTGATTAGTAGCGAGGCGTGTTCTGTGTGTTGTGTGTGTGTTGTGTGTGTTGTGTGTGTGTTGTGTGTTCTGTGTGTTGTGTGTGTTGTGTGTGTTATGTGGTGTGTTATGTGTGTGTTAGTGTGTGTGTGTGGGTGTGGTGTGTTCTGTGTGTTGTGTGTGTGTGTGTGTTCTGTGTGTTGTGTGTTGTGTGTTGTGTGTGTGTTGGTGTATGTGTGTTGTGTGTGTTGGTGTGGTTCTGTGTGTTGTGTGTGTTGTGTGTGTGTTGTGTGTGTTCTGTGTGTTCTGTGTGTTGTGTGTGTTGTGTGTGTTGTGTGTGTTCTGTGTGTGTTGTGTGTTCTGTGTGTTGTGTGTGTTATGTGTGTGTTATGTGTGTGTTATGTGTGGTTATGTGTGTGTTATGGTGTTGTGTGTGTTGTGTGTGTTCTGTGTGTTGTGTGTGTTGTGTGTTCTGTGTGTTGTGTGTTGTGTGTGTATGTGTGTGTTATGTGTGTGTGGTTGTGTGTGTGTGTGTGTCTGTGTGTTGTGTGTGTTGTGTGTTTCTGTGTGTTGTGTGTTCTGTGTGTTGTGTGTGTTGTGTGTGTTGTGTGTGTTGTGTGTGTTGTGTGTGTTGTGTGTTATGTGTGTGTTGTGTGTGTTGTGTGTGTTATGTGTGTGTTATGTGTGTGTTATGTGTGTTGTGTGTGCTATGTGTGTGTTGTGTGTTCTGTGTGTTGTGTGTATTCACCACAATTGTTTGTGTTAAGCCGCCGCCTGCTTTACAGCGGATGTTTAAGAAGATCCCGGGACCTTCTTCAGATTCTTCCAGTCTGTATTTATACTTGCAGACTGTATTTATACTTCTAGACTGTATTTGATGAGCTCTGACGCTCCTTTTTCACGGATATCCAGTCGTGGCACGAGGTCAAAAAGTTACAACAACAACCACAACAACAACACAACAACCACAACAACACAACAACGACAACAACCACAACAACCACAACAACAAAAACCACAACAACACAACAACCACAACAACAACAACTACAACAACCACAACAACCACAACAACAACCACAGAAACACAACCACAACAACAACAACTGATGGGAATGCAAAGTATAGACAAGCTAAGCAAGTCACTAAGTAAAAATAAAAATCTATGAAGAACAAATTGCATAAGAACATCAATTTCTGCCGATATTTCAACACCAAATGAAATCTTGGGCAAGGCAGCAAAAAAAAGTCAGTCCAAAGTTTGCGAAATTTGAAAGGAAAAATAACAACAAGCACTTAGTGTCCACAAAATACTCATTCGGAATCTACATCGCAGATCATCGGCCACTACTGCCACAAGGGTCAGCGAGGATTTCCTCGTTAAACAAGCGAAATAACAACATTGTACATAATACAAATCATAGGGGGAGACTTCAGGCATATTGAGGTTTCTGTTGGGGTTTGGGCTCAGTCATATGGGCAGAATAAGGCTGCATTATTGGTCGTGCACTTGCATGTCATTGTTTAATCCATCAGGCAGTGTATCCGTGAACACTTTGCCTTTTAAGGCAAAGTCATAACAGCCTCATTCTTAGCCACGACCATAAACTATTTTGCGTGCCAAGCTCTCCATAATAGGCACTCACCCATGAGTATAACAAGCTAACAATTTGATCTTGGCGTTGTTTTCATCATGTGATTTTTTGTCGTTGACGTCTCTTCTCTGTGTCTGCAGCGTGTGTCATCAGTCAATCGTCTGGGTCCAGGGGACATCGGACCAGCAAAGAAGGAGCCCAAAACCAGTCAGTTTCGTTTCCACTTGAACCGATCGAACTGTCATTGAGCAACACACACAATATACACAGCGTGGCCCAAACGTCAGGACATACACAGGGTTGTTAAATGTATACTATGAGACCTCCTTTACCAGTGGCAAAATATAGTGATAGGTTTTTACCCTTTCAACTGGTACAAAAACTGACACCTTTATACAAGGCATCACGTTTGCAATAACCACAACACAAGCAGTCATTTTGACAAGCAGTCATTTTGACTGCTTGTGTTGTGGTTATTGCAAACATGATGCCTTGTATATAGGTGTCAGTTTTTTACCAGTTGAAAGGGTAAAAACCTATCACTTTATTAAATGTATGTTAACAAATGTTAAAACTGACTTCTATGAACATTAATGCGTGCTTACATTTTTTTGTTAATTGAATTCGGGACTTTTTTAAAGATTATAGGTGTAATCTTTGAACCTTCAACAGTTGTGTTCTGTCTCAATTCAAGAGTTTTTGATCACGTTTTGTAAACGACGAATTGGAGGTGACCCACAGGAAGAACACAAATATATATGAATAATGATAACAGATTAAATATCAACTATTTTAATTCCAGTGTTAAAATACATTAAATTAAATAACCCGCTGTGTCCTGCCTTCTGGGCCACCCTCTATGTCACACTTAAGTGAAGATGTTTATTTATTTGCCAAAATTGTACAAAAATAAAACAGCAACAGTACCTGTTGCCTGTGGCCTAATCATCCCAAATTTAGCCAATTTTGTCACATTTTTACAATGTAAGCAGATTGAGTCTGGATTGTGCTTGGATGGGTGGGAAAACACCATACACCAGCAGGTTGTCATAGAGAGGACTGTGGGCCGATGTGTTCAGCAGTCGAGGGCAGTGCAGCAGGTCCTTGTGTTTCCACGTCTTTGCTTCCCACCTTCATCAACCCACACTGACCAGTGTGGTCAAGAAGTGAGGAGGCCCTTATTCAGCAGTGGATTGCTAAAAAGGGATCCTTCAATATTTATTCATCTGTGATTTGGTTCGTTAACATTGGTGCTTTACTGCCATTTGATTCTGAGGGATACCTTGATTCCAGGAGTGACGAGATGTTAACTTCCTCGCCTGGTATTCAGGAGGTTATGGGTTCGATCCCTACCTCGACGCCTGCTGCTGTATATTTGGAGTGTGCATGTTCTCCCCGTGGCCGTGTGGCCTTTTCTCCGTGTCCGGTTTTTCCCTCCACATTTTGAATCATGCGTTTAGAGTCATTGGCTGCAATACATTTCCACATGATAAGCCACTTCGTTGAGCTATTATTTGTGTCCAGGTTGCTGCTGTATTAGAGCTATATAGCTCAGTGGGCCTTACCTGGTAAAATGTTTATAGTTTATCGTTTAGTTTATTGCATATGTACTGTGTAATGGTTTGACATTCATGCTTATCATATGTTGCTTTTTGGTTTTATGTGCCTATTTCCAAAAGGTGCCACTGTTAAGCCAAACAACTCAAAGGACATCTGGGATGAGGACGAGGTTCCAATTGGGCCTCAGTACGATGACACTCCTGACCACCGGCTACAGCCCCAGTAAGCCCTCTCTGCTCGCCAAGATAGCGGATTAATTGTTCAACATATTCAAAAGGCCACTCGCTGTGGGTGAGACTCAGAGACCTGAAACTGACACGGACTTCGCCTGCTTAAATTATTGCACCTGGAAAACTTTGCCCTTTTAGTTGATGGGGCTAAATATTCCTAAATTTATTTATAACAATTTCCAATTAACTTTGAAGGCATTCATGTATTAGTTTTGTAATAACTCGTCATGATGATTCAGCATAGTGTACTTTTTATTATAAAGTCGTTTTGCGATGATGAACTCACCCCATAGAATACTGGCTACGTTCATGAAAGAGATGTCCTAATCTTGTCAATTGAAACCAAAAATAAGCCTTGTCAACCGAGGCGACGACGTCACAAGTTATGCAATCGTCTTCTCTCCCTATGACGTCAGAACACGTGAGATCATCTTGTGACGTCTCGCCATGCGGTATATGACACCATCTCATGTGACTTAGAACGTAATATTGTTATCGCCAATTAAACACTTCCAAAGACAAACGCATGCAGAATCCTTGTATAGGCATTGCTTCTCTGCCTTGCTTGGTGATGAAACAGAACCATGTCTGTTTATAATCTTGGTTCTTTCGGTAAAATGATTTCCCTTCTACGTGACTTTACCGAAAGAACCAAGAATATGAATCCCTGCAGTCACGAAAGCTTTAAATCAAAATTTCACAAATGTTTAGTTGTTATTTTATTTTCCTCAGAGCTTGTTGTGTCCAGCAAAAAGGTTCGGGACCCTTTGATGAGCTTGAATCTATGTAGTCAGCCATATCAAATCTCATGGCTGTGTCACGGATGTCATGATGAATGAACGAATTATACAGTTATTATAAATGTCTGTTAAACGATATGTTACTCCCCATTCATCGGTAGCAATATAAAGAAAATGTAGTGGCGCTTTTTATACAATGATTGTATTGACACAAAGGAAATGGGAGGACAGTACCGTGAAATGATGATTGCGACAGTTCTGCTTCATGGCCCTGAAGCCTTGCTTATAGAAATTCATATCCGTTCTATGAGGGGAGCTCTAAAGAGGCTGTGTTCACTGCGATACAGTGCTGGCTCTGTGCAAGAAGGTTGGTGCTCATATCTGGATGATAAATTGGCATCTAAAGGAGTAGTGGAGTCAATTTCAAGAGGAAATGGTCACGAGTACTCTCACACAGATCAAGCCGAGCGCCAGTTTACGACAGCCGCACAGATGCCAGATGGTGAAGTGAGCACGAATCGGTTTGGCTGAAAGGCCGATGGAAGAACGTGGCTCACCTGAATTTGCAGAGCGTGCCGCTTGTACGTCACACACGTGAGCAGAGCGCCAGTTGGATCGGATGCATTAAGCTGAGAAATTGCAGCAACCAAAGAGGAACTAAATAAAAAATGCTCCTCTCTGTGCAGGTCCACCTCACAGTCACCATGGGAAAAAATAAACTACACGAGAACAACATCTCAGCTCTTCATGCTGCATTGGCAGTCGTTGCATTTCAGCTGTAGTCATGTCAGCTTAGTAAGGCATTAATTAACAGACCATCCCTTCAGTCATATTTCTTTTTACACAACTATATCTCTTCATTTCCTGGCCATGAAGGTTCACGTAAGCTTTTTTTGTCTTAACGCGTCTTCTTGTTTAAATTATTAATGATGTTGTTGTGATTTGCACATATGTGCAAGTGGTTCGAAATGCTGAATGGCGCTGCTCGCTTGTGTAATGATCTTGCTGCTGCCTGAATCCAATATCTGGAGGTTCCCTTGAGATGGAGAACACTGTATTTACTCCATAATGCTCCTTGTCATGAAGCCCTCTTCCCAACTGTACATCATTTATTCATGATAGTTGTTTCTCCCGGAAAGCCTCAGTCTCAAGACTTTCTCAGGATGCTCGTTCCAATGCCTTGCTAATTCCTAAACAAGTATTTTGCATGTGGCAAAACACTGAAGTATATCCAAGAAAACAGACGCATGAGAAGCAAAAAATGTGAAAATGCATTCAGATAGGTCAGCAACCTACTTGCAGAACTGCTATCTATTGACTACTGCGTAGCGTGTGTGTGTGTGGATTGCTGCACCTAGTGACCGAGGTCTTGGTGGGTGGACGAATGGCAACATTCAACGTGACCGGACCTATCACAGGCAGGAATCATACTCAGCCGAGCCGTGTTCTTGATTCTCGATGTTATGTTTACGTACGATCGCCCAGTATTTACAAAATACAAATCTGACATGTTACAGAATGTAAACGAACAATCTGATTGCATCACTCACAATTTAGGATGCAATAGTTTGAATTTTAAATAATGAAATATAACACACCATAACGTGAGCTCCCACACGTACCAGGATGTGTAATGCTAAAAATAGAGAGGGCACAGGGTTTCAGTCTCCGCGTGCATTTTAACTCCAAGCGGCTTCCAGAACCACAGCGTGGCACTGCAGCGTATAGGTTTTCTCGTGACCGAGTGCACCGACTCCTCACGTGGTGCATCCCTACACTGGCCACTCAGGACCAGGTGACGCCAACATTGTTGCAGCCCGTTTGCATTTCAAAGCCTTCACTATTCTTTAACACCCGGACTCTAAATACCCAATAATAGTCAACGTGTGTTGGCTACGTGAATCCCAGTGTGACCAATAATATAAATCAAATGCTATTTGAAGTAATAGGAGTGGTGAAAAAAAGCATTGCCTTGTGTAAAATAAACTATGAGAAGAAATATACTTTGCAAGTGTGTTTAACAACTTACATATTAAGGATCCTGCAAAACATTTCTTCAGAAAGGTCCCATTGGTTGTGGGTCCAAATGTGGTTTATTTTTTTGTCTATCTGCTTATTAATTAATTATTGCAACACATTATATATCAACAGCTAAAATCACCACTCCCGCATTGCATTGCAGTGGGGGCTCTACCTGCTCACGATTGTGCTTTGCTTATCGAATACTTGGAACACGTGTTGCATTCACAGATATGAAGTGCTGTTCAAGCAGAAGGTTGGGACAGAGGACATTTTCCTGGGGATGGGAAGAAAGGACTCATCCACAGCCTGCTGTGAAGACATGCTGGTTCGTAAAAGACGCCACTGATATCATTGTGACACAACACTCAGCGGTGATTTAAAAACTCTCATTACTCTTCAGTAAACACCATCCATTATTCGTCCACATGTTAAATCATTCCAGACATATGTGAAATCAATATCAATCGTCAGTTAAGTAAAATGCTCCATGATATTCTTTGATCTGAAATCCAGCAATATTGTTCCACTTATCATTCTTATCGTGATTGATTTGTTCTTGTCACTTACATTCATGACTATTATCCATATGGGAAAAAAAACTATGAAGGCTTCCCCCTGCGTGAAATCCATTGCTTGTGTCAACCTGACGACAAGGCACACTGCAGCGCCTTGTTTTATTGTCAAGGCACTGTAATACCAGCAGCTGCGGCTCTACTTTGTATTTTGATGTCTACAGATCAAGGTTCAACTGCCAGGCTCAAGATCAGCTGACATTAAGTTGGACGTTCATGATACGTTTCTGGATGTGAGGACAGAGACGTAGTAAGTGTGTTTCTGTATGACTCTTTGGATCTTTAGTGCTTTGCCATGTGTACTCTGCGCCACAGTGATGTGTGTATGTGTTGATACAGTGCTGTGTTCTCACCTGCCATTTACACAGGCAACTCAATTATAATCACACTCGTGGTTTTTAGCAACAACGTTTCATTTTTTGTTTTTTATTAACTTTGTCTTCGAATTGTTTATGATTGTGAAATTATAAACTCAGTCTGGCTATTTCATTAACTTAGATAATTGAATATAAACCAATTTAAACATTTTTCTGGAAAAGTCCTCAATTTGGTTTCGTCTTGATGCGTTAACACGTCATGTGTATTATTTTAGTATTTCCTCTCTGGATATAATGTATATGCATCGGAGTTATGTTTTGGAGTTTATTTCTGGGTACGTGCTAAATAATCAGAGTACTTTAAATCACATGGCTACGGTGAGCCATAAATGATCCATTCACAATCTGGTCTCTTCTCTCACTCACCTGGGGAACGCGATCACCTGCACTTGGTGTGTTGATGATCACATTTCACGGGAGTTTCCCTGCGGTCTAAGGGTCGTCTCGTTTGCACCAGTGACCTGCGCCATTCGTGCGCCAGCAGAGGAGGGGGGGGGGGGGGCAATGATTGCGTGTATAATCACAATTGAGTAATTTTCGGGTAATTCTTGAAATTTCGAAATTTGTACCCCGACGCAAACATGTTGCAACCACTCCTACCGTCGTCAAATAACCACGTGACGGCATCGTATGGCTGCTGGCGCTGTCGTGGGAGCACCTGAGCGGTGAATGAGCCCGCCTCCTGGGTGCTGTGTTCTCATCTGTTGTCTTCTCTGTGGCTCCCTTGTCGCCGTCGGCTCGCAGCAAACTGGGGCTGCACCTCCCGCACGCGGTGCACAGCAAGGAGGGGCACGCGCGCTTCGTGAGCGACACGCAGACCCTGGAGCTCACCCTGCCCATGCGCCGCGAGTTCGATTTCATCAACTTCTCATGAGAACCCAGTGTTCGCGTGCCGGGGCAGGGAAGAAGTGGGTAAAGGACCCATATCCCATTATGCCTAGCGTCACCTCTGCCCAAGTTTTGTTTATTTTGTCATTTTTTCTAAGACAACTTATTGCATCTGTTTAGACAAAAACGAGAACTTGTAACCCGATTGCTACAAAATCAATGCTGTACACGTCTGACCCTTTGTTATCAATCGACAGCTGGATGAAGGCCTCCCCACGTGGTGCAGGTCGTGGGGGTTACTTGACCACGATTCGCCATGCTGGTCAGTGCCCGTTGGTGAATGCGAGGGGCATTTTTGCTGCACTGCCCTCTGTTGACAGTCTAATCTCAGAGCAGCCCATGATACCGATGTCATGCTTGGTGGTCGACCATCCAAGCATTATCCAGGCTCAACTCTGCTTAGCTTTTGGGCCCTGATGAGATCGGGTGCATTCCACGTGATTTGGTGATACATAAAAGTTAAGGTATCTTTTGCACAAGATTTGCAATGAAATGCTCTCAGACTTAGCTGTTTCTCAAAGTTAACGTTACGTTGCGTAGCACCGCAGTCGGCGCGTTGCGTGTCAGGGCGCGTGCCCCGTGAATGTGCATACCTAACGTGTTCATCCATTTGTCGGAATATTCGCATATCTGCATGTGCACATCTTGTGAGGCTCTGCCATCCTGTTTTATAATGAGCGGCCGCTTCTTTGCTTGGTCACGTGGAAGCCGATTGCAGTTCATGGTCTAGCTTTTGTCAAGGCCTCTGGCATAATATCTCACTGCGGAGAACACCGCCCGCTGAGCTATTGGTTCGCTTGTGCGTGTGCACATAAAAGCAATTGTGTGTTATGTACAACCCACATTGGCTCATGCTGTAATAAGTAAAACGTGTTTTATTTCACTGTTGGCATTGTACATCATTTTACATCCAAGTTGTCAAACAGCGTACGAAACTATGGTTAACGCTCGATGATCTGTGGGTGAGAATTATCGATGTTTTCGGGAAAATAAAATATCTTGACTGAGATGCTGGTTTACTTATTAGAGGCTCCTCCACACTCGTAGAAGGTCTGTGACTCACGGAAACATGTCAACAAGGAAGCCGATTCATAGGCAGTGGCAACTGATCGCATTTTATGCATCTTGACTCTCATTCCACACCAGTAAACCATAATGATGTTGCACCCCCTATTTTACACGCTTCTTGCATCATCCGTGTTTTGTTTTATCCTGCCCCCCCCCAGCACCCACGATCAGCGAGAGCTGACGACAGCGCACGGCTCATCACTCGTGCAATCCTCTGGGAGTGCTCAGGCTTGGCTAATTTATGAGCCTCCAACATATTCCCCAAGATTATTTTGGTATTGCTTAATAATAACGACTCGCCTTTTGCCCGTCCAAGGACGGGTGTATTGCAGTAAATCTGAAACTTGCAAGCGAAAAGCAGCCCGCGACGTGATATTCATCGCATCAATGCGTGTGCAATTTGTAAGGGCGCGGTGACACAGACCTATTTCATGTAAAGTTTATAATCCCTTGTTCATCATGACGTCCTTTTTACTTTGATGTCTCAACAGCGTGACGGAGATTGCGTGATGACGTGAGGGTTCTGCCTTTGTAGTGAGGGCTGTGAGTTGATGCCGAGGAGGGGGGGGAGGAGGCGCCTCGCCCCCCCATGTGGAGTGACGTCACCCGCTAATTATTATTAATTGAGGGGGTGTGTCCATTTGAAGGACGTCACCTTATAATGATTATTAATGAGGGGGGCTGGTCGATGTGGAGTGACGTCACTTGCGCATGATTATTAGTGAGGGGGGGGAGTACTCCATATTGAGTGACGTCACCCGCTCATGATTATTAATTGACGAGGGGTGGGGGGGTCCATTTGGAGGACGTCACCTGCTCATGATTATTAATGAGGGGGGCTGGTCTATGTGGAGTTCCGCCACGAGCGTTAAGGACAGACATTCCTGGGTGATCATCGTAGGCATTTACAGGCGGTGTGTCCATTGCTGGATGGAAACCTCCCCACGCCGTGCTCGTCGTTGGGTTATTTGACCTTTTGCTTTTCATAAACGAGTTAATGCAGTTTCAAGCTTTCGTGACTGCAGAGATTCATCTTCTTGGTTCTTTCGGTAAAGTCACGTAGAAGGGAAGTAATAAAATAATAAAAAATAAAACATAATAAAATAATTCTCACGACGTTTCGGCCACAACGCAATGCAGGTTGGTGAAGTGAGGGGCCAATGATCTGTACAGATATCACTCAGCGCTGACGTTAGCCATGACCTGAGTTCGATTCCCGTGGCCAGTAATCAAACTCGGGCAGCATAGCGCAGTGTGCTAACTGCTGCGCCACGACTCCCACCCCCCCCCCCCCTTTGCTTAATTTTTATATGAATAATTTGTATCCATTGTTTAACACGAAAATCATTATCATAGCGCAGCAATGAATTGAAATAGCCATGTGTTTTTCATGAAATCAGCTAATTATTAGGAATAAATATGTACGATAACATATTTTGAGACATTAAGTGTTCACTGAGGAGCACACTGCGTCAACACATGAGCAAGAGTGGCCCATTAGAAACGTAATAAAAAATAACTCCACTCAATAAGTACATTACATTTTATACATTCTATTTAAAAGCACCTATGCCATCACAAAGTTCAGAAATCTAGCCAATACTGATTCAGTGGTGTTCACTCTGGGGTAAGTGAAATAGTATATTTATTACAAACGTACAGAAAATATAGTCAGGCTAACACCATCGTCTGCTAGGCTAATTGCGAAGCAAATGTAATGACTGTTTCTGAGTCGATGGGTTTTCTCCTGCAAGGTCCACAACGCTGTACAGAGCAAAAGGCTGAATATTGTGTATGTCCTCGTAACGAGGCATCCACCTCATAATTGTGGTGGCAACTTCTTCTCGTCTTGACAATTGAATTTAACAACTCATGAACTCTCCTCCCCGCACCTTTACGCTGAAAAAATCAAATCAGACTTTGTCCTTTTCAGCTTATGACGCACCTTATGCCCGCTGTTGGCTGTTGTAAAGCGAAGTAATTTACAGCTTACAGGTTCAGTTTACAAGTGTGTAAGGGTCGTTGTTAAACCACTTTCTTTCCTCCCGGTTTTCCCTCGTCAGGGACGCATTGTAAAATTCCACAAACAACATTTCTGCGGAGAATTCACAAGGTGAAACCGTGCGGTCCAATGCTCGAATGGTGAGACTTCTCGATTTGGCCTCCTTGCCAACGACCATCCACTTGCTCAGCTCTTCCTCTGGGTCAAGCGTGGCACACTCGTCCACCCTGGTGCACGTGGCCCGGTGTGTCCAGGGAGTCTCCAGCTCACGCATTAGCTCTGCGGGGACCTGCAATGGCTGCAGCCTCTCTACAAAGGCTCTCAGCTTCTCCTTCTCTTCGTCTTGTTCACGTCGTAGCCGTGCCAATGCTTCCTCGGCAGGGCTGGACCCCGTAGGCTTCACGTTTTGGAGAAACACACGCATCGCTCCTCCGATGTTACCACCGCCACCACCACCACCACCACATTCTTGAATGGATGCTTTACCTTGAGAGCCACCGGTCTGGCTCATTGTCTGTTGTGAAGTTGTATCCAGAGTCTTATCAATCCCTGAGGACCCAGGCGTGATCACCTTGTGTTCTCGTGCCATATGTAGAAATGGCTCCGACCCCGAGGCATGTCCACCGAGCTCACCTTCTGGCCCCTTGTTTGTGGAGAACGTGACGCGTGTCACTCGGGCTCCCGACGAAGAATGCGGCACCTTGCACTTGCCAGTGTCCAGATCCGTCCCAGCGACATTCACAGATGAGACGGGACGCGGTCTTCTCCACGGCGAGGAGCGCCTGCGAGCAGCCGTCCTCTGCGGGGCAGTCCCCGGCCTGACGGCGCGACATCGTCCACCGCCGTCGTCACTTTGCTCGACCAACGCAGGGAGCGGCTGCACGTCCTGGGCACGGTGGCGCGCTGTTCGCGGCTGCGCGGACACAGGCGGAGGTGGAGGTGGTGGAGGAGGTGGTGGCCCCGTCACTCCTGAAGGCGGCAGCGGCATCGAGTCCACCCGGGGCTGGGGACTTGTCGAGGACACGACCGGAGCGCTCACGGGACGCCGCTGCTGCTGCTGCCGCTGCTGCTGCAGTAGCAGCAGCGGCAGCGGCAGCGCGTTGATGGCCACCTGGGCACCGCCGTCGTTCCCGTGCGGCTGGCAGCCGCCCGCTGTGGCCCGCAGCGACTCGCTGCGGGCCCCGTGCGCGTGGCCGAGGAGCCGCGCCGACGCGAGCTCGGAGCGCTGCAGCTTGACGCGAAAGCGGTTGTAGGTGGCCCTCTGGTCCAGCGTTATGGAGCTCACGACCTGCCGACGCAAACTCTCCAGGGTGTCCAGCCGCTTCTTGAGGATCATCTCCTCCTTCCAGTTGGCCGATTGGACTTTTTGCGCCTTCTGTGCCGAGTTCGTGGCTCGCTTCTCCATGTCGGGAGACCGACGCCGCTGGGCCGTGAATGTGAGCGCGACCGGCACGGTCTATAGCCGCGCTCCGAGTGAATTCATTTAAAAGGCAACCTTTCCATGGTTACCAATATCATTCTACCTCCACCTCCGGCATTGTGCACCGTAATTCTATACGGATCTTCACACCTGCGGTTAGTTGCCGAGCAACAAGCAATGCAAACCGTGTTGCTATGTTTTTTTTTGCCGAACGAGAAGTAAGCAAATGCACCGGGAAGTTTGCGGTGTTCTGCAAATAGTCGGTCAATTAACGCGCAGGGGAACCCCGTCTCACAGTGGAGTCATCGCCGCACGTGTCAGTTTTATGTTGAACATTTTACAACTTTAGGGCAAAACAAATATTGATCTGGAATTTTTTTTTATTTAGTCTGCTTTCATTAAATCGTTTAGAAAATAAATTAATTCCAAATCCATACGGAAGTTACTATTATACGCTCACTTTAATAATATCACAAACAAGACAGTTGATCTTCTTTGGGTCTTTCGGTAAAGTCACGTAGATAGGTTCAAAAAATGATCAAATAAACAAAAAACTATCGAAACGTCGTAGTTTTCTGTTAATTTCATTTGTTTTACTTATCTACGTGACTTTACCGAAAAACCCAAATATTATGAATTCCTGCAAACACGAAAGCTTTAAGTCAAGATTTAAGACAGTTGATGTTCAGGCACGCCTTTGGGCTTGGACATAGAAAATGTAGTGAAGCTTTGGGTCATACATGTGTTATTATAAGCAATATAATTAACTTTGTACATTGCTGATATCCAATGAATTATATTTACAGACGTTAGACAAGCTCTGTTAACATATTTTGGAGATCTTTTAAAGGTTAGACAAAACAAGCATGACAGTGCACATCAAACTAAGACATTACATGGGAAGGAGACACGCCGTTGGTAGAATTTGTGATTTTAAATGTATCAGCTTGAGTGAAGGCATTCGTGTCTAATCGATCCCACGCCGCCGTTTTCTTTGCACAGTGCAGGGTGAGTGTTTGAAGGCCGTATTTGCTCTCTGGCTTTTAACAACAGCAGGTCCATTGAACATGACTGATCTCAAAACGGTTGGAAATTTCACTCATGTTTTAATGCAATTACAAAAACATTGTACGGTCCTCGACACAATAAGCGTTGTGGTTAATTACTGCCTCGAAGTATTATCTATGAAACCCTTCAGTCTTTAGACGTAAATATCATCATGTCATTGAGGGTGTGGGTCTGTGTTGTAATCTGAGCAGGGACTGGAGTAGATGTGAAATAATTATTGTAGGAGAGTTCTATACTGTAGTTGAATAATTACAAATAGCTTCATCATTGGCGAAACGTCGTACTCAGATTGTAAATGTTGTGGCTCGGCTCTCCAACACACTGGTGTGCTGTACTAGTGACGAATTGGTCACGTTCTGTTTACGTGACAACCCTTACTAGTTGGCTGTGTCGGGTGGTGACGGGTTTCAAGGCCGTAATTATATTTGGGGGGGGGGCATCCCCCCCCCCAATATTTAAATATGCTCAAAATGTCCCCCTCAATATCTTACCTATAAAATAGATTTCTGTTTATATGATTGTGGTTATGGTTGTACTGTATTAATCCCTAATCTCTGCCATTACATACGATGAAACAAGAAAAGGTAAAAAAAGAAAAAACAGAGCAATGTAATACAATAACTATTAGACATTATTGTAAAAAATAAATAAAAAGTCCATCCTATGTGTTAGTGAATTTTTTAAATATTTTTGGAAGGAAATTCATTTTTAAATTTAGATTTATTTTTCTGGGGGGGGGACCCCCAGACCCCCTGGAAGATTTGGTCCCCCCCAATGTTGACTTTATGGCTACGGCCTTAGCGGGTTTTAACGACACGTTTATATATTTACGCGATCTAACCCAAAAAACCTCTATTATGGATGATATTGGTCGCGAATGCCTACTAAGTGTTAAACTGACAATCTGATTTGGATACCACGGCGAACGTCATAAGCAAGCGATATATTAAACGTTCCTGAGCCTCCTAGCATTTCTTCAGTTGACCTGCGTGGTGAAGTATGGTCAAACAACCCTCGTGACTGACATGGCCTGAGGCGGCCTTCATCCAGAAGTGGATTCACAAAGGGCTGTCAATGATGAAATGTAATTACTGCTTTGCAACAAACTGTCCCTGGTCGTAACAATGTGTAAGTTTCACCATTCTCTTTGGTTCTTTCGGTAAAGTCACGTAGGTAAAAACAAAAATAACAAACTATAAATACGTGTTATTTTTCGATTTAAAGCTTTCGTGACTGCAGGGATTCATCTTCTTGTTTCTTTCGGCAAAGTCACGTAGAAGGGAAGTAATAAAATAATAAAAATAAAACATAATAAAACAATTCTCACGACGTTTCGGCTACAACGCAAGCAGCCGTCTTCAGGTGAAGAATGAGACACTACCAAACTAGGAGCTTATATATAAGCTGCATTGGGGGTTGAAGAGCGCCTTAACAAAAAGAATGTGCATGTGAAGAGGAATTTAGCATATTCATGGAAAATGCGTAGGCGTTGGGCGGGGGGGTGTCAAAGTCATATTATGCCCATGCATTATGCAGGATCAGCAGCAACCAAGGGGGGTGCAGGGATTAGCAGTAACAAAGGGAAGGAATGTTAATGATATGTAGCTGCAGTTACTCAACAACCACGTAGAAAACTAAAGTATAAACTACATAAAAAACTAAAGTATAAACTGCATCGCACCATCAGTATACTTACTATACTCTATAATAAGCTGAGTTACTAACAGCAAGTAATACATTACCATTCTACCTCGTAAAAATGCTATAATATGCTTCCATCTAGACCTTATTCTCTTACATCACACGAGCATATACCGTACTATATACTGCCATAGATAAACCCAACATTAAATTATATACTGTATTGCTGTAAACCAACCTCACACATTAGGGTGTGTAGAATAATACATAGTGTTATATTAAATGTATAAGATATAGGTTGGTTTACAGCAATACAGTATATAATTTAATGTTGGGTTTATCTATGGCAGTATATAGTACGGTATATGCTCGTGTGATGTAAGAGAATAAGGTCTAGATGGAAGCATATTATAGAATTTTTACGAGGTAGAATGGTAATGTATTACTTGCTGTTAGTAACTCAGCTTATTATAGAGTATAGTAAGTATACTGATGGTGCGATGCAGTTTATACTTTAGTTTTTTATGTAGTTTATACTTTAGTTTTCTACGTGGTTGTTGAGTAACTGCAGCTACATATCATTAACATTCCTTCCCTTTGTTACTGCTAATCCCTGCACCCCCCTTGGTTGCTGCTGATCCTGCATAATGCATGGGCATAATATGACTTTGACACCCCCCCGCCCAACGCCTACGCATTTTCCATGAATATGCTAAATTCCTCTTCACATGCACATTCTTTTTGTTAAGGCGCTCTTCAACCCCCAATGCAGCTTATATATAAGCTCCTAGTTTGGTAGTGTCTCATTCTTCACCTGAAGACGGCTGCTTGCGTTGTAGCCGAAACGTCGTGAGAATTGTTTTATTATGTTTTATTTTTATTATTTTATTACTTCCCTTCTACGTGTTATTTATTACTTATTAAAAAAATATTTTTTATTTTTTATTTTCATCTACGTGACTTTACCGAAAGAACCAAAGAGTATGGATCCTTGCAGTCACGAAACCTTCAAATCTAGAATTAAGTGTCACCATTGTCTTGAGACCTTGGATTGTACAACGACTTACGAATAATCTCGCAGAGAGGGACCTTGCCTATAAACAGCTGGCAACTCGCCAGCATTGGCTCAAGCACGCCTGGCTCTGCTGATGAGTCACTGAATGTCAAAGCTGGTCCAATGCTGCTGAAATATGCAGCAGCAGGAAAGCCATGTGGCTGATGGGATGTGTCAACAAGAAAGTTGATTTCGATTTTAAGCTTTCGTGACTGCAGGGATTAATCTTCTTGGTTCTATCAGTAAAGTCACGTAGAATGGAAATAATGCGTTGTGGCCGAAACGTCGTGAGAATTATTTTATTATGTTTTATTTTTATTAATTTATTATTTCCATTCTACGTGACTTTACCGAAAGAACCAAGAAGAAAAAAGTTGATGTGTAAACTATAGCATGTGGAAGTGATGGTGATTTGGATGGAGGAGTTCGTAATTGGTCCGTGTATTTATTTGTTTGTGATAAACGGTTGTGTAAAATATAAGAATAGGTTTTACCATTTATTGCAATAAAACAGTTGTGTTAAAATGTTACAGCACCAAACAGAAATATTTTGCAATGAGTCATGTCTGAATTAATAACACATATACCTGTGGCGAACATGCAAACAAAAAGCATGCTCTGATAATATATGCATTGTTTTTAAAACTGATTGGTCCACACCAGAGACAGCTTCCTCTAGAGTCTCTTCTCAAACAGTGTTAGTCAAGAGGACGCCAAAAGGCGTACAGTTCAAAGACAATGCACTATCAAACAATGAGAGCTCGGGTTGAGCAGCTACATCATGGGACCTCCTTTGCCATTACCAAAATATAAGAATAGGTTTCATCCTTTCTGGCAATACAACAGCTGTGTTAAGATGTTACAGCAGCGAACAGAAACATGTTTCAAGTAATCGTGCCTGCATTAACCACATGTACTTGTGAGTTGTGGTGAACACGCCAACACAAACCACCCGCTCCGGCAGTGTCTGCATTGTGCCAACTGCACCACAAGAGGGCATCTAACCAGGAACTCGCTGCCGGCCTCTGGTCGAAGGTCGTCTCGGCGAGCGCGACGATAATAATTCATGATAATTATTGATTCCTACTGCATTCATTGGGCACTTCGCTCTGATTGATAATTAATAACGTGTCGGCAATTTACAAGAGCGGCCAGTGTGGGGATAATTCGTGTTTCGCCTCGATCGCGTTCGTGACTTAACGTCGCCGCGAGACGGAGACTGTCACGATGTTTACTCCGCTGCGGTGATTGCCGGGCAGCGCTCTGATCATTCCCTTGTTCAGTCCCTGCGTTCCACCAATACGATCCACTGGCACATCCATCCCTTCCCTCCACACGCCGCAGTTCCCAGGTTTTTCGTTTTGCTCGTCGTTATTCACTTGGACGCAATCGCAGGGGGCCATGCCCTCCCCGTGGTGGCTCGCAGTGTCCCTGTGCGTGGCTGGCTCAGCTCTGCTGCTGAGCCGCCTTGAGCCGCCCGGACGACTCCTGACGCGGCTGCAGCAGCTGCTGCTGCCCGCTGACTTCTTCCCTTCGTCGCCGTCGTCGTCCGGGCAGCAGAGGCTGCTCACGATGTCAGAGCTGGAGCGATACGACGGTCGTGAGGGCAGCCCGGGGCTCTACCTGGCCATCCTGGGCCAGGTGTTTGACGTGAGCAAGGGCGCCAAGCACTACGGACCGGGTGCTTCATACCAAGCCCTCGCAGGTGAAGCTCCAATCTTGATTTGATTTCCAATCTTGATGGTCGAGTTCCATCCATCCCCAGGCGCAGCCGCAGCGCGCCCCGGCGAGGACGTGGTGCTGGCCACGCGCGGTGCAGAGGGAAGGAGGTCGGCGTCCAGGTACATGCGTCCAGGTACATGCGTCCAGGTACATGCGTCCAGGTGCACGCGACCAGGTGCACAGGTGGGGAGAGTGGCAGCCGTGTCGTCGCGATGTGCGTGATACCCGTGCGACGATCCCTGTGGAATCGGCGGCGGGCCGCATGCGGTCCGCGACTTCGCTGCGTGCCGGGTCACGGCCCTGCCAATATAGGGTGCTTCAAACAAAATGTTAACACTTATGAGAATTTTCAACAATGCTGAAAGTCCCATTTAAGTGTTAACATTTTTTTGAAGTACATCCTGTATTTTGCCTAGCTAATGGGAAGCACCAAAGCGCCACCATTCGAGTGCTAGAAAGAATGAATTTAATATGGCCCTGAAGTTGTTTTTATTCCTGTCACTGCAAGGCCCTATCCAGATGTTATCCCGCAGGAAGTTATATTTTGCGTTGCGATTGTCGAACGCTGTGTGTGTGTCTCTAAATGTGCGGCCCACAAAAGATATACGAAAGCCCGATTCCATCCGACCAAACTTGACTATGCCAAACAACACTCCCATGATCTTGCGTTGATTTCTGGGCCATACTGCCCGATCCCCGTTATCCGCACCTTAAAATTGAACCTAAATCTGGATATCCTCACGGTTATCCTTGGATAAAAATTGTTAGAAACCTTTTTCCTTGCAAAAGGTTTCTATTTGGTGTTTGAATATCTAAACACCTGTTTTATTGCCAAAAAGAGTAAAACCCATTCTTATTTTTCATACTTTGATACTGGCTATAAGGTCCCATGATCAAAATACGAAGTTTCTCCAAACTAACGAAGCTCCAGGAATGCATCTACTTCGCATATCGCGGTATTTCTTTATATGATTGGGTTTGTTCTGCTGCTATGCTTAGGTTTTCTCCACCAAATGATTCCTTCCCACATGCAATTAATTATTTTTTTTAAATAATCGATCTGACATTTCAAAAGAAGGGCCTGCGTATCAGCGAAGCTTTCTTGGGTAAAATGCAATCAACCAATTTGCACTGCTCTATCTCCGTATGAAGTTATTTGGCCATTTCTCAGTCGGCTTATGACACATTAAAAAATTCGGAACGTGATTGATCAGCACGTGGAAGACGAGCTGCGATGACAAGCAATGAACACGGGTTGCCAGCAGGAGGCATGCGTCTACACTCGGTGTTGAATTGCAGAGCCTCCGAGCCATCGACAGCTTCCACCCGGTGAATAATGTTGGAGACAGCCATCAGCAACGCTTAATCAGGAATTGAAGCTACCTTGCGTCAGATTGCCGCCTTCTCCATTTTTTTCTCGCTACATTATTAAAACGAGGCTATAGTTATGGCACTTTTGTTTATTTGGTTTGGGATTTGCCTCGTTTTGTCTTTCGAGTTCACCAGTTTTCACTTCTCTCGCCTCGTACCATTTCCCTACCTTGGCAGTGCAAAGTAGCCAAAGGACTTTACGGGCATAGTAATGCACAGGTTCATCGGTTTACATTGGGTCTCCGGCTCATTATAATGCATCAAACGCTGCGTGCAAGACTACATTATATTTTTAAGAGCACATGTCATTCTGTGCTTGAAAACTCGGCGACCTGAGTATGATTCCGGGTCTTGGCTGCGAGTCAGGCTAACATCAGTGGGTGAGGAATATGGGAACTGGTCATGAACTCGCTCCCAACCCGCACTGTCCGGCGTAGTGAAGTGTGGTCAAACAACCACCCACAACCGACTTGGCCCGGGGGAGGCATTCACCCAGCGGTTAACAAAGAGCTGTTAATTTCGTTGTGTGCAGTTGGTTCATGCAAAGCGCAAGAGTTTCTTGAGACGCTACGTTACCTACAATCGCAAAAAAATAGTCGTGTCCTGACTTTGAACACGATCCCGTGTGTGCCAATTCACCGAGTCGCTGGCGGCAGGAGGAGGAGGAGGGGGCGACTTGTTACATGCCCAATCACACTGCGTAGATCAAATTCAATTCTTAGGCTCACGATACATTTGTAGTGAGCGGCTTCCGAGACACGTCGTGTAGAAGGCTTCTTACTTATTAGGGACACACTGGGCGATACATTTATGTAACGCAACTACACATAGCCGACCCTATCACGCAACCCCATCGTCGGCGTCCAACTACGCAGCTGCCTGACTAGCGCAGCGACAGCGACGGTGACAGCCTTGCAGGAGATCGGCCACGTGAGCGGACGACGGAGACAGATGACGGCGAGCAGCGACGCAGCCAGGACCCGCAACAGCACCGAACCTCTGGTCCCATCCCCCTTATATACTCCCCAGCGTGGCCAAGCCCCGCCTCCAGCCACGCCCCCTTCCAGAACCTTCGAGCAGGTTCCCGGAGCTTCGACTGACTCTGCCTTTCACCTTTACCCCTGATACGCCCCCCTCATTATTAGGCGTTACGTCATATACCCATAACCGCGATTGCCCCTTCAGGCCGACAGGTGGCAGCCTGTCATTACACCTTCGTCAGGCTGTGTGTCCGTAGCGAACGTTTAATGCGGATGACATGTTCATGTTACAGCCAGGCCATTAAACCGTTGCATGAGCGTTCCACGGCAGAATGCCTGCTCAGAGGAATCGCAATTTCTGCTAGAATCGGCTGTGGTGCAATTATACGAATCTTATACGATTCGCGAGGAATATCTTAGCTCTAACCTCGACCTGCTAATGACCATGCTGCTGGTTGCGGACGTGTGGACAACGTGTGGACAACGTGTGTCCGTCTTCGTTGTATTTCGGGTTGCGCCGAGCGTTGTTCGGCGTCATTCCCGACGTTTCGCTCGCGCGCCGGCAGCTTCTCCAGCTCGATCCAGCGGCTGAATTCAATTTCGGGGGAACTCGCCGCCACGTGGAGAAACGCGTGACGGCATCGTGCCGAGCGGAAACCCGCGCGGCGGTAACGCGTGCCCGTCGGTCACCGCCACCAGGGAGAGACGCGTCGCGCGCCTTCGTCAGCGGGGACTTCTCCGACGCCGGGCTGGTGGACGACGTGTCCGGACTGAGCCTCGCGCGGATGCTGGGCCTGCACGACTGGCTGTCCTTCTACCAGCGCGACTACGTGTACGTGGGTGAGATTCCCCACGAGCGTGCGAGGCCCGCTCGCACGCGGGTGCCACGTCGTGTACGCCGGGAGGGGGGAGGGGGAGAGGTGAAGCACGTGCCCCCCGAGTTGGCGCTGCGGCACCGGAGCTCCTCCCGTGTGCTTTGAGGGTTGCGTGTCGCCGCGTGCTGTTCGGCACGGAGTAAAGCTAAACTGCTAAAAACTATTTTTGTTATTTTACCAGGTCAGGCCCACCGGGCTGTGTAGCTCTTCTTCAGAAGCGACCTGGCCACAAATGATAGGTCAATGCAGTGGCTTATCACGTGGAAATATATAGCAGCCAAATACTCTAAGCGGATATTTTTAAATGTCGAGGGAAAAACCGGAGGACCCGGAAAAAAATCCCCGCGACCACGGGGAACGAGACACATAAACTCTAAATATACAGCAGCAGGCGTCAAGGTCGGGATCGAACCCGCGACCTCCTGTACACTAGACGAGTTAGTGAACATCTCGTCACCATGGCGAGATGTTGACCTTTCGCTCCACATGCCCGGAGCTTCATCAGGAAGTGACCGCAATAAAAAATCTACCCCAACACGAGCACCCGTTGATGAGTGTCCGTGGTAATTGGCTTTAAGCCACAAGCACGAAGTAAAATAATCTAATCTTTTTACAAAGTCTGAAACTTATTAAATAAGCGACTAGCCGCATTGTTGGTATTGGAAACACCATCGCAGGTGTGTTTGTTGTCAATACAGGACCAAGATAGATGTTTGTGAACGCTAGAATCTGGACCCAAATGTGTATGGCGCTCAGATGTTGTGATGTGGGTGGTTTATTACCTTCCCAATGACCTCGGTTCAATTGCTGGCTGTGGTCACCTTTGGAAAGTATCTGGACTTGTCTTGGACAATCTCAAGTCAAGGTGGCTGTGTTCTGGCCACGCCAGCCTTTTGTGTCATGCAGCCTTTGACAGCTGCTCACTCACAGCACTTATCTGAACTGTTTAAGGCTACACATGGGGGTGTTTGTAGCTGTGCGTATGTATTCATTGCCTTGTGCCGACAAATGCAAAATACCGTCATTTGAAAGCATTAATCACACAGCGAGTTTCATATTTTGACCCATCCACTGCGGTTTTCTTTACAATACCCAAGTGGCATTGTTATCATAGTTGGCATGAAGCATCCAGTTCCTACCCCACCGCAATTGATAGAATTCAAAGTAGAGCAGTCTGATAGATTGATGATCCAGCGCTCACTGATTCACTCCAGCCTCACGCTGCCTCATATCAGTTGTCTCCTCCTTATCACTCTTCTGTCGCTGCCGTCACGGTCAAGGTTCCCCTTAACGTCACGCATTGATTCCTCCACCGATGTTGAGGACTCTGTCAACCAGGCTGACTGTTCCATCCACACTTTGTTTAACCACCACCGCACTGCTCCTCACAATACCTCCCTTTCAGATGCTTTCCTCGACTCTAGAATTCCCTCCCATTGTCTGTTTTTTCCCAAGTGCTTGTAAACGGGCGCAAGTTAAGACGTGTGGAAACTCACGTCGATTATGCCTTAAATACAGTCGTGCCATTTGTTGCTGGCTGCTTGGTGATTCAGGCCTGTGCCCAGCAACCATGATAAAGAGATTAAGAGCTTATCCCTTCGCCTATATGCGGGGTATTCTTTTGAGGAATTTCTCCAATTAGGGTATCACGCACGATTTTCCGAGGCAGTATCACAAACGAGACTTACTGATTTGCGCAAGGGTTCGCAATTGGGAGCCAAAATTAAACATCAGTCCAATAAACCCCTTTAAAAATAAAAATATAAATAAGCGATACTCGTAAACATGCAAACGTCGTTGACCTTGCACGTGAGCGAGTGGATGACCGCGTGGCGTTCCCCAGCGCCCCACAGGCAATCCGCCGGCTGCGGTAACAATTGTGTGGATAGCGGCTGAGACGGGGCGTTCGGAGGCTCGCGGTAAACCTCGGGAGACGCGCGCCGTTGTGCGGGGGCCCGCAGGGAAGCTGGTGGGCAGGTTCTACGACGAGCAGGGTCGGCCCACGGGAGCCCTGGGTGAGGTGGAGGAGGCCCTGGCGCTCGGGCACAAGGCGAAGGAGGAGAAAGAGCTGCAGAAGCGGAGATTTCCGCCCTGCAACTCGGAGTGGAGCGCGGCCAGTGGGAGCAGGGTTTGGTGCGGCAAGCGCAGGTGAGTGAAGGCGTGTGGTGGTGCCGGTCGTGGTGGTCATCGACCTTCGTGCGGATTGCACCCTGCTGGTCAAACTTTGAGGCAGATCATTATAGCCGATTGTGCAGATAGCGGACAAAACAATCCGCTACTCTGATGCAAATTTAACATCCTCGTAGGCTTTGCAAGCCAGAGGGTAAGCGACCCGAGATGGCTTGATCACAGCTGCTCATTAAGACTGACATTTCTCAAATATCCATACCTCAGGTTAGCTTCTATTGCCATCCTCACCAGTTATTCGTCATTAAAAATGCAAAATAGGTTGTGGGATATTGTTCATATCTAGTGGGGCATAAGGATTGGAAATTGGCAATATTTGCATTATAGGCACGTGACAATTCACTCATCATAATCGATTATAAACATGACTATGTGACTTCAAATGTAATTTTGTCATCGGAGGCAGAGGCAGAGGGAAGGAATGCACGCTTCACTCGGCGAGGCACAGATGCCAAGAGTAATCATTCTAATGCCCGTTCTGTTTCCAGGTCTTGGGAAACCAAATGGTCAAATTGGGCGGTTTTCTCATACGGTTTGTCCTTATACCTAAGCACATTTATTCTAAAGTTTGTTCGTATGAGATGTATCCTGTTCCCCCTGTTATAGCAGACGGATCCAGCTATGGTTAACACATTAACGCTTTTAACCTTTTGTTGGAAAGTTTAAAAGAGTTTTGGTTTTTGAATTGTGACCCTAGAATGTGACAATTCGTTGAATCTCGAGGTGGGGGGGGGGGGGGATTGTGACCCAGCTGCTGCCTTAAGACGAATCTGCTGGGACCAAGCAAGCCATCATGCTGTGAATGTTTCCGTGTTAATCTTTTCACTTTACAATGCATCTAGTGGTCAGGTGGGGTCGACAGACCTCCGTCTCAAGGCAACTCGTGGCTTGCAGTGAGATGTCAAAATGCAGTTACAGTGATACCCCGATTTACGTCCCCCCCCCCCCTTTTACGTAATTTCGCACATAAGTTGTCACGTTATGAATACCCGCTACCTGATGTGCGTCGTCTCAACCCGCGCTCACGTCGCTGACGGCATCGGCTGTCCGTCCTCGTATCCGTCGCCTCTCAGCCTTTGTCTCCACCGCCACCACCTCACGCTGTAAATTGTCTTTGATGCAAGTCGTTTCGATATTCGTCGTCGCACCTTTCAGGAGCACATCCCCCGACACGAATCGGGGCATTTCCGTACTAAGCATCAGTTGAACTCCGTTGTAAAATACTGTGCGGTGAGAGAAGTGCACTTGTGTTCGACTGTGAGCCACAGTGACCAGCACTGGCTTGCGTTTGAATGCGCCGCATGGAAATTTTGTGTCGTATCTTTGCCGCAGCTGCGTAGTTCACAACTGGTCCAGAATATTTTTTTTCACATTTGGCTGATGAAGTTGGTTTAATTTTTAAAGCGTTTAATTGATTTAATGATGCGGGGAACGCACGCCTCAGTGGCTTGGCACTCGATGTTTTCACAGTGCGTTACAGTGAAGTTCGGATGGTTCATTAACACACGACGATAACTTAAGCTTGTTCAAAGTCTGGTGTTTAATATATCGTTAAAGACGACGTCTGCATGTCTCTGTTTCAGAGCCTGTCTAATTTGTTTCATGTCCGCCTCACTGGCTTTGACTTTCTTGCTTTTCTCTCTTCAGCCTCATTCCCTGCTGCCTCATCTGCACATCCCTTGGCCTCACTCTTATCGCTCTCCGCCCGTGTCCGCGCTTATTTCCCTCCGCACCTGTCCCCTTCCATCTCCTGACCCCCAACCCTCCCTGCTGACGTCTGTTTGTGTGTGGGGAGCTGTGGCGGAGCGGTTAGCGCTACGCTGCGCGACGAACCCTGCCACCCGAGTTCGATTCCCACTCACGGCCAACGCTGGCGACCATTATTTGAACCGGTCCTGGGCCTCCCCGAGGCAAACTCAGCCCCGAACGAGTACCTGGTGAGATGTGTGAACATCGCCACTGGGGAGACAAAGGCGGCCGGGCGTGGTGCTGACCACTGCCTTCATAGACGCTCGCTAACAGCACTTGCCCCGACACCCTGTCAAAGGCCACGCGGGGTGGAATCTTTGTCTCCGTGTGTGTGGTGCGTGGCCAGCGGTGGTGCTGACCACTTCCTTCATAGACGCTCGCTAACAGCACTTGTGTGTGTGGTGTGTGGCCAGCGGTGGTGTGGAGCGCGACTGGGTGGGAGTGCCCCGCCTGCTGTTCGCTCCGGGCTCGAGTCCGAGCTGCGTGTGCGTGCGCACCACGGGCCCTCCGTCCGACGGGACCGCCGCGTCCTCCGAGCACCCCAACGCCGGTGACCTGGAGCACCCCGGCCTCAAGCCCTACCGGGAGTGCCCGCCTCTCGCCGAATCCTGCGTCGTGCTCGCCGACTAAGAGCCGGCAGCCATGGCCGTGGCGACGAGGCCCGGGCCGTAGCGCGACGGCCGCCCCGGTTAATGCCGCGCGGGTGTTCCGACCGTCACAAAACGTGTGCCATCCGCTTCGCAGTGTGGGCGTTCATTATATTTGTGGTGTCGTTGGAGAGGAGGAGGAAATTGTGGGCTGGCGTCAGTGGTGCAGGTCTGTGGGCCACGTGCGGTCTACACTCGGTTTCATTGCAGGCCGTGTTGGTGTTTAAAACAAACGGTGAAATTTTGTCAACAAAAATTATACATTTTTACTTTAGCTAGTACAACTTAACTCAAGCCTCCATTAAACTGTATTTAAACATTTTTCATGATAGCTCTTTGACTTCCACCCATCAGCCGCAGAGGATTGGGTGAAGCAAGGTGGTCAAGGAAACTGATGAAGGAGGGTGACTGAGCCGATGAAACCTCACGAAGTGCAGTGCTGATTCTGGCCATTCCTGGCCCGCTGTTTCTGGCCCAGCAGAGCCTGGTTCTCGGTGATAACGAAAAGGAGCCATGAGCGCAGTGCTCCCTGTCGGTACACAATGGTTTTCAGCCACCGAGTTGTATTTAAATTGTAAAGTTACCTTTATTGGAGGTTGTAACTCCATCTTGAAGTGGCTGGTTGGCTCAGGAGTCGGAGCAATGAGCCCCGCACGGCTTAGATTCGGAGTCCGAAACAAGGAAACCCACCTGTGGTTAACCCGGGTTCTTGAGCGCAGTGAGGCGATGGTCTGATTTGGTTGTTCACTGCATTTGGAAAATGTATTTGGCCATTTTTATTACGAATTTGAAATGTGCGCTTGACTGCCTTATTACGAATGCTTCTCTGTAGCGTTACGTGTGCAAAAAAAGTGTGTAGATAAAAGAGGTGACTCGGAAGTAGTTGAGGGATATCTCGTTCTGCGGGGCTATTGTCTAACACTGATCGCAAGGTGTCTAATTAAATGATGTCAATAGCACAATTCCAATGTAATTGTGAAATAGAAAAATATATAAGAAGAGAGATTGGAACTGCATCCAGTTCAGTCCAAATCGTTAATTTGGTGATGGCACTTTTCCACTGATGATCCCTCTGCCAAGGATGTACCGTTAATTAAGTAGGGTGTTATTGTATATATAAACAATTTAGTTGATCGTTGTGGCATTTGTGGTTGGGGCTGTAACAATGTTATTTCATTGCAAAGTGAAATCGTGCTGTGATTATTATTTTTGTTCCAATAACTATGGTCATAACTCATTGAATATAATAGATTCATTAAATTTGTTAATTTACCTTCTACATACGTATACGTTCATGAAAGCAGCGGCAACTTGGTAACCAATATCTCAGTCGCTCTAAGCGAATGTTTTGTGATGAGAAGCTGATTTCATTAAAATCAGGGAACGCACGTCGATATGTTTCCTATTTCTAACAGCCCCTTTGTCAATCCACTGCTGGATGAAGCCCCCCCCCCCCGCCCCGCGTCATGATCATGGATCTTCTTTGACCATACCTCACCCTGCTGGTCCCTGCGAGTTGGTGAAGAGGGGGCCCAGAACCAGTTCAGACGCTGCTCAGATGCCCGTGCCCGGGATTCGATCTCGGGTTGCCAGGTTTGTTTAAAGTGCTGTGCGCCAATCACCTCCCCCTTGCCCCTCTGTAATCACGATGCCCCCAAGGAGGGCCTCTGTCTACATTCCGTGATGATTGCCACGTGATTTACATTATATGGGGGTGACCGCATATTACACCACTACCAGCACAAGAGATCCACATTCAATTCGGAGAAAGCTCTCTTCAAGAAACTTCGTGCGTCTGTGAATCCTTGCGCGATGTGGCTATCATCCTCTCTGGCTAATGTGTAAACTTTGCAGTGCTTGGAAAGTCTAAGCTTTGAAGCGTCAAATACACTTCCAATGTGTATGTCTGGGTGGCTCTGGGCTTGCGTCTGTGCCAGCGGACTGAGCCAGAACGACTTTACATATTTTGCTTCAGTCACGAGGTAGGAAAATTTGCAGTAGTAATACTTTAATAAGAGTGCTGATATGAGTAGTTGTCCCTGGAAGGCATTTACTAACAATAATTTGTCAATCCACGATTGATGGAAGACCTCCCTACCCTCCCTACCCGTGGCGGTCATGTGTGTTGTTTGACCATACTTCACCAAGTTGGTCAGGACTTGTTGGTGAAGATTATAGGGGTGTCCAAGACCTGTACAGATGTAACCGCCACCCATGTTAACCATGGTCCTGTACAGGTGTAACAGCCACCCATGTTAACCATGGACCTGTACAGGTGTGACCGCCACCCATGTTAACCATGGTCCCAGCCATGTTAACCATGGCCAGGAGTCAAACGCGGGTTTCCAAGTTCGCAGTGTGGTGCGATAACCACTGTGCAACCACACCACCACCGCTCCCGCACCTCCCCAGCCAAGGCCTCTGTTGGGAACACATCCTCTCAAGCCTGCATCCAGGAGCAGATATCTGCAAATTCATTCCCCTTGCGGCTGATTTAAACCATTAGGTTAGACTATTAATAGGTGCTGTTCTCCGGCTTGTCATGACCAATATTGAGTTTTGCAGCTCGGAGCATGAGATCTTAAATTAATAAAGCGTGGTTACCATTCAATCGAGTCCCTGGCCAGTATATTAAAGCATGCATATTTACAAGCCAACATTAAATGTGGCACTGTGCATGAATTACCCACGTGGCGATCATATCGCACGTCACAGCTTTCCCAAGATGTAATGTCTTTCTGTGAATTAAAACACCGCGGGGAAGGCTCCCAGACCTTCGCACGCGATAGGGGTTATCTGCAACAGATGTATTGGATACAAATCCCGTGTTATTCATTCAAACAAAGGCACACGCTGCCCTCCTATCTCTGATGTGCTCCCAGACCAATCTTCATCACAAGGGTGCAAGATTCTGCTTGTTTTTTTGTTTTGTTCGCATAGCATGACAGGGAATTACAATGGCATGTTCTTAACTGATTCGGTTTTCTGATTGAAGAAAGAAAAATGGTAAATGTCCATACCAGTTGGGGCTAATCCAAGCAAGTCATCTAATTTGTAAATCCCATTCAAACGGCCCCATTTATCATCTTTGATAATGGGTTTATGTTGAAATGTATACGTTCTGAAAAAAAGTTGTTCCACTACATGTAGAAAAAAGAGGCATTCGTGAAATATCTCTATACACGTTTTTTTTTATGGCAGGGTCAATTCAAGAGGATGTTTAAATAATAAAACAAATTTACACTGCGGAAAATGCAATGTTATTGCGACAAATATTCAACGGCTGTATAATGTAGGAATGGCTATAAAAACAGATGTTTGACTTTTCCAAAACGAATCCTCGAGTGACTGCACACAGAGCAGTGCCACTGGAACCCTGCGTCTAATACATGTCCTCTTTCACCTGTGGCATTAAAATCCACATTTTGAAACCATTGATCCGTTCAATGACATACTGCCGGTTTTAACCGTCAAGTTCGCGTCATACGATGTTTTTGCTCAAAGTCATTTAAAAAAAGAAGTGACTCCACGCATCTTACCAAGTCGATTGCCCTTTAAACGCCCGCTGAGGGGCCATGGGTGTTTTGAAGACAATAGCGACACCCCCATCAGTACCTGTTCTCAACTATCAAAGAGATAATTACATGCTCCCAGTGGGCAACACGCTGTAACTGCATGCAGCGCGTCCTCTGCTGCCAGACCGAGCTGTGGGACGTGTGTTATTGCAAGACGAAGCTGTCGAGGTGTGTTTGTCGAGTGGGGAGTGGCGTCTCTGTGGTTAGTACACTGCCCTGTGATGGTTCAATTATCGGGCAATGCTGAAAACCAGTTCCCAAATGTTACCTGAACCCGGAACACACACTCTCTCTGGCTCTGTGTCTCTATCGTACCTTTGTCAATCCACTGCTGGATGAGAACCTGTCCACGCCGTGCAGCTTTGTGGGGATTCAACTTCTTGGTTCTTTCGGTAAAGTCACGTAGAAGGGAAGTAATAAAATAATAAAAAGAAAACATAATATAAAATTGTTTATTATTTTATTATTGTATTACTTCCCTTCTACGTGACTTTACCGAAAGAACCAAGAAGATGAATCCCTGCAGTCACGAAAGCTTTAAATCGACATTTGTGAGGATTATTTCACCATACTTCACCACAACTGGCCATAAGATGGGGGGAGGCAAGACGCGTAGATTTGGGAGCATAAAAGTAGAATGCTGTTCGACAAATGCCTTTCCTGCACGTCCCTCTGCTGGCCGCCACGTGGCTCCACGACTTGTCGAGCATGGGAGTCGCCCCGATCATCACGCTGCACCCCCCCCCCCCCCCCACAGGCTGCATGCTGCTGAGCTTCCAAGATCTCGTGAATTCGGGCGCATTCTGGGCATCATGTGGGCATGGGCCTCATGGGTCTATTCAGCCTGCAATGAGTGTCCAATGCAGTATTTAAAATATAAATATCAGTCCGTGGGGCGGGCGGGTGGGTGCTGCTCAAGTTGGTGTAAGGCTGAGCTGACGTGGGTTCAATGGGGACTCACTCACAGCGGCAGTCCCAAGCAAGCGGCACGTTCAGGTGACGAAGATGTGTTCCCGCTGTAACAGGACACACACCGAGACACAAACTTGCAGCCGTCCCTTTTGATGTCACCGCATTGACTAAAGCATGCAAGTCTGCACTTTGTAATTGTAATAAAGTGGCTGTGTCGTGAACAAACGTCCACACACAAACACGCACCCCTCTGGATGTTTAAAAGCTGCGCCCTCTGAGGCCCAGAATCCATATCCAGCATGGCAGTGAAACGACCAAGGGAATGTTAAGGAGTTGCACAGGAGCATCGATTATATCCGCTACAAACTGGCACCTTTTGCTTGTGATGGAAATGCAATAGTAGAGCTAAAAGGGTTTATGATAGAAAAAAAGCACGCTTGAGACATGTGATCTATGTATCCGTCAGTTACATAGTATCGCGTCAGAGGACCGTACTCTCATCTTTACCAACCTGCGCTGTCCAGCCTGGGGAAGTGTTGTATACTAACCCTTCTTCCAAAATTGAGATTAATAATATTTGATGATATTTATATATATTATCTTTTTACTTGTTTTTTAATGAATGAAACACACCAAAGCGCAGCAAACTGCAAAACACCAGGTGTTGTTAAGTAATGAACTGGGGGAGGGCTAGGATGGCAGAATTTGCAACCTTGCTTCAAGGAAAGATAAGGCCTGATGAACGGGCACATGTCACCCGTGCAGGCGGCAGAGACAGTGGGAGTGTCAGCCAGACATAGTTAAGGCAAAAAGCCCAACCATCCTGCATGCTGTTAAAGTAACGTCAAAATTCGAAATTCAACAACAGAGTAGGCTAAATTATCGATCCTCGCGCTCGCTCAAATTGGAGACCAGGCTGCGAGCTACATCAATGAACCATTGCCCATTTGCTAATCCAATACTGAATGTTAATATTACTGAAGTCAAAACGAATTCTATGACCTCAGCACATGGGCAAATAATAGGGCAGTGTCGACTCAAAGGCAATGGAAGAAAGCAGAGGCGCCTTTGTCTAAATCACAACCACAGAAAGCCAGGAATCATCACTGATTGTGTGTTTAGGGATTCCGAGCTAGTTGGAACACGTGCACACAGGGGGGAGGTAGAAGTACGCCTTGTCCTCCTGCAGCTGAGGGAGCAAAGATAAACCCAAAAAGGCCAAGGAATTAAATTATTAAATCCAGGGTGAGTGGTCAAATGAAGTGGGTCAGCTCAAGGCTGTGTGCACAGGGGAGGGAGCTGATTTAAACAACCCTGCACGTCTGAACGTGAGGGGGCCTTTGACCTGAAATTAAGAATAACACTCCCAGAGCAGAAGGTTGGATGGCCACAGTGAGACGAGAATAAGAGTGTTGTATATCTCTCAAGGATGCAGACCCAGCTGAACAACAAGGCTGCGGGGGTCACCAGAAGTTCGCGTTCGCCTAGTTAAGACAAAAAGCTCAATTATTCTGTATTGCTGTTAAAGTAACGTTAAAGTCGGAATTTAACAACAGGGTAGGCTAAAGTTATTGATATTCACACCCACTCCAATTAAACCAGGCCACAAGTTACGCCTACTGAACCATCACCATCATTAAGTCAATATGAAATGTTATTTCCATACTTTAATACTTTCTATACAACTCGACCCGAAGCATATGACAATCAGAACCTTCCTAAGTCAAAATTGAATCGCACCCAGACAGGAGCGAATAGTCGATATAAGGTTGAAGAGGGAAGGAAATTAAGAGCACGGCGAACTGCAAACGTAAGCAAAAAGCCGGGAACGACACCAGCCCAGCAACAGCGAGTCGGGCTTCGACAGGCCATAAAAGTAGAAATAATAACTCCCGGGGTCA